TGATCAGAGCAAATCACCATTTGTCCAACCTTAGGGATTTCGGATTTTAGGACATTTTGGGGTTTTTTCTTCTCATTTGAGGTTGGAGTTTCTAATATACAATCTCTTTGGTTTTTGTGAGTCAATTCCTCAAAATGTGGTTTAGCATACTTAATTTGTGAATAATTTCATGCAATATTACTTATGTGTTGTGCAAAAGATGTGACTATGTGTTATTTGGCATATGATGATGAACCATATTTAATTATGTTGATTTTATGCCCATTGTTCTTTAAGTGCTGAATTATGTGATTTAGAAAACATGAGATATATTTTAGAATTTTTGCAAAGCATGTATATTATTAAATGTTGACTTAAAGAACATGAATTTCTCTAATTGCGTGGCATTGAAATATATGAGACATTCATGCATGACATTAGGAAAGAAAATGGAAAAAATGTGTTGAAAGGCAAAGGAAATGATTTAGGAAATGGTTTTGGAAAAGACGTTTGCGAAAACCCGGTCGCCTAGGAGTTGTCTAGGGTCCATGACGTTAGTGCGACCTAGAGGGAAATAGGGAGACTACCTAAACGTGGTTGAATTACCTAGGCCCAAATGACGCTATGGAGTTGCCATGGGCCAGGGACAGTTAGCCAACCCTTCTATCGTGCTGCCATGGAGTTGCCATGGGACGGGTTACACTAACGGTTTGGACATAATGACGGAAAAGGTTTTGAAAATGGGGAGCGACATTGTATGACATTGCACTCCATAGGATGGCTTGGTTCATTGTGTCTTAGGCATCTCCTACTGAGCGGCTGACTCACCCCTTTATTAATAATACTTTTCAGGACACGGAAAGGAAGTGGCAAACGACAATCTACCACAAGTTTAGTCAGGTTGACGGAGACTTGGACTTTTTTGTTTTTGATGTGTATAATACCTTTTTTGTTGTAAATTGTAATAGGTGGTATTTTGGTATCTAGTTCATGGTTGGAAATGGTCTTGAGACCATCCTCTTTTTTTGTGGTCTCATTATGATTTCAATATCCATGTAAGGCCTTAAGGCCATATTTTGATGTATTAAGTGCTTGTTGAACTTCAAATGATGTAATGGATTCCTTTACGGGTTTAGTTAAATGTAAGGATACCTAGTTGTATTGTTTTTCCCTGTAAATGTATGATTTGGGACAGGTTTGAACTTGGAATAGGGTCACCAAGAGACCAAATGGGGTGTCTATGTGTATGTTCACAGTTTTAGGCCTTTTTTATGGGTTAAATTTTAGGTTTTGGTCATCTGCAACCGGTTCAGCCCTATTGAACCGGTTCAAGGGGTGTTTTTGGTTAACAGTTGGGCACACTGCCTATCTTGAACCAGTTCAAGGCCTCCAGTGTCCATTTTTGCCTTGGCAGCTTGTTAATTTTGATCACCTAATTTTAGGCGGTCATAACTTCTTCATTCCGAACCCAAATAGGGTCATTCTTGAGTCCATTTTCAAGGATTTTTAGTTAGATTTCCAATGAGATGAACCACATCTTCAAATTCCATTCATATTGAGAGATATGGTTGTTTCAATAGGACCGTGTCGGAATTTCCCTTGAATCAAGTAAGGGCACTTTTGGGAAATCATAACCAATGACTGTAGAACCTCTTCGAACATCATGGAATAACTAGAATGATTGTTTTAAACTTCATTTGACTAGTTTAAGGTTAGATTATCCTCTCATATTATAAAATGACCATTTTACCCCTAGTGTGTTCTCGGGTTTGGTTAAAGACCCGGTTAGCGATTCGGACCCTCGGTTCGGGTCGTTATAAAGCCATCGCATCGCCAGCTAATGAAAGACTACTTTGCTGAGAATTGTACATATCCACCGGAGCACTTTCACAGATGATTCAGGATGCAATAGGAACTATTTCTTCGTATCCTGAAACATGTTAAAACTTATGATGATTTCTTCGTCCAAATAAAGGGATGCAACGGGTTGTTTGGGGTTATCTTTTATACAGAAGGTGATAACTGTCACTCGTATACTCGCATATTGTTGTGCAATTAATCACTGTAATGAATATGTAACGTCTCGAACTCGGGGGTCCGAATCGCTAACCGGATCCTTACCCTACCTTGGAACACCCAAGGATTAAATGGTCATTTTGACCAATATAGTGTACTAAAAGGCCATAATAATGCCATAATAGTCATTACTAATCAAATGGTTCATTTACGAGTGAAAGATCAACTCCGTCCTCAAATCGATCCAATTAGGGTTACAGGTAAATTGGTCTTTTTGGACCATACTACGCATTGGGGACCTTATAACTGCCCTCCAGGTCATATCTAGTCACTTAGAGTCGTTTTTAAATGAAAGAAAACAACTTGGTTCGTGGTCACCCGTTTTAGGGCTAAAAAGGGTAAAAATGTCATTTCGGACGAATCCCCTCGTATTCCGGCGGGGCCATAGTGATCTAAGCCCCCTAAATGCCCTACAGGACCCATACGCTGAAGCTTCGAGCCAACGAAAAACTTTCAAAAAAATAGTACCTAATTTCTAATACGGAGCGTTTCGTCGACGTCCTCGGAGCGCTCGAAGGGTGCCACGAGCACCCCATCACGTGCCCCGAGTGCTCAGTGGACATCCTTTGAGTGCTCGGTGGGCATCCTCGGAGCGCTCGGTGGGCACCTTGAGGGCGCTCAAGGTATGTCCTAAGCACCCCAATGTGCGCGCCGAGCGCTTGCAGCAAAATAGAAAGTGCTCGGATAAGCCCAAAAATGGACTTTTCGCCCCTTTTTGCCTCCGTTCGTAATCCCGAATGTGACAACCCGAATTTCCATAACCCGGAGCATCAGCGAGTAACACGAAACTTAACCCGATATTGAGTCCGAAACGCGAAAGTAAGAAAAGAGAAGAGGTCTATAGAGATTGACTCTACCTCTAAGACTATAAAGTGACCTCCCAAGGAGTCACGAGACTCAAATAGAAGATGAATGTGGAAGCAAAGGTTGAAACGAACCAAATACGGTACTAGAGGTAAAATGGTCATTTTACCCTAAGAGAAGAAAATTTGACTCCTAGCAAGTCAAATGAGATCATATGAATCCAGTATAATCCTTAGACAACCTCACAAGAAGCCCTAAGACCACTGAAAGCAATACCCCACGGAAACCCTATCCTAGTCAGAACGAAATCCCGACACTCTCTCACTAAAACGTAAAACGTGAATATCTCACAATGAGATAGGAATCTGAAACCTCAATTGATACCATTGGAAAGTTTATTTCGACGTGGTCAGTTTAGACTCAAGAATAGACCAATTTGGAGTTAAAACGACAGAGATATGACTATTTGAAGTCGGAAGGTCAAAGCTGAGTCAACAGGGCAAGGGGGTACGAGCGATCATCCAGCGATCGTAATTAGACCTAGGCACACTGCCTTGATGTGGATTGATCGTCCCTTTGTCCAAGGATCGACCGTGGGTCACCAGAATGGCCCAAAAATGTAGTTTTAAGTGCCTAAGACCTTGGGGACCTCCTTGGCATCAACCATGGCCACAAGCTAAGTCTAAAACTCATCCCAAACACCCCATGAACATGATGTAAAACTTGAATATGATAAATCCCAATGATGCATGTAAAGATAAGGTAGAAGCAACACTCAATATAATTAGAAATGGCCTCATATACAAGGCTAAATACATACTTTTCCAAAGTAAAGTGAAAATTTACATTTTTCCAAGAGTGAGAAGGGTACTTAATCTTAAAATATACATGATAGCATGATTACATTTGAAATACATCCGAAAAGCGAAAAATGGACAAAAATCCACAAATGAGCCCAAAAGTGAGTCTTTAACTTTATATAATCATCCGATGCTACTTCGTTCTTGAAAAATGTTTATATAATAGGGGTGAGCACAATTGCTCAGTAGGGAATGGATTATAAAAGTAAATCCGTCCTTCCAAATGCCCTTTACTGAGTCTGAGTATGGAGTAGGAAAGTCTGGTTAATGAACTCCATCAGCTTGAGGATGTCACATTGATGGTATGAGTTGGAATACTTTCAAGGATCTTTTCTTTGAGAAGTTCTTTCTGATGACTAAAAGGAGGGAATTGAGAATGCAGTTTGACTGCCTTGAGCAAGGCAATATGTCTGCGGCCGAGTATGAAAATGAATTTACTTCTCTTTCACGCTTCACTATTGAAGTGGTGAGGGATGACAGTGGGAAGACTTGGAAGTTTTTCATGGCTTGCATCACTCCATTAGGTCTAGTGTGGAGGCTTTTGAATTGGAGGTGTATTCAGAGGCAATCAGGAAAAGTGGTGAGGGATGACAGTGGGAAGACTTGGAAGTTTTTCATGGCTTGCATCACTCCATTAGGTCTAGTGTGGAGGCTTTTGAATTGGAGGTGTATTCAGAGGCAATCAGGAAGGCATTGATGGTTGAAGCAGAGGCTAACGATGGGCAGGCTAAGAACAGAGGTGTTTTTACGAGAGATAGGAAGGGAAGAGATATAAGATTGATACGTCTTCTTGACAGGATCAACAGATGGTACGATCAACACCCATTGTTTAATAGTTGACAAGGTCTCACCAAATTGAGATAGTTTGTTATTGTTGTAGACAGCCAGGGCACTTGAGAGGTCGACCTAGTTCCAATGTCTATTTCAAGTGCTTTGAGTCGAACCACAGAAAGGATTGTCTATTGAGAGGTGATAAGTGCTGAAATATGCATATATTTATCCCTAATTTAGGGTATTTTAGACCTTACATCTATCTTTATTTTCCTATTTTAGTTCTAATTTGGTTTTTTTTTTGGTCGATTTCAGGTCAATAAGGTTCAAACGGGCTAAAAACAGTTCATTAAAGCCTTTTTGGAGTAAAAAAAAAAAATGTTCTGGAAAAAGTTTTAAAATTTGCCAAATTACACACAACCATAACTTTTTAAATTATTTACTTTTCTTGCCTCCACCCCCTCGAGAACAAAGAAAAAGAAATGGCATTTGATTGGATAAACAAAGAAATTACTGAAAAATATAGGCCTTTTGCATTCAACACGCTGATCAAAACCAACATCATGTTTCTTTTCTCCACCTTTAAGGCACAAGAGTTTTACAAAAGAAATTTGTTTCCTTATAAATGAGGCATACATGAAGATCAACTGATGAGAAACCCATTTGTATACTCAATCAATTCCTTGAAATCTTCATGGAGGAGCAAACCAACTGATACATAATCAAACTGCTGCCGTCTGTAAATCATATACATATATAAAGTATACAGCAGACGTATACAAGGGGTGGCAAAAGCTGTACAGATTCCTGAAACTATTAGCAGGAGAAGGTAATTTTTTTGTAAGACCTCCAGATCTACAAACAGATGTACACACATATATGTATGAATATTTACGATGATGCAAATCCTTTTCTTGAGAAGTATGATGGAAACGATTATGATCTTTGCAGGGCAATATGCCAAAAGTCCATCGAATGGAAAGAAACCTCCTTTAGAGGACAGCTCGCTCGCAGTAATAGTCTCAAACACCTGGAAATATAAATTTAATTGCTGCAGGTTATTTTCAAACAAATTGAGAAGTATAGAAACTTTGTCTAGACATACACCAATTGTAATTATCTTAAGTTACATTTATGTGCATTGGGATATGTTGTCTGAAGGTTGACCTGGAATTATCTCCACTGTGTTTAAAGTTGTGGTTGTATCATTAAACATGTACTAGATTCCACAAAAATGAGCAGATTAACTATCATGTGCAAAAGAGAATTCCGAAAATGTGATGTCCGCTTCAAAAAATAACCACCAGCCATTAACTCCCCTTTCCAGATCTCTGGAAGTAAGGATACATTGAGTATTAAATCAACATACCACACAATTAACAGAGCAAATTTTAAACGACAAAAGAGTGATTTTGCATGCTTTGTGAAACAGTCAAATAATGGCAAACTTATGTGTGTGGAATACCCTATGTTTATAGTAGATAGAAAAATAATCCACAAAATAGATTGTCTATTATGAATCTATGATTTCAACTGATTCTATTGTTACAATACGAAAATGAATCACCTGTCTGAGGAACCAAATTTCTGTTAAATCAGAGGTCAAGATGATTTTTTGTTATGTTTATATTTATATATAACCAACTCATTTAATGAAGTTAATGAATTAGGCTCTTTTGTGCAATAACATTAAAAGAAGAGGCGATATGCCGTACCTTTTTGAATCTGAACAAGCTTTTTACATGAAACAATTCCGTGCAAGCATAAATTACTGACCACATCTTCAGCGAAGACCAAAATTTCATTTTCAATTTCCACTGCTACCAAAAGTAGAATTTAGAGTAACTGATGCAGGCAGCTGTTGGGGAGACCAGACGCAGACCCCTTCTTTTGGAATTACTTCAGCACTAGCAACATCAGCAATTGGTGAATATGGCTTTGTCACTTTCCTTTTCAGCATTGCCTGAATAACAAGCACAAAAACAATACAATCGCAAATCACATGACAAAACCTTCTGTCTTTAGTAGAGCATTTCTAAGCCACATTTATCAAATACTTTAAAAAGAAGATATGCTTAGTGTAACTGTGGCATTGGATACCGAGAAGCCCAATAAGTATCATACAGGAATTAAAGAATTGAAACTAAGTGCATTAGAAACTCCAACCTTTGATTTGTTAGGCCCATAAGTATTCATAGTTTGCTCAATTGAAGAATAGACCTCAAGAGCCTGATTGGATTCACTGCAGCATTTTATAATACGAAATTGATCCTTTGGCTCTGTTGATCTAGTGTGTAAATAAAGAATAAGCCGCGAAGGTGGTGCATTTGAGTTGTCTCTCTCTCCATGTGTCAATTCCATGGTTACTAAGTCATCCCACAGCACATCCCACGATATCGAACAGGGATCTCTTGCATGGTTGAACTTTTTCTGAGATATGTTGGAGGTTTGCTGAAAATGACAAATATAAAACCATTTCAGTTTGAGTGCTGGTAAATGGTGAATAGGATGACTCAATTATAGGAATACAGTGTGCCAAGCAAACTGAACTAACTTACTTGCAACAGTATAACTCTTCGGTGAGTGACCACAAGGATTTTTCCTTTAGGGAGAAAAAAATGATCTTCATAAGCATCTGATAAGGCGAACTTCCCACGTACTTTAAATAGATCAACCTGGCCAAAAAATGATCCAGACTGTGCCAGGTGCAATATTGCCTTCAAGATGACATCATCGAGTAGATTATATGAGTTGCAGTTGCACATTGAATGTTGACTGACATAATTAGATGACAGGAAATGGCAACTTCTGGTCTACTTGTGTTTAGGAAAAAGAATTGTACAGAGGCATGCAATCATATAATGGTTCTCTCTCTTTTTGCATATGATTCTGAGCTGAATTACATCAATTCATCCATATGTATCGGGTTAAGAAGCATGTGTATACTGAGATAAGATTTGTATCAGATACTAAATACTCATTGAATACTTGCGGATATGTATCCAATACTTCATAAATGTATCTATAATTTGAAAATACATTTTTTATGTTCAAGTCCGACACTTCTAAGATTCTCCTGCAACATATATGATATATTTCAAAAATATCGTGGCAGATGTCTAACAGGTCAAACAAAAAGAAGATTACTATATAGTTTACTCTTCATACCATTTTGTTTAACTTCCAAAATTTTCATTTACTGGAGCCATTTAAAAATAATGAAAGAAAATATAATTACATGACGCGTTTCAATGCAAAGCCTTGTTGTAATTTATGCGAAAGCTTATACTGTTAAACATCATGGGTATTTCTAGAATAAAGGGGATATAATAAACTCTTAAGTCATGCTTCTCTCTCTCTCTCTCACACACACACAAACACACACAAACATTTATTTATTTTAGTAACTCAAACAATTTCGTATGTTGGGTACCAGCTAACAATATAAGCACTAGTTTTACTTCCTCATACACCTCATAGCTTAAATTTAAAAACATAGGCTTCCCAAACCGTAAGGACTCCTGTATCACACAACTAGTAGTGGCAAGTCCAATCATTAGTACCTGGCCCTGTGCTTTGTTCTCATCATATGGTCTAAGTAAATTGTCACCACCAATTACTCGGGGCAGCCTCCTGCGGAGGAGTTGATCTTCTGAAGTGATAGCAGAAGTTATCTTCATTCTCACAGCATTGGCACCTTCTGTAGTTTTTGACAAAAGATCCAGAACCCCACTCACAGGTTGCGCAGCAGCACCAATAATTCCTTTTCCAACACCCTGAACAAAACCCTCGACACCAGATGATTTTGCACCTTCCAGAGGCTTCGTTAAAATGCCAGTGACACCTCTGAATAGGCCTTTTGCTAGTGCTCCACCTCCCTCTCTGATAACATCACCAAAATCTTCTACACTTTTGCTTTCCTGAATGAAAAAGAATAAGTAATAAAAAGAATATATGAATATTCCTTTAAGCATACACAAACACACAATGATAACAATTGTATACTATCTAAGAGGACTCTAAATATATCAATCAATAAATAACATAGAACGCAAACATTGAATCACATCTGTTTTGCTCCTACTAGGCTACCACCCATGACCATGAACTGAAAATAATCCAGAAGCTAATTGGCTTTCAGGGACCTCTGTTGAAGCCCCAAAATGCTATATCACCCAATCTTTATACCAAGATCATTTGAAGGGAGGAAAAGAAGCTTCTGTTCTTTGTTAAAAATGGGCTGGTAAACATGGAGCCTATGTTTAAACAAGTCCTTGTTCCTTTGTGAGAAGATAAAAAGAGAAGATAAAATTAAATTTAATAGAAAAAGAGGGTTTATTACTACTAGGATAAATGGTATCCCCTTTCTTCACAACATCCCAATTAATTTAAATTCTAATTGAGGATGTACCTTAGAACACTATTATCATAGATTACACTATTATATAACACATCATTTGTTGAAATGTACAGGATGTGTCTAATTACCTGTATCCCTTTTGAACATATTCCAAGTCAATTTAACATATCCTATAATTTAGGATTTAGAGAAGTCCAACACTTGGACACACACCCACACCTGATACACGCACCCGATACATGTAATATAGAGCACCACATAGGGTGATCAATCGGCTATATTGACATATAAAACTAAATGAATATAATATCAATTTTCTTGACACACCTGTCTCTGCCGGCTTTGGATGAATTTCTTATCCATTGATAAGGCTGCGACCCCCTTACTCATATGTCCTAGTGCACTGCTAGCGTTGCCCAATATGTCAACACCTGAGAGAAGTTGAAGAGGCTGGCTGAGAAGATCCTTCTTGATATTTGTGATAGCATTGCTTATGAGCACACTTTGCCTCATGCACACATTTTCCTGAAATCTTTGATTTACTCGGACCTGTAACACAATGAAACAATTACTTAGATTTATCCCAGTTTTCCATATATGCTCTGAAAACACAGTACCCAAGATGAAGAGTTAATTCTTATGTCGTGTTTCTAAAGAATAACTGAAATCAGAGAAGCACCAACTCTCTAGTAAGTGAGTTAATCTCTCCAATTGAGCACTCAAGTGGTTAGTTAAATTGGTTGGCATATTAGCTAAAGTGTTCCCATGCAAGGCATGACATTGAAGCGACCTTAAAGCATCATATGTAAAGGTCACTGTCAGCTAATGCAGTGGATCCATCAATTGAACTTTGTTGTTGTCAACTCATATCATGAACAGTTGAATGATAATAGTTACGTTGTTAACAACCATGTGATCAAGTAAGTTTCAGGGTTGGCGATTTAGTGCAATAAATTGATGCCACCTCAAATCATCATACATTAAAGGTCACTGTGGCTAAAGCAGAGAACCCATGAACTTTGTTGTTACAACCCATATCATGAACAGTTTAATGATGATATCATAGTTTACGTTATTAACAATCATGTGATCAAGTAAGTTTCTGGGTTGGCTATTCACTGTAGGAAATTCATTAATTATGGGACCAACGCCCCGGCATTGATTCTAATATCTTCAGGAGATGTTCCTTCCTCGGCCAACAAAATTTGAAGTCACAAGCTTTGCAAGGAATAAAATGAAATCAAAGTGAAGGTACACCAAAGGGAAGGATCAAATGCTTACTGGCATGTTTTCAGTGTTACCCAGTGCAGTCATCAAGGATGACCAAAACCCAAGTACACCGACTGGTCGTTGGGTTGGTGACATAGCCATTGAGACCTTGAATCGAATTTCCGAGATGTTAAGAACACTGCCATTCAGAAATGTTATTAGAATATAGTTTAAAAAAGAAAATACAGAAACAGGCAGCAATTAGAAAGAAAAATTTAAGATGTCACTGTTTACCTAATTTGAATGATTGGATCAACTGAAACAGCAGTAGTTTGAGTATCACACGACCTATAAATGTTGACCTGCTGAATCATCCCATGAAGGCGCCAAATTATAGGTTCATGAATGTTAATCAGAAAAGCAGAATTTTCGGGACCCTGATTTGAAGCAATCAACAAATTATTACCAAGCACAAACAAGCAGTAAACTTTCAGGGAAAGAGTTGTAACTTTGACATACTAACTTGGAAACCAATATATGGATAGACACATAAATCAAATGATCCATTTGATTGCTGTGTCATGGAAAATTTTAAGATGTAATCAGTATCCTCTCCAATTCTTTGTGGCCTGAAGAGAACCGGCATTGGAGTTAAAGGTAACTGATTGTCCACTTGAATCCCACGCATTCTTAATTTAAACCTGTTACAAAAGATAAGGTAATTTCCAATATTAGTTTTCGTGTATTATTATTTTCATCATCAGATGAAAAGATATGATATAGAATAATAAGATCCAATGGCTGGTGTAAGATAAAGTATCAATAAGCGATGTGTTCATCCAGAAAATAATTCCACGAGCCATATTAGTGTTGATCAGAAGAAAAATTACCTACTGATACCAGAGTCCAAGCCAGTTGAATATGATAACAGAAGATTCGGCACTGACAAATATAAAATCTCTTCAGGTGTATGATCAATAATGGATATTCCAAGCTCAGCAAGCTCAATAATAACATGAAACTCAGAGTTCGAGCTTGATATTGACGGTTGATTTTGAAAATCATTTTCTGAGATTTGTGACACAGATGACCGAATCCTTTGATTCATAATTTCCAGGGGTTCATTCTCTGGCATCCAGTCACTGATTTTAACAACATTAGTTTTTTCTTCTTTCAGAATAGTAACACGTAGGGCCCTAGCAGGTCCTCCTGACACAAAGATGGGCTGATGATCGGAAATCTCATCAATATTGTACTTCTCCGATTTCAATGGGTCAGCGCCATCCACCAAGAGTTCAAGCAACCGTGGTCTACCAAGATTTTCCCATTGGAACGAAGCAGCTGCATTAGGAAGAAGAGACCGCCATGAATCACTGGCACCATCCACTTGCCGAAAACGTATGGGCAAAAACATAGAACGGTTTTCAATCCTGCAATAGAAAATAGATTACTGATTCATTTAAAATAAAATAAAACTGCAAAATACACACACACACACACATTACAGAAGAGGTAGGACAACTCTAAGTAATTATATTTTATTTTACTGAAACTTTTTAAATGCTTAGAGAAGAAATATAGAAAGAAGAAGGAGAGAATTGTGTAAAGGTTTGAATGAGATAAATCACTTTCACAATTAAAGTATTTATAGATAAAAAGAGCACATAATCATATTACAAGAAAGGAACCTATATCAAATCACAGCATATTCTATGGCATATTCTATAGCATACTCAAATATCTGCCAACATGGTAAGTCATTCCATAAATCATGGCTATCATATCTACTAACACTCTCCCTCAAGTTGGTGCGTGGAAATCTGAAACGCCCAACTTGGACAATTCATTCTCAAACACAATCTTGCTGATGCCCTTCGTAAGAATGCCTGCAAGCTACTAAGCGCTTGTGACAAATGGAGTGCAAATTTAACTAGAGATAATTTTCTCTCGAATGAAGTTACGGTCCACCTCTATATGATTAGTCCTGTCATGCTGAACGGGATTTGTTGCTATGCTAATGGCCGACTTGTCACAGTAAAGTGAGAATGGAAGCGACACTGGAAGGCACAAGTCTGTCATCAAGGTTTTCAGCCATAGCAACTCACATACGCCGAGAGCCATAGCCATATACATTACGTCTGTACTAGATCGAGAGAAAACATCCTACTTCTTACTGCGCCAAGTAACCAAGTTGCAACTAATAGTGGTAACCTCCTATCTAAAACAAATCCTGCATAAACAGCATCTATCCAAGCCTCAACACGTAAGTGACCATGATTGGAAAACAAAATACCACAGCCCGGACACCCTGTTAAGTAACGAAGGATCCGAATAGTTGCATCAAGGTGAGGGGTACAAGGAGAGTGCATGAATTAACTCATAACACTCACGGCATAAGCAATGTCAGGTCGAGTCATGGATAAATAGATGAGTTTCCCAATAAATCGTTGATACTGACTAACATCTGACAACAGCTTCCCCTCAGAATCAGCCAACCAATGATTCTGCTCAATCGGCGTATCAACAGGACAAGCGCCAAGCTAACTAGAAGCAGAAAGCAAGTCAAGAACATACTTGCGTTGAGAGATGAAAATGCAAGCCTTGGAGCGAGCCACCTCAATGCCTAAGAAGTACCGAAGGAGATCAAGATCCTTAATCTCAAACTGATGGCTAATTCCGGTAGCATCATCTCAAAGAACAATATCATTGACATATACAATGAGAGCAACTGTCTTACCACCTGAATGACGTAAGAACAAGATATGATCAGTTGTACTCTGATGAAAACCAAACCAGAGCATGGTAGTGCCAAAGCGATTAGACAAAGCTCGAGGAGACTGTTTGAGGCCATGCAGGGAGCGACGAAGACGATAAATCGTACCGGAATGAGCAGGAGAATGAAACTCGGAGGGGGAACCATACACACGTCCTCCTGTAAATCACCATTGAGAAAGGCATTCTTGACATCCAACTGAAATAGAGGCCAAGATCGAATTGCAGTAACGGAAAATATTATACGGATGGTATTCATCATAGCAACAGGGGCAAAAGTCTCTTGATAATCAATGCCATAATAAGTCTAAGCATAACCTTTCACAACTAATTGGGCCTTGTAATGAGCAACTGACCCATTTGGATTATGCTAAACTGTAAACACCTAACGACAACCCACAACCTTTCGTCCAATAGGAAGCGTAACCATGTCCCAAGTATGATTTTTCTCAAGTGCTTGTAGTTCTTCGATCATAGCATCACGACAATGAGGTTGTGTTAGTGCATCCGCAACACTACAAGGAAAAGGAACCGAGGCAACAAAAACAAGAAAACTCTGATAGGAGGGTGAGAGAGCACAATCAGAAACAAAATTAGAAATAGGGGAAGTACAAGAACGATTACCCTTCCGAAGAGCAATGGGGCGATCATCAAACGAAACAATAGCTTGAGAAGGCAGAGTTGGTGCCGAAGGAACAAGGCAGTCGATCGTAGGAGTAGAAACTTGTACCTGTTGTCTCCAACTATAAACTTGTGGAAAAGGAGCAATTCCCCCTGCTGGAGGGGTATCATGAGGAGAAATAATAGAAGACGAAATAGGTAAAGGTAGAGGAGTTGAAGACGGAAGAATGTGATCATCAATTATGCTTAATGGGAACATTCACTTTCAGAACCAACTGAACCACAATAGTATGGTCTATGCTCAAAAGAAACATCCATGGATATAAACTGTTGACGACTGGGAGGATGGTAACACCTATAACCTTTTTGAGAGTGAGAATAACCTAAAAACACACACGTCAAAGCTTTGTACGAGTCTACCCCAACTGCTGAACAAACCACACACACCCAAAGACTCGCGGAGGAATCGAAAAAATAAATGAATTGGAATGTAAGATTGAGAGCGGGGCCGCAAAGTTAAGAACCTTAGAACGGGTCCTATTAATGATGTAGATAGCTGTAAAAACTGCATCTCCTCACAATGACTGGGAAACATTCATGCCAATGCAGATTACTCTGGCTAAGTCAAGGATGTGGAGATTCTTTCTCTCAGAACAACCATTCTGTTGAGGAGTTTTAATATTAGACATCTGATGCTCAATTCCAAATTCTGTACATAACCGCTATACCTTCTCATAAGTGTACTCCGTACCCTAGTCAAATCTAAATTTTTTAATAGGACGACCATACTAAGGCTGAACTATTGTCATAAAATTTTTAAAAATGGTGTACACCTCATTTTTTGTTTTCATAAGGTTGGGGGAAGCGAAAGTACGCGAAGAAAAAGATCCAATAAAAGCCAACAAAGCAATCACACACAAACACAAGATATACAAGGTTTAGCCAAAACCGGCCTATGTCCATGAATGAGAAGAGATTCCACCATCATTTATAGAGATATTACAATAATAGAGTACCAACGCCACCATTCCACGAGTCTATTTCCTCGCTATCATCGTCACCGATGTTTTTCCTACTCTATCAACCCGCATACTACCTTTACCAATCAACTCCTTCATAAGACTACATCTTTCTCAATCTCATAAGTTTCAACCCACAACATATATACCTATTTATAGAGTTACAAACAAAATTCCTTATTGGACAATACAAACATAATTCCTTGTTGGACAAGGAGTACAATTCCTTAGAGGCGAAGACTTGCCAAACAAGAAATTACCTAACAGAATATAACTCTAAAATAGAATCCTAATTAGAATAGGAATTTGAGACACAAATTCCAACAATCTCTACCTTGGCTTAAATTCCATTAAGCCAATCATCGCTTCCACGGCATTGACCAGGGCAGTTCTTTTGCAGCTTAAATCTTGACGATACTCCTGCAAGTCTCCGTTTGTCCACATTATACGTTGTTCGATCAATCAAACCTCCAAGGCTCCACCTTGACTATTCGAGCTCCATGCCTTATAACCAAATTGATTGACTCCACCTACAGCCAAAGCCCGTTGCAGCACATGTTGAGACTTCTTGTGTTTCTGGATCTTCTTCACCTTTGGCTCTGATACTAATTTGTTGGGGTAGCAAAAGTACACGAACACAAAGGTCCAATGAAAGCCAACAAAGCAATCACACACAAACGTAAGATATACATGGTTTAGCCAAAACCGGCCTACGTCTATGGATGAGAAGAGATTCCACTATGATTCGTAGAGATATTACAATAATAGAGTACCAATACCACCACTCCACGAGCCTATTTCCTCGCTATCAGCGTCACCGGTGTTTTTCCTACTTTATTAACCCGCATACTACCTCTACCCATCAACTCCCTCATGAGACTACATTTCTCTCAATCTCACAAGTCTCAACCAACAACATATGTACCTATTTATAGAGGTACAAACATAATTCCTTGTTGGACAAAAATTACAATTCCTTAGATGCGAAGACTTGCCAAACAAGAAATTACCTAACAGAATATAACTCTAAAATAGAATCATAATTAGAATAGGAATTTGAGACACAAATTCCAACACATAAGATAAACCCATGTAACACGACTATTATCATCAATGAACAACACAAAATATCGAAATCCAAGACTAGAAATAACTGGGCAAGGACCCCACACATCTGAATGAACAAGATCAAAAAGTGCTAAAGTAGATTTATTACTACTAGCAAGATAATTGAAACGAACATGTTTAGCCAAGTGACACGTCTAACATGATAAATATGAGACTGCCACATTACAAAATAAGGAAGGAAACAATTTTTTTAAATAATCGAAAGAAATGTCCTAAACGCATGTGCTAATGCATAAGGTAGGCTTTACTAGACGAAACATAATTAGAAAAAGAAATTGAATGTGCTTGAGGTCACAAAGGAGCATCCAATAGGTAAAGGTCGTCCACTTCACGCCCATTGCTAATCGTCCGTTCAACACCAGATCTTGAAAAATACAGTGAGAGGGAAAGAAATTTGAAGACAGAGAGAATATGCTCCATGATAATAATTCCAATACTCCCCCTCAAATTCTAGATGGGATTACAAGAACAACCTGGCTCTGATACCATGCTAAATTTGGATGTGGAAATAAAAAATGCAAATAGGAAAGAGAGAAAGATGGAGAACACGGGCATATACATGATTCGGCACTAAGGCCTACATCCATAGACAAAGAGCCACTGAGGGCTACATTTCTATTATTAAGATATATTTTGCTTGAGTACAAAGAGCCTATATATAGGCACGGTAAAGATAAGAAAATATGGAAGGTGCACAATAATCAAAGGAGGCACCATGAATGGTGGAGGATTTTGCTCCACCGTTATATAGAAATATTTATGGTTGGAAGGAAATTGACCAGATCACCATGATTGGTGGAGGATTTTGCTCTACGATTATATAGAAATATTTATATATTTCAACAGAAACTAAATCAAATCAAAGCATATTCTATAGCATAATTAAATCTCTGCTAATATGGTAAGTCATTCCATAAATCGTGGCTATCATATCTACTAACACTTAGCAACATTGGAAAAGAGAAAAAAAGAAAATTTAATTTTTGATAGAATATTTAAGTATTAATAAAACATTCATTCCTAAATTAATTTCTAATACTTGAATAAAAATAAAATTCTAGATTTTCTATGTTAAATTTTTTTTAGCACACATTCTCTATCTCTTTTCAAAATTTTCAATCTTTCACAATTAAAACAAAGAGGCAGAAACACTAAAAGTTCTGTGAAAGAACATTATGGATTGCAAGTAAACCTGTAAGGACTTGAAAATGAACTGGGACGAAAAATAACTTCATAGCGTGAACTCTTTCTTCCATTTCTTACTGCTACTTTCAAATGCATTTGATTGTTCCCACTCTCATTCCTCAAGGAAATACACATAACACCTTCCGTCTCAACACTAAATGGTGTGCTCCATTTGTATCCATCCATCCGCAACTGAAAAATAAGACAAACTTAAATCTTAGGTCTGGAAAATATATTAAATCTCCCATTTCCGATGGGGTCAGTAAATTTTTACTTACCTTCAACAATTCAGATGTTGCAGAAGATTGCCATCCAAAATGTTTCGGAGGATCAGTGGGATGAATCCATTCCAGTGACCGACTATTACACTGCTGCAGACAAAGACTGCAGCCAACCCTATTAACAAACAAGGTGTGTGGTTGAAAATGAACAACCTGCATAAAAATCAATTAATAATTGTTACTTAGAGATAAACAAGTGATTCACTGGACACTAACGAAATAAGATAGCTTTTGAATTAATTGAAAAACATATTTTCCACACGAAAAACAACGGGCCAGTGGCCTAGCGGCATCAGGCCCTTACTTCCCAAAGGGAGGTTAGGGGTTCAAGCCTAAGTGGAGGCATGTGTGTGTGAGTACCAACTAAGGAAAATATATATATATATATATATATATATATATATATATATATATATATATATATATATATTTGTGTGTGTGTGTGTGTGTGTGAAAAATTCAGCTCAATAAATAAGGAAACCGTAATTAGCTAAGGAAATAGTGCGTGTATAGCTGTAATTAGATAAGGAAACAGTGCGTGTATAGCTGTAATTAGATAAGGAAACAGTGTGTGTATAGCTGTAATTAGCTAGGAGATTTTGTAATGTTTTAATCATTGTAATCCCTGATTTTAGGGAATTAGTCTTTGGTCAATATCTCTAGGATTAGACAGTTTCCTAGTTTTAGAGTTTCCTAATTCAGATCCTCTGAAGTGTATATAACAATGTAATTTCATTGTGATTTTAATACAATTGAATTTCAGCCCAATTTGTGTCATGGTATCAGAGCTGTAGGCTCAATTCTGGGAATTGTATTTCTGGTCTTGCAAACTCTCATATCGCTAGACTAATTATTATCAATCTCCAGCCCCACACTATCACCCCTCAAGACCATAACCCTTTTACCAAAAGACCATGTCAGAAACAACCGACAATAGCAACACCGCGACTACCTCGGAGGTTCCTTTGACTGAAGGCAACAACTCGATTCCAACAGGGGAATTGCAGAACATCCAAGCAGTGTACAGGTTGAACGGGAAGAACTATCTAAAGTGGTCTAAACTGGTTCGCATGTTCTTGAAGGGGAGAGGCAAACTGAGTCACTTACTCGGTACTGGGCCTAACAAAGGGGATCCCAAATTTGATGCTTGGGATGAACAAGACTCTATGGTGATGTCTTGGTTATGGAACTCTATGTTGCCAGAAATCAGTGATACATGTATGTTTCTTAACACGGCCAAAGAAATATGGGAGGTCGTGAAGCAGACTTACTCTAAAGTTCGGGATGCTGCACAAATCTATGAAATCAAGACCAAGATTTCATCCACCAAGCAAGGTAGTCGATCTATCACAGAGTACTCCAATATGTTGTAGAGCTTATGGCAAGAGATGGATCATTACCAGTGCATTCAAATGAAATGCGGCGAGGATGCAGCCCTCTTTAAGAGGTTTGTCGAAAAAGACCGAACTTGTGATTTTCTTGCAGGACTGAACATTGAATTTGATGCAGTAAGAGTCCAAATACTCGAAAAGGAAGATCTGCCATCACTTAATGAAACAATTGCAATTGTTCGTGCTAAGGAAGGAAGAAGAGGAGTTATGATTGAGAATAACCCAGTGGACAGTTCGGCCTTGGTTACAAAAGCTGCAAATGTGAGGAACTTTGGTCGAGAGCAACCATCTAATGAAGACAACAAGTGGGCAGATTTTACAAGGCCAGTCAATAAAGATTTCCTATGGTACACATATTGCAAAAAGTCCCGCCATACTAGGGACAAATGCTGGAAACTCTACGGCAAACCGGAGACGGCAAACAAAAATTGGACGGCAAAAGGTGGACAGCCAAAGGGACAGGGGCATGCGTATATGGCAAATATACAATAGGCTGGAGAAGGTAAATCTCAAGAATCATCTATTGAGTTCGATAGAGAGGAAATTGAAAAATTGAAGAATCTATTGGGATCTTTGGAGAAACCATCTACAACAGGTACTTGTACTTTGGCGTTCTCAGGTATATCTTCCTCTGCTCATGCTTTTAAAGTCTCGGATATATCCACCACAAGCTCCTGGGTCATCGACCAGGAGCTACAGATCACATGACCCACTCGTCACAAAAGTTTATCTACACCTTGTCCTAGCAATAGGAAGATAACAATACCCGATGGTTCTGTGACAACAGTGGCAGGTCAGGGAGATGTTTTTATAAGCAAAACCCTCACACTTAGAAATGTTCTCCATGTACCAAAATTATTTACCAACCTTTTGTCAATCCACAAGCTCACTAAAGATTCTAATTGCAGTGTGGTGTTTTATCCCTCTCGTTGTGTATTTCAGGAACAGGGCACGAGGAGGATGATTGGACATGCTAAAGAAAGGGATGGTCTCTACCATCTTGAAGAACCCAGTGGTCAAGTTAGTGTTGCGAATTCCTCACCATTATCATTTCTTTCAGAGTCTTTTAAATCCAATAAAGACAAGATTTGGCTTCAACACCTCCGTCTTGGTCACCCGTCATTTAGAGTCCTTAAAATTATGTTTCCTTTATTGTTCAAAGGATTAGATGTTGAAAATTTTCACTGTGATATCTGTGAACTTGCAAAGCACAAACGTGCTTCTTTTCCAATAAGTGATAAAAGAACATTTGTTCCATTTACTCTTATTCATAGTGACATTTGGGGACCGTCCACTGTTTCTAACATTTCTGGGGCTCGGTGGTTCATTTCTTTCATTGATGATTGCACTCGTGTGTCTTGGATCTTTCTTATGAAAAATAAATCTGATACGGGCTCTGTCTTTCCTGTTTTTTACAACATGGTCAAAACACAATTTGGTACTGAAATAAAAAGATTTTGTTCTAACAATGCTAAAGACTATTTTAATCAGTTTCTCTCACCATATTTCCGAGAGAAGGGCATAATACATGAATCTTCTTGTGTTAACACACCCCAACAAAATGGTGTGGCTGAAAGAAAGAATGGTCACATTTTAGCTATTACAAGAGCATTCTTGTTTCAAAAAAATGTTCCTAAGCAATATTGGGGGGAAGCGGTTTTAACTGCTACTCATATGATAAACAGATTGCCTACAAAGGTTCTTGATTTTAAAAGTTCGATGCAAATTTTAACGAAATTCTTTCCTAATTTCAATGCTTCAAGTAGTCTTGTTCCCAAAATATTCGGTTGTTTTGCTTTTGTCCATGTGCATTCTCAAAATAGGGGAAAACTTGATCCATGGGCTGTCAAATGCGTCTTTATTAGCTATTCTTCTACTCAAAAGGGGTACAAATGTTATTATCCTCCCACAAGAAAATTCTATGTATCAACTGATGTCACTTTTGTCGAAGAAGATCATTACTTTACTCGTCCTTATCTTCAGGGGGAGATCTCATTCACGGAAGATAAGGACAAGGATCTTTTTCTTCTTGATCTTCATTGTCCTCCTCCTCGGTTCCTGTCTTTGTTGTCCAGCCAAACACTCATTCCGTTCCTATTGACACTTAGTCCGTTCCTGTTGATCAACCTGAGCTAGTCCAGCCTGAGCCAAACATTCCGTCCAAATCCATACAACCTGAAACCGAGCCTCATACACCCAAGTCACAAGAGATGATAAAGGGAAAGCAAATTCAAGACTCTACTCGTCCACTGCTTGTTTTTTCAAGAAGAAAGGCACCAATCACTCAATCTGTGCAGGTTCAATCACCCAAATCAACCCCTGCTCTTGGACTTAGCGAGGTAATTACTGAACCTATTTCTAATGAATATGGTGTCACTGAAGTTCTTGACCAAAGTGATTATGATATTCCCATTGCTATTAGAAAGAAAACTAGAGCATACACTAAACACCCTCTGTACTTATTCATGTCATACAAGAATCTGTCCCATAACCACAAAGCCTTTCTCACAAGCCTAAACACAATCTCCATTCCCAAAACCATATCCGAGGCATTAGGTAATGAGAATTGGAAGAATGCCATGAAGGTCGAAATGGAAGCACTTGAGAAGAACAAGACATGGGACTTGGTGAAATTGTCGAGAGGGAAGAAACCGGTGGGATGTAGATGGGTATTCACGGTAAAATACAAATCAGATGGTTCATTGGAGAGGTATAAAGCAAAATTAGTTGCTAAAGGCTATACCCAAATGTATGGAATAGATTATCTTGAGACATTTGCTCCTGTTGCGAAGATGAACACCGTTAGAGTGTTTTTGTCAATGGCTGCTAATCTGGGCCGGAATTTATAGCAATTCGATGTCAAAAATGCCTTTTTACATGGTGATCTCAAGGAGGAGGTTTATATGGAAGTTCCACCGGGGTTTGGTTCGAATACAGGACAGGTGGTATATAGGTTAAGAAAGGCGTTGTACGGATTAAAACAGTCTCCAAGAGCTTGGTTTGGAAGGTTTGCCAAGGTAATGCTCGATATGGGATACAAACAGAGCCAAGGCGATCACACCTTGTTTGCAAAGCACTTGGCTTCAGGGGGAGTGACTGCATTGTTAGTCTATGTAGACGACATTATAGTGACAGGTGACGATTTGGAAGGAATGGAGAATTTAAAGAAGTGTTTAGTGAAAGAATTCGAAATCAAAGAGCTTAGCAAACTAAAGTATTTTCTCGGCATTGAGGTAGCACATTCTCGGGAAGGAATTTTCATATCTCAGCAAAAATATGTAACAGATTTGCCGATGGAAACAGGCAAGTTAGGTTGCAGACCAGCAGAGATGCCTATAGAGTTCAACCACAGGCTTGGAGATGCTCTGGAAGACACGGTAGTAGATAAAGGCTCCTATCAAAGACTTGTGGGAAGGCTTATCCATTTATCACACACTAGACCAGACATAGCCTATGCAGTTAGTGTTGTAAGTCAATTCATGCACAATCCCAAAGAGTCACATCTTAGGACTGTGCATCGAATCTTATAGTACTTGAAAGGCACACCGGGCAAAGGAATTCTATTTAAGAAGGGGGAGGAGCTTACACTGATGCAGATTATGCAGGGTCTATAATTGATAGGAGATCTACTTCGGGTTATTGCACTTTTCTAGGAGGCAACCTTGTGACTTGGAGGAGTAAAAAACATAATGTTGTGGCAAGATCCAGTGCAGAAGCCGAGTTTAGAGCAATGGCACTTGGGATTTGCGAATTATTATGACTGAAAATTGTCTTAGAAGATCTAAGAGTTAAGTGGGAAGGTCCAATGAAGCTTTATTGTGACAATAAGTCAGTCATTAATATTGCACATAATCCAGCGCAACACGACCGTACGAAGCACATTGAAGTTGACAGGCACTTTATAAAGGAGAAGCTTGATAGTGGCCTAATTTGCACTTTATTTGTTTCCACTAGCAATCAACTTGCAGACATACTCACCAAAGGATTGTCTGGGACGTTTTTTCAGAGACTAGCAAGCAAGCTTGGAATGGATGATATCCATTCACCGCTTGAGGGGGAGTGTGGAAAATTCAGTTCAATAAATAAGGAAAGCGTGTGTGTATAGCTGTAATTAGCTAAGGAAACAGTGTGTGTATAGCTGTAATTAGCTAGGAGATTTTGTAATGTTTTAATCATTGTAATCCCTGATTTTAGGGAATTGGTCTTTGGTCAATATTTCTAGGATTAGACAGTTTCCTAGTTTTAGAGTTTCCTAATTCAGATCCTCTGAAGTGTATATAACAATGTAATTTCATTGTGATTTTAATACAATTGAATTTCAGCCCAATTTGTGTCAATATATATATATATATATATATATATATATATATATATATATATATATAAATTTTATCAATTGTAAATACTAATTAAATATATTCCATTTTGCCCACTTACAATTTTAGATTCCAGGTGTCTTTCCTTTAGTTTTTTATTATATATATATATATTGTTCTATGATTCTCTCATGACATTCTCAATTTGGAAGTGCTGGGTGAAATGAGCAAAATTGCCACATTCAAAAGGTGGTGTGTGTGTCGGATACTCCTTTGAAACTAATTTTTTTTATTTTTAAATTTAGTTAATTAGTTAATCACATGTTTCAATTGTAATCACAAAAATGGCATAAACATAATATAAATAGAGCTGAGACACCGGAATTTTAGCGGAAAACGTTGAAAGATGTTAGTTGTGAAAGCTAATATTAGCTGTATAAACAGCAGATCTTCTAGCCTTATAGTTTCTATAGTTGCTGCCATATTTAACTCCTTTATTGTAGGGATTTGATTTTATTATCATTGTAAGTTAGGAGCAGATTGTAGGGTTTTGTTTGACCTTTTTTTTTTTTTTTTTTTTTTTTTTTTTTTTTTTTTTCCTTCTATACTTTTTCACTCTGTCCTATATATACTTGTACAAAATGTAAACATATGAATTATAGACATAGAACTTTTCTCTCTATAAAAAACCAATCACGGTGATCTGGTCAATTTCCTTCCAACTATAAATATTTCTATATAATGGTGGAGTAAAATCCTCCACCAATCACGGTGTCTCCTTTGACTATTGTACACCTTCCATATATTCTTATCTTTACCATGCCTATATATAGGCTCTTTGTACTCCAGCAAAAAAAGATCTGAATAATGAAAATATAGTCCTTAGTGGCTCTTTGTCCATGGATGTAGGCCTCAGTGCCGAACCATGTATATGCATGTGTTCTCCATCTTTCTCTCTTCCCTTTTCTTATTTGCATTTCTTATTTCCGCATCCAAATTTAACACATGTCAAAATAAATTGAACTAAAACGATGTGATCTAGTTGTTGATTCATAGTGGTGTGATGAAGTCGAGGACTGTTACATAATAAATACTGCTGGAAAATCAAATTACCGTCAGCAATTATTAATTACAAGCAGAAATAATGTTTCAAGATAAGAAAAATATACCTTTGTTCTGTCTGATGTCATGTGCACTAAAGTAGAGAGCTTATAATAAGATCCATCAGAACTAAAAGCATTTACGTCAACTCGTTGCTGGAAGATAAGTCAAGTTTCCATGAGATCACAAATTTAAGATAAAAATTTTAAAAAAGGAAAAGAATTTTTGAAGCCATAATGAAGGTGATAAGGAACTGTATGTATATCACCTTTTTTTCCAGTTCAAGAAGAGAAATCCCAGGACTATAATTCCTGGAATTTCGAATGGCAACAGAAATGCCCACTCGCGGGGACAGATATGCATCATTTCGTGATGAGAATAGCATAACCCCACCACGGCCAACATAGTTTTGTGGAGAAAGCATGCTAGGTGTTGGACTTGTGTCTTCAATTGCTTCCAATATCTGAATGTTTCTATTTGGGCCAATATTTCTCCTGTCCATCGAGTTTGTAGGATTTTTCAAGGCAGTTTTTGCAGATTTAATTGCTACATCTGCATTCTCGAGAGGTTCAATTTCCACAACTTGATATGCCAAAGACAGGGAGGAGTCATTATTAATCCAATACGGAACAAAAAACCTAATGTTTTTTGGGGCAGCTGTGGTTCCCCCCATGTCACGTTCAATGCTTACCCGCAATCTCCTGCATAGATGATGTCACGAAGCCGATGAGTAACCACCACCAAAAAGCAAATTTATATCCACAAGAACCACTGGTCTTGTGGTCCAGGTGAATCCTGTTTAAAATCTTAACCATATCATCAGGAACTCCAATCCCTTTGTTGCTTGGGGGAAAGAACACAAGAAACAATAATCTTCTCTTTATTAGAGAGAACAATTATCAATCAAAGACAAAAATGAAAAAAAGAAGCATTATTCTCAAACATCTTGATTTGGGCAATCAGTTATTAACTTAACATCTTGAATCAAACATCAATTGGATAATTACAATATAATGGAGACAGCAAACATGGTTAACATACCCTTTCCTCCATCCTTATCTTAATTGTTCGTTAATGCACATGTAAAACAATTGAGTTTAAAGAATGGGTGTATAAATCATTTGTTTAATGAGCAAGTATATAACTTAATGAGATGAAACATGAGGAAATAGTTATGCTTCAATCAGAATGAAGGATGGAAAAGTGGATGGAAGGGAGTATAGGAAGGAAGGATGAGTCATCCCTAGGGGAAAAAAGTTATCCTTCCCTCCTTTTGTTTGGTTGAGTGGGAGGGGAAACAAGTAGTTGGCACTTTACATGAAGGAGTGATTTGTATTTATTTTTTACTTTTTATTTACCATTACACACTCATTATCTAAATGAATACATAAGCAAACATTCAACCCAAAAGTGTGGAAAACGTTGAAGGTTAGTCATTTTACATTCTACACGACAGTTATCAGTCTTCCCTCCTCTTCCATCCAATTTTGGACTCATCCATCCTTCCCTGTTCTCTAACCCTTTTTTGTACCAATAAATGGAGACAATGCTCCATTGTTCCTCTTTTCCTTCCCTCCTAAGCATTAAAGTGCTTCGAGTTTAATTGTACTCTGTTGCTGAATTTGGGAGACGAAGCACATACACACATTTATTGGGGGGAGGAGGGAAGGAGTTTCATACAAGTATTTGTTACTTATTACTGATAACTGTGATGAGTAGCATGAAATTTATTAAAACAACATCTAAAGATGAAAGGCATTATTTATGCAATTATCTATGCCAAACCAATTGAAAAAATGATTAGTGGCTGCATGCCTCTGATTTCCACAAGTAAACTGGATTACGGAGTCAAGGAACTGATAATAATCAAACCTAATCGTTAACAACCATCTATCCAAAAGCTTAAGCTGTTAGAGAGGGCTTAACTTAAATATATAAATCCTTCAACACACCCCCTCACGTGTGGCCTTCTTTTGTCCAACACGTGTTTTACAATTTTTAATGAGGGTGACAGGGAAGTTTGAACTCGAGACCTTTTGCTCACATACCATGTTAACAACCATCTACTCCAAAGCTTAAGCTGTTAGAGAGGGTGTAACTTAAATATATAAATCCTTCAACACTAATTCGTATAGTTCAGTAACAATTCTGAGCTCTATAACAATTTTGATTTCTCAAAATTGGTATTGCTACTTAAGAATGAAGCAGATGTCAGGCTATTGCTTTTATCGATCTGCAACGGCAGCCCATCAGATTTAGAAAATACCTCAATACAAAGAAAACACAGAAAAATAGTACTTGAGATAGTTTCTGCCCCTTCATATGCATACACATCCTGAAAAACAAACTATGATACTCAATGGCCATTTGCCAATAATTATAGTAGGTATGTAAAAGGAAAACAAAATTGAACATGATCATGTTTCATATGTTTTGTCCTCTAACCTGTACTATGACAAGTAAACAAAGCAACTGCACATCAGAACATAGAAGATTTTTATTTTTTTGAAAACTACAAACCTTTTAGTCCGCTGGTGAACCAACCAAAATGATGAAACATGGTCATTAGATGATGAATCCAAAATCAGAACAGGGTCCTGAGAATAGAAGGACAATGGAAGACATTAAAAGGGTTGAAAATAAGAACAGTTATCCACATTCATCAGCAAAGAGATTACATGCATGTTAAGATTCAAAATCATACCTTTTCCAAAAGCCAATCACCCTGAACAACGAGACTAAGATATATAGGTTTCCGGATATCAGCAGAATATATATGTACACTGCCCTGTGATGAGATAATACCACACTGCCGCTCAACACTATCTCCTTCTTTTGACTTTTCCCATATAGTGAATTCTGCTGGGTAAGGAAGTCGATTCTCCAACTTCAAAGAAGAGTTAATGGATATTTTCCAATCATAAACAGGAGCATTCAGCTCGGTGTGAAGAGCTGAGGCATCTGCACCGATGCTAAGCCAAAATTGTTTAGTGCCAGTAGCAGGACAACAACAAAAAAGTACATCCTTCTTTTCAAGCTGATTTAACTTGAATAAAGAAACTGGAATTTCATGTCCCTGCTTCAAGGTATTTTGTCTAGAGAAAAAATTTTGATCCATGGAGGACTGGTCCTTTCCGCAGGTGTATACAGAACCTACAGCAACTGCACATCCCCATGAATACGAGGGCTCAGCATGATCAACAAAAGGACGGACTTGTAAACAGCAATCAGAATCCTTGGCAATACTCCTCCAGGGTAAAACAGTGGAAGAACCAGGAATTATGGTACCAACAACATTGTTCGAGTTGTTTATGCCTTGCTTAATAACAGTTTGCCTAGTACGAATCCAACACCTTCGACGGACAGAATCAAGAGCTGATTTTGCGGATGACTTCGAAGAAGTTGGAGGCCATTTCAAACTAGGATAGTCAGGTCCATATGCCCATCCATCATTGTCACCAAACTGAGGTTTATCTATGGTCCACTTCGATATCCATGTCCATCCAAGGGGGAGGGAAGGTTCAAAAAAATCCTTCAAAATAGAGAAAGTGGAAATGATTAAAGAAGCTCAGTTAGGCAGTCCAAATAAAATTAAACTTGCATTTCTAACCATAACTTTGGAAAACACTCACATTAGATGAATATGAGAAGTCCCTAGTGCTCCATGGCCCAAAATTATTACCACTAGAGCCAGGCCACTTGTTTACCCAACCAGATATGGGATGATAACGTTGATTTTCGAAGATCTCTTCTACCATAATGTTATGACTGCTTGCATCTGTAGCATGGCAGAGGGAAATATCCAATTTGACATCTGAATCATTTGCAACTGTAGCCAGACCCCTGAAAATTGCATGCTTTTTTCCATTTTTTGTCACCACTTCCATTGCAATAAAATCATCTTTAACTGCTATGGTAAGCACTGAAAGAGGAAGAAATGAACGAAAATTCTCCCACGGGCCCTCTGAGCTAAGACCCATCCAGAATCCTACATCTCTACCAACATCAGCTCTATTTTCTGCATCACTTTTAAAGTTTGCAATTGTTTTCCTTTCAAAATAAGAAGTGGAAACTAGAAGGCATCCGCTGGAATACATTTCATCATTGTTAAGTTGACCCTGAAGGGAAAAATGGGAAATTAGTGCAAGATAGAAGATTCCAAACAAAAAATGTATTGTAAAATATGTGAAGGGTATAAATATAATTGCACAAATACAAAAAAATATGTATGTCAAACATAAGAACTAACCCTTTTCCTTAGTGGATATGATAAAATATTTTGAACATCAGATGGTTGATGCAGTATTCTGGCTGAAGCCACCTTCTTCAACGTATTTGAACCTTGTCCAACAGAAAATGAAGACGCACCCACAACTTCACCTATATCTCCAAGAAACAAGTTTGAGATCAGCACAATTATATGTATGAAAAGGTTTTCTTTACAAAGAATCATTTGCAATGAGTGGGAATAATGCATTGCGTAGAAAAGATCATTAAATCCTGCTTCAGAATAATACCTAATTGCACAAAGAATATTAGAAGAATGTTGACACCATTTGTAAGCACCATGTTGGAGAATAATTATAGGAGTGATTTAAGCCCTTAAATCACTTCTTGACAGAATGTTAACGTTGCTATACTTGGGTAACAAGTTGTTGCCATATTTGTATTTGATTTTCTGTGTAATTCCTTTATTATAAAATACTTGTAGGGCAAAAAATTTCTGTTCTCTAGAGTTTTTCCCAATTCACATATATAAATAGAGGTTGTTATTGTAAACAAAATCAAGAGAGTGTAATAAAGATATATAGCCCTTTGGGCTTGGTCTGCCGTGGATGGAAGCTCTAATGGTTGAACTATGTATATCCTTGTGTTCTTCATTTTCTATTTCTCTCTTCAATTTTGACATGGTATCAGAGCAAATTTATCATAACCTACTCTATACTCTACTAGTAGAAATATAATATAGAAGAAAGAGAAGAGAAATGACATAATTGTGTAAAGGGTTGTATGAGATAATCACTCATTCACAGCTCTAGTATTTATGTATTAAAAGAGTCATGCTCATATTACAAGAAAGAAAATTAAATCAAATCTAAATTAAATCACAGCATAGTCTATGACATATTCTGTAGCATAATCAAATCTCTGCTAAGAAGGTAAGTCATTCCATAAATTGTGGCTATCATATCTGCTAACACTCCCCCTCAAGTTGGTGCATGGATATCAGAATCGCCCAACTTGGACAATGCATTCTCAAACACAATCTTGCTAACGCCCTTTGTAAAAATGTCTGCAAGCTGTTGAGAGCTTGGGACAAATGGAGTGCAAATATGACTAGCGAAGATTTTCTCTCAGATGAAGTGCTGATCAACAAATCAAAAATGTCTCTACAAACCATAAACAATTCACAATGTCTCCTCAGACCATAAATAACCAATCATGTCTCCTCAGACCATAAACAACCAACAATGTCTCTTCAGACCATTTCCCTTCATACTCATGTTTAAAACATGTAGAAGGAAGAATCAACAATATCTCCTTCGACCATTGCCCTTCATACATATGCTTAAACAATGTAGATGAAAGAATCAACAATTTCTCATCAGACCGTAGAAAGAAACAAGCGTCTCCTCGGACCATTTTTGAATAGGTGGTACCAAACTCGCAACGCCCTCATTGAGGTCGGATGAAGCGATGTCACCTTAGACCATTCCCAAATGGGTGGTGCTGAACTCGCAATGCCCTCATTGCAGTCGAACCACCCCAACTCTGATACCAAGTAAAAATATGATATAGAAGAAAGAGAAGAGAAATGACAGAATTGTGTAAAGGCTTGTATGAGATAATCACTCATTCACTACTCTACTATTTATAGATAAAAAGAGCACATGCTCATATTACAAGAAAGGAAATTAAATTAAATCTAAATGAAATCACAGCATATTCTATGGCATATTTTATAGCATAATCAAATCTCTGTTAATACGGTAAGTCATTCTATAAATCGTGGCTATTATATTTGCAAACACTACTCGTCTTGGATCTTCGGATAAACTCGTCTCGGATCTCCGAATCAACTCGTCTCAAATCTTCAGATCAACTCATCTTGGATCTTCAGATCAACTCGTCTCATCTCGGATCTTTGGATCAACTCGTCGTATTTTCTGATCAACTCATCTCTGATTTACTTGTCTCAAACTCTCAACAACTTCATATTTAGTTTCAAGTTGGACACTTGAGTTAAATTTCCGTGTACCAACTTAGGGAAGGCGGGGTGTCGGAGAATAATTATAGGAGTGATTTAAGCCCTTAAAACACTCCTTGATAGAATGTTAACGTTGCTATACTTGGGCAACAAGTTGTTGCCATAGTTGTATTTGACTTTCTGTGTAATTCCTTTATTATAAAATACTTGTTAAGCAAGAAATTTCTATTCTCTAGCTACAATTTTTTCCCAATTCACCTATAAATAGAGGTGGTTATTGTAAACAAAATCAAGAGAGAGTATAAGAAAGACATATAGCCCTTTGGGCTTGGTGTGAAGTGGATGTAAGCCCCACTGGATGAATCACGTATATCCTTGTGTTCTTCATTTTCTATTTCTCTCTTCAATTTTGACCCACCACATCATCAAAGAACACAAAATTAACCTAATATTGATTTCTAAATTGGAAACCACAATTTTAAAGCAAGTGTGCCAAGACTAAGAGTAATCTTCAATGGTAAGTTGAACAAATCATTATTATATTAACAAATTATACATCTTATTACAGCTAATTCTGTAACCAACATTAAATCGATGATGGTTCACATTGCATTAAGTCCTTGGGGAAGACCTAAAGTACTCTATAGACAAGGAGAAGCTTGAAAAATTGATTTAGTCCTTTCAAATGATGGATGCTCTTATTCATTTCAAATATTAATAGCATATGAACCAGCAATTTAAGTGGCAGACATCAACTAAAATACATTAAATGCATCAATAGATGTTTACACAAGTTTGGGTAAATTCTGATTTAGAAGCTGTAGTGCTGAGCCATATACCTTTTCCAGCTTTTGCTGCAAGGTTTGTTACTTCCACTTCCAACTTAGCGTGCCCCTGCAATGCTCACAAATGAAATATTCTGTAGGGATGAAATGCACAATGCAGATTGAAGGAGAACACATAAACAATTGACGGAAAGACTTGACAAAATAAATTCAAGCATCATATACGTGGTTCATAATTTCTTCCAGAGGTAATCTTAAAAAATAAAGAAAATGGCTTTAGAACATACAAAACAAAGAATTATATTGTAACGTGAAATTTGGGAACAGGCATAAAATTTCAACACTACCTAATTTACATGCAAGGATGAGTTTACTTAAGTATGTAACACAATACACACTAATAACCTCCTGTATCAAGATGAATTAGAATATCAATTTGTGTTGTGATTGGTTGGTTAGTCACATTTAGCAAAATAAATACCATGTTGGCATTGCCAGCATTGCGCTCGAGCAGGTGTGAAATAAAAAGTTTTGAGGGCCATACCTTAAATTTAGAATATGTATTACTAAATTTTTAATTTTGAAGGCCCTAGGTTGGGTGAAGGTGAAAGACCTTATATTCTATCCTCGATTTGTGTGTCTTTGTCAGGGCAAGTTAGCCTTGCTTGCCTTTTGTAGTGAGTAGTTAAACTCGCTTTTCAAATCATGTTCCAAGATTTTTAAAATCAAACGTGCAGAAATAAATGAAATAAACAGGTTCAAGGGCACATGCAGGGAGCTCTTAAAGAACTATAGCAATAAACCTTCTTCATCTAAAAATCAATGGCAAACACAACATATAGAAATATCTGAAATCAATAAAATGCAAATAGTCGCTTAGAAACAAAATTATAGAAGAACAAACCATTCAATTTCTCATATAACACGTGACATGAATATGAGTATAATTGACATGGTCAAAGTCGAGATTAACAATCATAAGGTCACAATTCAAGTTATTAATTACCCTTCTACACCTCTTGACAAATTACAAAAGAAAACCACCATCTACCCCAAAAGCTTAAGCTATTAGAGAGGGTGTAACGTCAATATTTATATCCTCTAACACAACCCCCTCACGTGTGGCCTTTTTTTGGTCCAACACATGTTTTCAATTTTAATTATTAGGGTGACGGTGAGGTTTGAACTTGAGACTTTTGACCTTTAACTCTGATACCATGTCAACCACCATCTGCTCCAAAAGCTTAAGCTATTAGAGAGAGTGTCACTTCAATATTTATATCCTCTAACACGGCCCCCTCACGTGTGACCTTTTTTTGGTCCAACACAAGTTTTCAATTTTAATTATTAGGGTGACGGTGAGGTTTGAACTTGGAGACTATAGGCTCTGATACCATGTTAACCACCATCTGCTCCAAAAGCTTAAGCTATTAGAGAGTGTGTAACTTCAATATTTACATCCTCTAACATCCTTATTAGGTGCAATTTTGGAATTTATGATTTTTAGGCACTCAAATAAATTCATGAGAGAGAAACCCTACATCTCTAATTCTTCCCATCACTATCTTCCTCTTTTTGATTTTCTCTATTGATGGACAATGCATGTCATTATTAAGGCAAATTTTGTGATTTGAACAGTTTAAGAACTCATGTATAAATTCACGAGATAGAGAGAAATCCCACAGTTCTATTTTCTTCCTCTCTCTTTCCTCCTCTTTATAGATGAATCAATCTTTAGCTAAGAAGAATGGGAACTTCTATGAGGTGCTGTGTCCAGTCAGACATGCATTAGACACTGAAACTTCAAGGGAATTCTTAGACACATGTCCTATGCCTAATGAACATGTGTAATTCAAAAAGGAATTTTCTTATTTTGCACACTTGCCTGAGACATCCCAAACACTCTGCAGCACAAGCCTTAATGTAGCACAAACACATCTAAAAAGGCACCATGTCAGATAATTTTGGGAACAAGATGAATACACCTAAAGTGTCTGATCTTTCTTTGAAAAAAAAAAAAAAAACTGACAATATATGGCCATCACATATGAAGTATATAGGAAATAAACACCTTTTAATTGTTGGAGAATATCATAGGAGTGATTTATGGAATTCATTTTAGGAATCCCGCATCAATGTATTTTTTATATTTATCACTTGTATTCTTTCACCTAAAAATAGAGGTGCTAATTGTAAAAAATATTAAGAGAGAGTATAATGAAAGTGTCGCAGTCATATGGGCTTTGTTGTTGTTAGGGGCTTATTTGTTATTACTTATATAATGTTGGGGCTTATGTGTAATTTCTGAAACGTGTTGGTATAAATTGAATTTGGTGGAAGGATAAAAGAATTCTTTCATTCTTGCACTCTTTCCCCATCTCTCTCTCTCTTTTTCTCTCATCCTCTTTCTTCTCTTTTTCTTCTTCTTATACTTTACTCTTGATTTGATCATCTCTTATGCTCTGTTCGGTATGAAAGAAAAAAATTGAATGGAAGGGAGAGAAGAAGAGATGGATGAGACATCCCTAGGGAAGAGATTATGTATTTCCTTCTTTTCGTTTAGTTGGATAGAAGAGAATAGAATAAGCTTATAATTTCCTATGTTCATTAAGAGAGAAGGAAAAATAAAGTTTTAATTGTTTTTACCATTATATCTAATAATATTGTAATTTATAGAGTATAGTACTGTAATTTAAAACTTGTATAATTTATGATAGTATTTAATTTAAAACTTCTATAACCGTCCACTTGTCTTCCCTCATTTTTTCCGCCCAAAAATGACAGATGAAAATTTGTAAAGGAGGAAGGATGAGTCATCCTTCCTATTTTCCATTCTTTTCTTGTATCATCTCTATCGAACAAAGGAAGTTTGTTCCTTCCTTCCTATTTTCTCTCCACCCCTCTTTTTTCCTTCCTACCAAACATAACATTAAAGTCAACATTGTATCAGAGCATGGTTTGTAAAGCTTAGGAGTGTAGTTGAAACCCTAGGGCAAGTTTGTGAAAACCCTAATGGGTGTGAAGGTTTTGAAGAGGGAATTTGTTTGCAAGGAAGAAGTGTTAATCACATCCAAAAATTTTTGGACCTGTTTTTGATCTATTGCAGTCTTGATCGACGTTTTTTTTTTTTTCTTCAACAATGGCTTTTTCTTCATCGTTCGTGATTCTGGTATGGTCTACTTTGTTGCTTTCTAGGATTTGTGTGGTGACTGTGTGGTCACTTTTTTATGCATCTCAGAAGATGGTAATCTTTCGAGTTGCAGTTGTTTGTGTGTTAGAGAGGTGGTTTTCCACGTAATTTGTTGTTGTTTTTGTTTCTGAGGATTGTATACCTAAAAACTGTTTGATAAAATGTTTAGCTCAGAGGTGACTTCAAAAGAAGCCGAGTCTTCTCCTAGTCTGACTCCAGTATTGGGCGGTAGTAGTGATCACCATCTAGGCCTTTGTATTACGACTATTAGGCTGGATGGGACGATTTATATGGAGTGGGCTCAATCTGCTCATATGCATATCACTGGTCGTAGGATAATCGACCATATCGAAGGGACTGTCACGTATCCCTCCAAGAGTGATCTTGAATTCAAAGAGTGGAGTGCAAATAATGCACTAGTTATGATGTGGTTATTGCAGTCAATGCAGCCACAGATTAGTAAAGGGTTTCTATTTGTGAAAACAGCTAAACAGGTATGGAAGGCTGTGGAAGAGACGTATTCCCCAGTTGGAAATTTTGCAAAATTGTATGAACTCCAACAACAGATTTCAAGATTCAAGCAAGAAGACCAAACTCTTGCTACATATTACCACACTTTATGTGGTAAAGGGGAAGAGTTAGATCACTTCCAAGACCACATATCTATGTGTGCAGCTGATGTTAAAGCTTTTCGTGCTAAGGTAGAAAGGAATCAAATCTATGAGTTCTTTGGGGGTCTGCATCCGAGATACGAGCATGCCAGGGTACAAGTGTTAGGCAAGCATCTAGCCCCTGAATCTATTAGAGATGTGTTTTCGTATATCCAGGCCGAGGAGAGTTAAATGAAGAGGCTAAGTTCAAATCCATGTCACATGGAGTTTGTGAGTTGTTATGGCTACGAACGATGTTGGGTGAGTTAGGTTATCCTGTTCGCAAATCAATTAAGTTGTATTGTGACAACAAGGTTGCTATTAGCACTGCCCACAATCCAATTCAACATGACAGGACAAAGCACATTGAAGTCGATCGACACTTCATCAAGGAAAAGTTTCGTCTTGGGCTGATTTGCACTCCATACATCAACACATGTGATCAGTTTATTGATATTTTGACTAAGGGTGTGAGCAAGACTTGCTTCCCAAATATGTTAGTTAAGCTGGGCATTACAGATATCTTTGCACTAGCTTGAGGGGGAGTGTTGTCAAGGACGGACTTGTTATTACTTATATAATGTTGGGGCTTATGTGTAATTTCTAAAATTTGTTTGTATAAATAGAATGTGATGGAAGGATGAAAGGATTCATTCATTCTTGTTCTCTTTCCCCATCTCTCTCTTTTTTCTCTCATCCTCTTACTACTCTTTTCTTCTTCTTCTTCTTATACTTTACCCTTGATTTGATTATCTCTTAAAGTCAACATTTGTATGTTGTGGATATAGGCCGTAGTGGCTGAACCACGTTATATCCTTGTATTCTTCATGTTTAATTACTCTCTTTAATATTAATAAAGGACAATAATATAATTTTAATGACAAAATTAGGATAGTACAAGTATATAACATAAAATTGGTGATGGTTGTACAATTCATCTTTAACATTATATGATTCTTGGTATAGAAATTTTAAAAACTTATGCATTTATCTTATATAATATAAGTATATATATAAAGATAAACATTCCATTATATTGCCGTGTCCAAAACCTATCTTTTAAAGATTAGACCTGTCATCATATTGGTATTATATTGAATCTATGTCCTAAAACAATAGCTTTATCTGATTGGCATACGTTGATAATAAATCAAATTTAGAATAATGACCCTGATGCTCTAGTCTTAAAAACAGAACATCGACTAATACAGAAACATAAACAAACATTAAGATTAGTATCACAAGGAAGTTTTAGCAACAAAAGCAATGTTACCAGATGAACGAATATAGGACAACCCCTAAACATATTATTGAAATTTGCTAATTTGACTACCACTTGTATGTTGTGATGTGATAAAATATGGAAGTTGATGAGGGCAAGAATAGGTCATTGGTCAAACGACATTAAAAAGGAATTTACTAAATGGCAGAACATCTTCCAATCCAGATTATTATTTTAAAAGGAGGAAATGGAGAAAAGAAATAAGTAGTGGAATAGAGAGTTTTGATCATGCTTTTTAACATACATAGAATATTCAGCAAGATTGTACCTTATGTCGAACATATAAAACAAGATAAGGACGAAGTAATTTCAGAAAACATAAATTTCAGGATACACAACAGCACAATTAGGGAAATTTCATATTCAGAATTCAAACAACAGCAACATGTTTAAAATGTTTCAAATCAACAAAGCATAAAATTCAGATGAAAAGTTTAGACGCTACATTAGAATTTCTGAAATACTGTCAAATAATTCATAGCTACATGTCCAAATTAAGTAGAATATACAAAAACTTGGAAATATAAAAATTTAGAACAGACTTTATATGATATCCCAGACAATAATAACATGTGTCCCAATCATCTGCATGAAACACCACAACCAGATAAATGACCCGCAAGGTCGCAATCCATTGCAGTTCCCAGGAATGATACTAAACAATGCACAATATGCATGGTTAAAAGAAAATATAGAAAGAATTCGCTGTTTACAACTTGATATGACTCATTCTACTCAGTAAATCGCAACAATCACAGTGTAGGAACCATACTCCTGAGGAATTAAAGATATGTCTGTCTAAGGTTGCATACCAATTATTAATTGCTTCTAACTAAAGATACAAGAGAAAAATAAGTTTAAAACTGTTAGAAGATATAAATAATTAAGTTCCAATTACACCCTTTCTAACAGCTTAAGATTCTAATGTAGATGTTGGCTAAAATGGTATCAAAGCGGGTAACGTCCTAAGTTTAAACCCTATAATCATTCATCAATCAGATAATTATAACTGATATATATATACTTGTTGGACTGACATTTGTCCACACAAGGGGGCATGCTAGAGGACATTAACAATTAAGTTACATCCCCTTGAGCTTCAGAAAAGATGGTGGTTTACAAAAACTGACAGGGTTTTAATGCTAACATCACAAATTACCTTATGAGGAATTTCAAATATGAATAGTTCATTCCATTTGGCAATGCCTTCATCTAGCTCATTCCTCTTGGAAATTAATGGCTTAACACATTTGGTCCTAGCACTCTGAGGGAAAAGTTTTTGCTGATTTATCTCCTGACTATCAACAACGAGGCGCAAAGCACAGAAGAAATTATGACTATTTCCATCATCAATAATAGGTAAACCCTGCACAAGCAGAAAAAAAGTTATCTTCCTTTCTCAGTGGTTGTAGTAACAATAATACTTGAAATTCAGGAAGAAATGGTCACTATAATTGGACAAATTACAACCTTGGCTTCAAATATCTGTACAGCAACATAACGTCGTGCTTCCCTGCATTCATCTGCAACATTTAACCTCTCGGAATACCTCAAAGGTGGAATCCATACAGAAGCACAATCATCCTTGCGTAGCAATTCAACTGTATCTGAATTTTGCTCAACTTTCTTCAGATAAATATCACACCCTAGTTTATTTTCTATTATCATTGTTTGAAACTCATCTTCATCCAATGCAGAAAAAGCTGAATCCTCTCCATGCCCATGACAACTACCAGCTTCCTGCAAGGACAGTGAACTAGTAAGAAACTTAAACAGCATCAACAAGTACACTAGACTAAATCAAGTACTTGTGCAACAAAAAGATATTCACAGGACAATGTTGACCTCATTTAGTTTCATTGCTTTCTGTTCAAGTTCTCTCTGCCTTCTCCATGAAACCATAGTTTCCGTCAATATATCAAGATTTGCCGCGCTGAGATTAATATTTAGGACAGTGGTAGCAGCAACACGTGCTCTTCTTCCAAGTCTTGATGGTGGATGTAGATTGGAATCATAAATTTCAAACCTCCAAAAAGCAAAAGGATATTTTGTAAAGGGCACCATATTGACAAACAAAATGATATAGGAAAAAGTGATTTATCACTTAGAAATAATATATTACTTAAATATTCCATCAAAGGACTCCACAAGTGGCTCCCATGCTTCTAATTGTTTGTTGAATGTTGATGCAGCTATAGAAGAAATCAGTACAGCATTCATTGCCTCCAGCCGGCCATGAGTTGCAAGCTTGATATTAGTGATTGTAGTGTCCAAAAGTGGTGTCATCTGAAAGGGTCCAGACTCACAATTAAAAGAAAGAAAAAAAATCAATATATCGAGGCCAGAGAGATGTATTTTCCTTTGGCTACATACCATCCCGCATAAGCTGTCCAGAACAGTCACAGAGAAGCATCTTAATTTCATTTCAGCAGTAATGTTTTCCTGTGTCTTTGGCTTCAGAGAATCACCAATAGTAAATGCCAAACGGCTGGAAGGCTTTTTCAGATCAGAGCGTGCAAGGAAAGTGCCAGCCTACACAACAAATCTGATCAAATTAAATAAAAGAAATATTGAGACGAGGATGACAATCAATAATTCTGATACACTATAAAAATGTATATCAGAAGTTCAAAATGACAAGTAAAACCTTTGAGATCAGGTGATCGTCATGCTGACCTGATTTTCAACTTTCCATATGCTCCAGCACTGAGATGCTTTTGAGCTTGAAGATCTTGAAATGGGCATCTCAAGAATACTGGCCTGGTTAACAAGATCCATCCTCGGGCAGCAAAATGAATACAGGTGTGGCACTTCATCTCTTCTAGAGACTACGCATCCTAGAGAAGCATAACCAGGGGGAGCAATTGGGTACCAGAAGAAGGCGTCATCGAGACCTTTGCTTATGATATGAGCAACTTTAGTAAATTGCACAGGATTCGCAGAGATTTCAGGACTATCAGCCTTAAAAATTATCCCCAGAGCAGGTGGCTCTAAGCTGAGAGGAAACAACACCACATGTTAATGAACAAGAAATTATAAAAAGATCCATGAGAACTATGAACAATTAAAATGAAGAATGCCTAACCCTTCAGTTATGCAGTCACCCAATATAGCATAACCAGGACGTGGTATAGGTCTCCATATGGAAACTGGTCGGCGGAGTTCACTACCCTTGTCCCACCAGATCCTCTCAAAATTTGGTGTTGACGTGTAACAATTAGTTGCTTTTGAAATTGATCTGAGAACGTCCCATCTAGAAGAGTTTGAGTTCTGGTTACTTGCTTGTTGATTTACAAATTCATGCTCAGCAGTCAAAGCTAAAGTTGATTCTTTTGAGGAAGAATGGTGCCAACTTGAATTCCACAATAAAAGATGATTCAGATCATAACAAATGTCTTTGGGAGGACATTCGGCTGAAGAATGAGCATGAAATGACCCAAGGGTGTTGTCTAAACGCCAGATACTAAATCCAGAAGTAAAGTGAGGATTTGAGGAGCTACTGAATATGCATTCAGAATATGTTGCAGACGTTACAAGATCAGAACGTATGCAATAAACAATGTGATTTGGTGGTGGTTGGCTTCCTATGTGAGCCACACACCCTAGTGCTGAGTATCCTGGTGGTGCAACTGGCATCCAAAGAGAACAATCACCATCTATATCAGAATTGCTTTCACCTCTTCCCAATCCTTGAATACCAGAAAATAATCCCAACAGCATGAAACCCAGAGGCTTCCTTACACGCCCATATGTACTACTCACTGCCATTACTGCCTGTGAAGGAGGATTTGGCCTGAAGACACGTTATAAAATTAACAACAATTAAACACAAACAAAACATAACAGTCAACTATGTATCATGTTCATACAAAACCATCAACTGTACTCAAAAGAGCAAGGGGGAGCAAATTTCAACTAAAGGAACACAATACAAAGGCGAGGCAATAATAGTTCAGTTCAGTTAATGGAACCAAATAAGACAAACAGAAACACATTAATGTAAACCAATGCAGCAGTGCCCAATCATTTTCTGATCATGTTTCGTGAATTTCGATGATTCATGTGACTAAACTAGCCTATGTCAAAAGCCAATCCCTGAATACCAGAAAATAATCCTAACAGCTTGAAACCCAGAGGTTTCCTTACACGCCCATATGTACTACTCACTGCCATTAGTGCCTGTGAAGGAGGACATGGCCTGAAGACACATTATAAAATTAACAACAATTAAACACAAACAAAACATAACAGTCAACTATGTATCATATTCATATAAAACCATCAACTGTAATCAAAAGAGCAAGAGGGAGTAAATTTCAACTAAAGGAACACAATACAAAGGCGAGGCAATAATAGTTCAGTTCAAGTTAATGGAACCAAATAAGACAAACAGAAACACATTAATGTAAACCAATGCAGCAGTGCCCAATCATTAATGAATTTGGATGGGAAAGAAAGATATACCATACATGTAGAAGAAATTTTCCATTTGATAACATAGCCAATGATTCATGCTCACTGAGCTGTAAGCTGACGTGAGTTCATGTGACTAAACTAGCCTATGTCAAAAGTCAAAATAAAAAGATGGGAATGTCAACGAAGACAAAAAGATTGTCCTCTGCAGTACTGTTCCACATAGAATGCTCAAGTAAGAGGACTGCAAGTAAGGGTATGGTATGAAAATATGGAAATATTAAAACGAAACACTACCCAAGGAACTACTTTAAATGAGTTAATATAAATACTGATTGCAAATAGAGCAAGGAGAGAAACCACAATTGACTGTTGCTTCTACAAAAGTGCGGTAACTGGTGGCTAATCTTCTCAACACTATCAAGCCCAAAATCCACTCTTAATTGCTCTTTTTGGTTGGGTAGCAATAAAATCCATATTCTGGACGTAAGGATAAGTGTCCTATCTGTTCTATTGTGACAAGGGAGGCAGTGCCAGTTTGTTTTTCTGACATATTCCTTATCCATATCTCTCAAGGCTGGCACAACAAAGAAAAATATTTCTAAAATATCAAATATGAATATCATCAATTTCACCAAAACTAATAAAATTCCGAGGCAGGCACAACAAAGAAGGATATTTCTAAGACATCAAAGATGAATAACATCAATTTCATCAAAACTAATAAAGTCCTGTTAACTACCATCTACTCCAACAGCTTAAGTTGTTAGAGAGGGTGTAACTTAAATATATAAATCCTTCAACAAGTCCGAACCAGTTTATACTTCAAGGGATTTCCCACGATTACAGTCCATTACTGGTAACAGGTCCAACAAAATGATATAATTAGTAGAAGATAGTATGATGCAGACAGGAAAAATACAAAACTTGAATCATGACATGTTCACGAACAATGGAGCATATATCACACTCAAAAAGCTAGACATAGCTATACCTCGATGTAACACAATCTCCCAGAATTACATAATTTGAAGGAGCTCGAGGCCTCCAAAAGGTAAGGTTGTTACGGTGCCCACATTCTGCAAGTAGATAATAAAGTGCAATATATTTAAGTCATAAATCTCATTATGAATAGAAAACCTGTTTCCTTAAATATGTAATACAGAGTATGCCTACGGTGCAAGAAAAGATAACTGAACTATGAATATTAGTAGCTAGTGGAGAACTAAAATAACAACATGATTTCAATTCTTGAACTTGAAAAAATCTCATAGACAGCCAGGAATCCACCTCAGGCACGGCCAAACCACCCAACAAACCTAAGACAAGAATGTATTCAAGCAGCTTGCAAAAAAAAATAAAAAAGAATAAAAAAAGAATCCTCAAATTGCTCCAGTAATAATAACACACCTTTTGGGGAAACCCAAAGTCTATCGAAGTTGGTACAAGGAGCAAGAGGATCGGCAATTCCAAATTGCAATGCTGCAGCTGCCTGAGTTTGCAGATTAAGTAAAAGAGAAATGACACTCAGAGAAAGATGGATGTGTACATCAGTAGATATCAGAGATATATTTGTTTTATCCTTAACAGAAGTATATCCCCCTGAAATATCCACTGGATCAAGAATCATAAGACCAGAACCAGCCTCAACAGTTAGATCCTTAACAAGGGCTCGAATCCAAGTATCATTTTCTTTTGACGCAAACCTGTTCGGAACACACACAGTGAAGTTCAATATACATTAAACGCTTACGTAACAAAAAGTGAAAAGAAAGGTGGCTATTCAACCATATATCAACCCAGATTTTTTATTTTATTTTAAAAACAGGCATAATATAGAATTTAAAAATAAACAAATAGACTGACAGAAGAACTAACACGAAATGGATTTGTCAAAAGAAGAACGTATAGTTTTTTGCTGCACAAATTTCCAGTTCTTGTCACACTTGTGCATAATTGAGAATACTGGATATAAACTTTTTTTCACCGGAAAAAATACACAGATAAATGGAGTAGGGATAAACAGATAAAAATCTAAAAGAAGATGCATCACATGAGTGAACAGGGTAATATTAGCAAAATATGTATTGAGAGGAAACATAGTTAATTTAGTTATTGCTTATGTTCCCGCAGTAGGACTAGATAAGCACATTAAAACATGATTCAGGGAATATATGAATATAGTAATTCAAGGGCTACTGAAAGGAGAGAAATTATAGAAATCAGGAGACTTTTTAATGGTCACGTAGGAAAAGATTGTGAAGGGTATGAAATGGTACGTGGTAAACAGAAATTCATAGGAAGAAAATGATATTGGAGACAATATGTTAAGACTTTGCAATGACCTATAATGTTATAATCAGTAATACCTTTACAAAAAGAGAGAAGTCAAATAACCTTTCAAAGTGGATGAAATATGAGTTAAACTGATTTTTCCTATTTAGACAGGTAGATTGTTTAACATGCAAATATTGTAAGGTGATCCCCAAAGAGATAATAAGCTAGTAGCTTTAGATGTATATATAAAATGACAATCAGAAAAGGAGAAAGAAAGTGTATACCTAGGAACTAGGTGGAAAATTTAAGAGAAGAAAAAGACAACCATGAACAAAAGGATCCTAAAAGAAGTAACATGGAATTACAAAAATGAAACTAACTTCATGTAGAATAGGATGACTTAATGTATTAAATGAATATGAAAAGAACTCCTTGGAGAATCAAAAGGAAAAAGTGTTGGAAGATATTAGTTGTGAAAGCTAATATTAGCTGACAAACAGCAGATCTTCCAGCCTTATTGTGATATCCTGACCTTTTTTTCAGGCTATTTAATTTATGGCAGTGGGTTAATTGTTATTTATTATATTATCCTGTTAATTTATGTGGTCCATATTGTTATTTATATAGAAATGGGGGAAACTAACGAGAGGACCATTTCTTATTTAATTTATTAGAGGGGGAGTATATTGAAATTTGTGGAAGTTGTGATGGGTGGAAATCCAGGCGGCAAACCCATGGAATTACCACAACAGATGTATTTGGAGTTCGACATTTGTGATAAAGGTGTCATACTCCTGTAGTTAAACAAAAGAAAAGAGAATTAGAGAGAGAGAGAGAATTCTGGCCGCAAGTTTGGAGAGAGAGAGAAGCAGGAGGAGAAGGAGGAGGAAACTGTAGAATCATCAGTTCCTCTATCTTAGGTAGGGATTCTCTAGCTTTTTCAATTTTGGGTGGTTTTCTCTTAAAATTTTATTTGATTGTTGCCTTAAATATGCTAATGAAAACTCTGTACATTATTCTCTGTATTTTCGAAAAGTGTTTTGTGGCTTGTTGAAATCTGAAATTTTCTTTACATGTTTTTCTAAGCACGATTGTCAAATTTACTTTACATGTTTTTACAAACAAGAGTGTCTTAAGATATTAAGTATAACATAATGAATCTGAGATTATATACTGTTGTTTGTAGTTGATATCCCTTTAAGAAACTTTGCACTGAGTTTTTCATGTTCCGTAACTTGGTTTGGTTTCAAAATGGGGGAGGGGGACAGATTTCATGGGTTAAATTGGGACACGAAAGGGGTGGATTAAGTAGGGTGAAAGACCCAAAACCCATGTGGTAGACTCTAGTTTGTGTATGGAGAATTGGGTCCATGTTGATACGAAAGGGTTGTGGCAGCGTGGGATGCTCTCGGATGCACACAGATTGTTTGACGATATTCTTCATTGCAAGAAAATGTAGAAAAGGAACCCAAAAAGGAAATGGTTTTGAAATTATGGTTGATTTATGTTTGGGGTTGGAAAATTTGAAACTTACAGGTCTTGACAATTAAGAACGCAAGCTTTTGATATTATGTATGTCATAAAATATTGGACATTTCTATTTTAGTAGCAACTCATATGCATCTTAAACCTCATTGAGGCAACCGTTAGATTATCGCTACTGGGCGTCGTCTCATTCCTTAATATTTTCAGGTGCTGACACCTGAGATGGTGATATAGGTGGTGCTAGCTATGGGCTTTGAATGGCTAGTGGCTGGAACTGTTTCATATAACTTACACTGTTTTGTGTGGATACTGTTGAAATATCTTTATTATTTTTATTTTTATTTTTATTAGCTGTTTTTAGCCTTTTATTAGACGTTTTATGTAAGATCCCTATAATCATGGGATCACGTAAATAAGATCCCTGTAATTATGGGATCCCGTAGATAAGATCCCTATAATCACAGGATCCCGTAGATTTTGGCATATTTTATGTCTTTCTTTGATTTGGTTTCCTTTCTTTGTACCCTATTCTTGTATATAAATATAGATCTTGGCTCTCAGTTTGAGTATGCCAAAACCCAAAACTACTTCTTTTTGGTATCAAAGCAAAACACAAACCTTCGCCTCCCCATCTTCCTCCCAAACACCGCCACCTTCTCTCTCCCTCACCTCCAGCGCACCTCCATCTCTTCCCAGCCCTTGCACCGGACCCCTCGGGTAACCCTCTATTTTTGACTCCTTTTTTAGGAGAATTCCCTTAGGTTTTTTTTTTTATGATCTAAGGGTCCTTCTGGTGTTTTTTTTTTTTTTTGTGTGGGCTGCCGGTGTTTGTTCGGCAGCATATTTGGTAGAAAGCGCCGATTTTTCCGTCCTTATATTTTTTTCTCTTCGACGTGTGGACCAGCCTTAGTTTGGTACTATGAGTGATTCTACTCCACAGATTGTTGTCCCTCATACTTCAACTCCTCCCAGAGCATCTTTTCAGGATTTCAAACAATTTCAGTCCCAGATTGGTCAGCTTCAGGAGCAGTTCGGAGCCTTATCTACCAGGGCCAGCTCTTCTACTCCCACGACTAATATAGCTACAGGTACTCCTTCTGCTTATCATGTTAAAGCAGGAAAACCTACTTGGGTTCTGGATTCCGGAGCCAATGATCACATGACTGGTGAGTTGTCATTATTTTCTATTCCCGTTACCCCTGTTAATTAGGCTGTTAGTCTAGCTGATGGTCAACCCACCATTATTCGTAGCAAAGGAAATGTTCATATATCCCCTGATATTATTTTGCCATCTGTTCTTTATGTTCCTAACTTTGCATTTAATCTTCTATCGGTTAGCAAGCTTGCCAAATCACTAAATTGTGCAGTGATTTTCTTTCCTCATTACTGTGTTTTAAAGGACCTGTGTTCGAAGAGAATTTTTGGCAGGGGATATGAGCACGACGGCCTCTACTACTTTGGGGATCCTCCACCGACACCCCCTCCACTTGCATCAAGCCTTCAAGCCTCTATTCTTCCATTTTCGAGGTCTTATGATTTTTCTTTGCAGACTTTAAGTTTATGGCATGCTCGCCTTGGGCATGTAAACTTTCAGTATTTATGTCTACTTTTCCCTTCATTAAAAACGGCTTGTAAGGATAGTAAGTTTCAATGTGAGATTTGTGAGCTTTCTAAACATACTAGAATTAGTTATATTTCTCATATGCATCATGCACCTATTATGTTTGATCTCATACATCCTTATGCGTGGGGTCCTTCTCCTGTTACTGCTTTTTCGGGGCATCGTTATTATGTCACATTCATTGATGATTATTCCCGTTGCACGTGGGTATATTTACTTAAAAAGAAATCTGAAGTTTTTCCCTTGTTCACTCAATTCCTCCAAATGATCAAAACTCAATATAAAACTGTTGTTAAGAATATTAGGTTTGACAATGGTCATGAATATGTTTCTAATGAGTTTCGGTCTCAACTTAACCAACAGGGTATTCTTCATCAGCTTACTTGCCCACATACCCCTGAACAGAATGGTGTTGCAGAGCGTAAAAACCGCCAACTAATGTCAGTTGTTCGATGTCTTTTAAGTGGTATGAATGTGCCAAAGCTATTTTGGCACATGGCGGTTCTTACAGCTACTTTTCTCATTAATCGTATCCCTAGTAGAGTCTTAAATGGTAAGGCCCCCTTACAAGTGCTTCAACCTGATATTACTCTTTTTTCCATCATGCCTCGGTTGTTTGGATGTACATGTTTTGTTCAGAATCGTAGCCCTTCTCGTACTAAACTTGATGACAAGGCCATTAAATGTATCTTTTTAGGATACTCTTCCATGTCAAAGGGTTACCGGTGTTATGATCCAGTACACAAACACATGTATCACTCTCTTGATGTCACCTTTCATGAGCATTCCCCTTTTTATGGTTTAACACTATCTTGCAGGAAACTTCTACTCTCGATCAAGAGGCTTGTCATCTTGCTCATCCTCTTCCTATTTTCCAAGAAGTGCCTTCTCTTGTTGTTTCCTCACCCCCTTTGCAGGTCTACTCACGCCGCCCTCGTGCTCCACCTCAACTGCCTTCATCCTCCTCAGACTCAGGTTCAGGTACATCTCTCTCTCCTTTACATTGCCCTGACCTTGTTCCTATTCCCGAGTCTAGGTATCCAACTCGGGACCGCAAACCCCCTGCTAGATTTGGATTCGCTTGTAGTATTGATCATCCTATTTCGCAGTATATCTCTTATGATGGTCTTTCAGGGTCTCACCGAGCCTTTTTAGGCAAACTTGATTCCATTTCCATTCCCAGAACGTTGCCTGAGGCTCTCCGGAATCCCAATTGGATGTCTGCTATGAAGGTAGAAATGGATGCTTTGCAGCATAATGAAACATGGGAGCTTGTATCTCTCCCTCCTGGTGAAAAGACTGTTGGTTGCAAATGGGTATTCAGTGTTAAATATATGGTTGATGGTTCTATTGATCGGTATAAAGCCCGCTTGGTGGCCAAAGGGTTTACTCAGATTCCTGGTAAAGACTTTAATGATACCTTCGCTCCTGTGGCCAAATTGACCTCAGTTCGTTTGCTTGTCTCCCTTGCTGCCTCTCACAATTGGCCTCTTCATCAGCTTGATGTGAAGAATGCTTTCCTTAATGGTGATCTTCTTGAGACTATTTACATGGATCCTCCACCCGGTTTTCGGGCTGAGGGGGAGTATGCTGGAAAGGTCTGTCGATTGCGGAAGTCTTTATATGGATTAAAACAATCTCCCAGAGCTTGGTTCAACCGCTTTAGTGATGTAATTCTATCCATGGAGTTTGTTAGATGTCATTCTGACCATACATGTTTTATCCGCCGTTCCTCCAATGGTCGATGTATCATTTTGCTTGTTTATGTTGATGATATCATCATTACTGGCAATGACATCCCTGGGATTGCTCAAGTAAAGCTTCAATTGGCTAAAACTTTTGATGTGAAAGACCTTGGGCAGCTCAGATATTTCTTGGGAATTGAGGTTGCTAGATCTAAGCAGGGTATCTCCTTATCGCAAAGGAAGTATGTGTTGGATCTTCTTCGAGACACGGGTATGCTTGGGTGTAAACCTGCTTCCACTCCTATGGATCCTAATCTGAAGATCTCGACTGAGTCTGGAGATCTCCTTTCTAATCCCTCGCAGTATCAGCGCTTGGTAGGAACATTGATTTATCTTACCAACACACATCCTGATTTGGCTTTTGCGGTTAATGTTGTGAGCCAGTTTATGCATGCTCCTCGTACAGCTCATATGGATGCAGTATACCATATTCTTCGATATCTTAAGTCTTGTCCTGGACTTGGATTATTCTATTCTTCTAGCAAGCAAGTTGGGCTATCCTGTTTCAGTGAGCAGACTATGCTGGGTCCAAGACTGACAAACGTTCCACATCTGGCTTCTGTACTTTCTATGGAGACCATCTTATATCTTGGAAAAGTAAGAAACAACCTGTAGCTTCGAGATCTTTAGCAGAGGCTGAGTATCGTGCCATGGCTCAGGGTACTTGTGAGATTCTCTGGCTTCGATCTTTCTTGGAGGAGCTAGGGCTAGGTGAAAAACAGTCCTCAGACTTGTTTTGTGATAATAAGTCAGCCATCATGCTTGCTTCAGATTCTGTTCTTCACGAGAGGACTAAACATATAGAGGTGGACATTCATTTTATCAGAGAGAAGGTTCGTTCGGGAATTATCAAGCCGTGCTTTGTTCGTTCCTCTAATCAGTCGGCCGATGTGTTCACCAAATATGTTGGTCCATCTTTGCTTCATTCCTCGATTACCAAGTTGGGCTTGATTGATATCTTCACTCCAGCTTGAGGGGGAGTGTTGAAATATCTTTATTATTTTTATTTTTATTTTTATTAGCTGTTTTTAGCCTTTTATTAGACGTTTTATGTAAGATCCCTATAATCATGGGATCACGTAAATAAGATCCCTGTAATTACCCGTAGATAAGATCCCCATAACCACGAGATCCCGTAGATTTTGGCATATTTTATGTCTTTCTTTGATTTGGTTTCCTTTCTTTGTACCCTATTCTTGTATATAAATATAGATCTTGGCTTTCAGTTTGAGTATGCCAAAACTCAAAACTTCTTCTTTTGATACTTTGTAGATGATGGTTGAGATATATCTGTTCGGTTTTGGTATATAGCTATGAAAAATGTGTGAAGTGTGACCCTTTGCAGAACACTAAACTTGACTTTTGGTGTATAAAAGCTGTACTTGTTGTAAAAGTGATGTAGCCTTTTAGGCTCTTTGTGTCGTGGATGCAAGCCCTAGTGGCTGAACCACGTAATATATTTGTGTTCTTCTTGTTTAATTTCTCTCTTTACTTAAATTTTATTATTTATAACACGGTATCATAGCTTAATTTATCTCTTACCTCTTGTTGTGACTGCCTAGGTACAGAAAAATCCTAGAGCGGATGCGTGGTGTAACAACCCTCACCCTATCCAGACACAATATTGTCCACTGTTAGTTCCCCCGGACCAGAGACTTCCCAGGAGATCATCCATCCTGGTACTACTCCAGGTTAAGCACGCTTAACTATGGAGTTCTGACGGGTTCACGCCCATCACGGTTTTAATACGCATTGTGCAATAGAAGGGTATTGAACCTTACATATAGCACTTTACCTTCCCGAGCGATGTGGGATCATGACACCCTAAAGCTAGCCAGTGTGGTAGCTCGTCCAATGTCACGCACCCACCCACAAAGGTCGTCACAATCACCCCTCGTGGGGGCCCAATGTCCTCATTGGCCACACTTTCGGCTGGGTTCCGGCTTTGATAATCTCTTCCCAAGTTTGGACTCCTATTTTGGTTTATTCCCTTTGCATCTAAAATATGCTAAAGGCCTCTCAATGCCATTTGTTACTTGTACTTTTTTGGGGCTTATGGGTAAAGCCCTAAGTTGGCTTCTTTAAGGCACCATACAAAGAAAAAGAAAGTCTAGGTTCCAGCAGTTTTTGGAAGACATTTCTAGATCTAGAGCTGTTGCTCTCACCTCCAGCTAGGATTTCAATCATTGGAGGATAAGGTTTGAGGAGTCGACTCCGTGACGCCTTCCAATCCCTGATACTAATCATCTCCTAACTGACTTTGTAGAAAACATCATTGTAGGAGGTTTTAAAAGTATGATTGAGAGTGCCAAAGTCATGCATATTTGTTCAAAGACAACGATAAGGGAATGCCGGTAAAAAAATAAAAAACTAACAAGAAAGATGAAATCAGAAATCGTTTTAGGACCACGTGGGATTCCCACTGAGTCTAGAAGTTTTTAAGGGATGATGGCATGTTTTAGCTAACAAAATTGTTTTAAAAGATAATAAACTAAGAGAATGCCTGATGACAATACTCAGATATAGTACAAGTTCACATAAGTGTGTGATTGACTTAATATTGATAAATTGCATCTGAAAGTAGAAAAGGAATGACTTCAACAAGATTAACAGATTGCTCTCTAGAGAGACATACAGTGATCTTCTAAAAATGCAATATGAAGAACAATAAGAACTGAACAGAAACCAAAATAAAATTGCATAGCAAAATGGGGCCACTCTTACATGAAGCTAAGATCCATTTTTGCACGGAGAAGCTTTTCACCATGTGAGGAATCATCCAGGGATGACTTGGTGCTGTCATAGAAGGTGAACTCGGGAGAAACAACCTTTGCATAAGAAGAATAATCCAAGTAAGAGCACAACAGAAAAGTACTTGGAAGTTAAAGAAATATGTGAAATTTCATTTAATTCAAGAGAAAAGCATCACGAAACCGATCTATTACCAACGGAGTTATGCCAGAAACAAAACACAAATAAATCAACAATAAGAAGAAAATTTCATACTACATCAAGAGTGCTCAAATTATAAGGTGTGTATTATCCTACCAGATTGAGTAATCCACGTTACAGTAATCAACCAATAACACTAGAAGAGGCTGAACTATGGCTGCCATTTTAAGTGTTTGAGCAGAAGCATCCTAAAATGCTCTTCCGTTGAAGAGATTATTTGAGTTCCATACTACTAGGATTGTCAGTGAAGTCAGGCGCAAAACAATTAGCTCTTGTTAAATCAAGCAGGGCCAAATTATAGTGGCAAGTATTGTGTAATATGGGGAAAGCTAAATATGCATGGATTTGAATTTCTACAAGTGAAGATGTCTTGCATTGTGAAGACAGACAGTAATCTTATTTTATTCTACTTTTATACATACATGGAACACATACAATGAGGGGAAAAATGATATAACTCTCTCTCTCTCATGGTTGAACAAAATGCGCCCCTTCTTTAAATTATCTTTCACAGTGTTTCCATGGTTTAAAAAAAAAAATTCTTTTGACCAAAAAATGCATTGATTGTAATTTTTGTATCTACCCCAAAACCATATTTTATTGGTCATTGTTCAATAACCCTAATTTTATATAGTTTTTATATATGTATCCTTAAAATAATGAAAGCTAAAGTGATGGACAAAAATATTATTTATATTATTAATATGATAGAGTGGTATGCGTACGAGATATACACAACTAGAGACACTTCACTTGCTCTGATTTGCCAGTATTTTTTCATTTTGGTTTGTGAAAATATCACTTAGAAATACCATTCTCTAAGAAAAATGCTAGGGGCAGAGAAGCTTCTCAGATGTCATTTTCTAATATATTGGAAATGGAAGGTTGCATCTCAGAGTTCTCAAGGAAGAAAAAAGGACAAGTATCTAACTGCATAAGTACATATGAACTAAAAGAAAAACTACAGTCAGCCGAATGTTCATGTCCTTGAAACATCAATAAAACTTCAAAAAGTAAAGGAAACAATTAAGCAGCACAATGAAAGATTTAAGTATTGACCGAGAGCCTTGTGGCCCAGTGGTATCCCCTCTACCTCCCTAAGTGGATGGTGAGGGTTCGAGTCTCCAAAGGAGCAAAGTGGGTGTGTGAATGGTGTGTGTGAGTTTCTTGCCAATGACGAATGATGTATGTATTGATTCACAGAGCAAATGTTGACGAGTAGAACAAGATACACACACACACACATATAGAGATAGAGAGAGGGAGAACATGTCAATGGGATGTAAATTGATTTACATGTACGAAATTTATCAATGACAGATAGACCTACCTGGGCTTCAATTGTGAAACTCTGTATCTCAGTTGAATCATTAGGATAGGCTGAAGTATTTGATCTACATGACAATTCTTCCATGTGGTCAGGACTCTTCTTGTCACTATCTGAAGAAGAATTTTCCAGCAACAAAACCTCAACATTGTCTTCTAAGGAGACTGAGTAACTGCTATCATTACTCAAGTATGTATACTTCCTCAAATGTGAACCGTTCTGAAGAAGCAAAGGGACGATCAGAAGTCACAATTATAACAGATGCTACAATTATTAAAGTCATACAGAACAACGAATTAAAGAAAAATGTTACAGATAGATAACATGTAATGACCACTAAATTAAAAAATGTAACTTAATCATTAATTAAAGGGTAAAAATGTAAAGTACACTTAGATAAAAACTAAGTTAATCAATAAAAAGACAAGAACAAATTCAGGAAGGGTTGATGTCCATTAGTATCTCCTAAACTTCATAAAGTAAAAGGCTGGGGGCTCAAGTCCCATAGGGGCAAATTGCATGTGTGTGTTTTTGCTAAGACAAAAATATAAATAGGGTTGTAGTATAAAAGGTACTCTTGAATCTTGACAGAATATTAGAGCTCCATTTCTTATGTCTGCAGTCTGAAGAGGAAGGAATGAAAACAAAGGGTAGGATATAGAGATCATCAATTCAAATCTGACTGCCCTTTTTATGATAAGTAGCTTGTCCAAGTCATCAATCTATTTTAGTTCTACAAAATTTCCATATACGTGGAGTATGCACACAAGATCCTGAGTTAGAGAGAGCAAAAATAAATTGTTACTCACAGTAGTTCTCAACTAGACATGGATCATTAAATTCATTTTAGCACCAAGCACATGCATGTTAACTGTGTAAAGTAATATATATATATATATATTATATTAATGCTTGTCTGTGTAGATAAGAAAATTCTGAAATTGTACATATATATATATGTGTGTGTGTGTGTGTGTGTATGTATATGAGGGTATGCCCAGTTTTCACACGTGTCTACAACCTTAGACATATTCATGGATATATAAATATATATAATCGCTAGCGAGATATGATAGCCTAGAATCAGGGAATTTGACTTTATTTAGTTTCCTTTCTTGTAATTAACATGTGCTCTTTTAGTGTATAAATTCAAGAGTTGTGAATGAGTGAATACTCTAATACAAGTCTTAACATATTTCTCTTGTATTTCTTCTTGGTATCAGAGCCAACATATTTCCACAACCTCAACTTGTGCAACAACCTCTTTAGGTTGTTTGCGACATCTTGTGACATTGCCTGGACATGGTCCTGTTAGTTTTTGTTTTGTGATCGAAAGGAGGTACTTCAAAGTTTTACAATTTTATTTATTTATGTATTATTATTATTATTATTATTATTATTATTATTATTATTATTATTCTATGTTTGGGTAAGTTGGTATCCAACACCTAGAAGGGCTGGAGTAAATTCTTGCGAGTCTACATAGAGGTTCCAGATATTGAGAAAGTGGTTGTCTGATCATACGTAAGCGGGTAACACTCCTAAAAACAGTCTGTATTTGGACTTTTCAGGAATGGTTTGGATAGACATTGTTGATTGTTTACGGTCTGAGGAGACACTTTGATTAATTGACAGGATTTGCAGTGTTTTTAGAGGTTGTTTATTATCATGTGACAGAGTATGGCACATTCAAGGTCCTTGACAGTTGATTTTCATGGGCTTGAGTTATATGGGTAGTGGTGCCATTTTTCCTACCAACTCATCAGAGAATCCAGGATTTCAGATCACCACAGTGAAATTAGATGGATACAAGGCATAGTCTGTCACGATGTTCATTGGTTTCAACAGCAAGGTTGGCTACATTACTAGTTTTGAGAAAGAGCGAGTCGAGTCAAAATAGACATATCCACTGCCGAGACAAATAGACATATCCACAGTGGTTTGATAACGCCATGGTTGTCTTTGCAAGTCAATTCAATGCAGTCAAACATAGCCGTGGGCTATATGTTCATGAAGACCACTAAGCATTCGGCACAACACTTATTCTCAGAGACAGAATAACACAAGGAATTATCAGTTGGGATGAGATATCACCAGGATTATATCGCCAGGCTTCATGCTATTTGAGAGGAGATGTATATTATGAATCCCTCCTCTCTTGGAAGGTTCTAAAAAATGCAATTTCATAAGCAGGGATTGTGGAGAAGAATCGAGTGCTTCAGCTTCTTGCCGGGTTGAACGACGAGTATGAGTATCCTTGTTTTCATCTCTGTTGAGCTTTGCTTCATCCATTCTCTGTAGGATGCATACTCCTACATGTTGTCAGATGAGAACCATTGGACTCATCCATTAGGTGTTGCTTCTGTTGACCGCTCTGCTATGGTTGTTCGTGTTCCTAACCCTTCAGGAACTCCACCATCCCAATTAGTTCAAATTGGTAGCACTTCACATCAAATCTTGTTGTTATGCACTACATGAACATCAACTCATCAAAAACAACGACAGCCTTGATTCTGTATGCATTCTGTTAGAGATCCAGACAGAGCGAGACTCATTGTCGACTCCTAACAACCTTGCCTCTTTATCCTCTATCACAGTTACCTTGATTCAGGCTGATTTGGACAAGTTCATACAATCTATAGTCAGATAGAGGCATCATTCCTAGCAACCTCTACTTATGCCCACTTAGGTACTCCTGCAAGTTGCATCCGCACACAATGTATTTACATCTTCAGCACCATGGATCATTGATTCTGGTGCTTCAGATAATGAATGTCCTCCATCTTCCACTCCTATATTATCTGCTCTGGCCATCGCATGGTATGCTTAACAGATGGTGCTCAGTCTTCCATTGTTGGGAAGGGTCAAATACCGGTTACTCCTTTAACTTTGTCATGTACACTTCAGGTTCAATATCTTCTACTAATCTTATTTCTGTTAGTAGTGTTACTAAACAGTTAAATTGTAGTGCCACATTCTTTCATCTCACTGTGTTATTCAGGATCTAGTGTCGAAATGAACAATTGGCAGTGGGCTTGAAATGCTAGATTTAGTGACGCGTATCTTAATCGGAATGATTCTCGTCAACCGGAGTGATTCTCATCTATCTTACTACTGTAAGAAGACTTCTGTTCTATCTCTGTTTGCTGCAGAAATATTAGGGAAAATTTATAATAAAATATATTTAACTGACACTTACCTCATTGAGTCAAATTAAACTTAAGAACTTGAGCTTAAATGGGACTTCAGTTGACTGATTGCCAAATTTATTAAGAAAGTGACACTGAGATACTTAAGATCTGATAGTAAGAATTAAATATATTAATAAGGACTTGATATAACACGAATTCCTAAATTAGGTAGAAACCATAGAATAGTAGGTGTCCAGATATTGTATTCTCTGTAGGACATGATAGTGATGTGTAGGTTAACAGTTGGAAATTGTGGCTGATAATTGTAGGTGGTTAGAATAGTTTGGGGCATGATAGAGACATTTGGAGTATGGAAGTGCAATGTGCTAGTCCAACTACGATTTGGTATCGGGTTCATTGATATTCCTGGTATAGTAGATGCTATCACACATACAATCACACTCAATTTGATGCTTGCTACCAAACTGCTCTGACCAGAAGATGGAATCTGCGGATAGGAACATCTGTTCTTGTTTTGATCTGCACCCCCTAGGATCGATAAACCCTTTCGATCTCAATAAAGAACCTTGTATTTTTCCCTCCGCCTCGGACCGTCTCACATGAAAAGAAATTCTTCCTTTTTTCATCTTTTTCTATAGGAGCTTTCTGTGGCTCATATGTAGAGAGGGGAAGGGATCTTGTCATGGACACTCAACCATAGTTGGCTTTTACAGCTTGGAGAAAGATAGCGAAAGTGAACAAAGTTGAGTTTGATTCTTCTTCATTCCAGCACTACACTTATTGTCCATCGACTACGCCTTTAGGCCTTCCTCTCACTCAGCATTCAAGCCGAACAAGCTAAAGTATTTTACAAGGTAAGTGTCCCTTGGGTGAGGTTCTGTATCTCCTTAACAACTGAGGTACGTGTTTTGGGAAATACGTGATACCTCTACACTTACCTGAAGAGTAATGTAACCCAGCCAGAAGGAGGAGGGGTTGCAGGTAGGACTGTGGTTTCTGTCGTGGCATTTCTAAAGAGATGTCTTCTCTTTTTGAAGATGATAAAGGGGACAAAAGGTTTCTTTGCCATTTTGATTATTTAGTAAAAAGATCCTTGTTTGGAGCCAATAGTAGCATACTACCTTCCTAAGTGAAACAACAAGATTTTATTACTTTGACACAACAGTAATGAAGTATAATTCATTTTAGTAAAATGACTAGAAGCAGGGAATACATTTACCAAATACCAAATACCATTCCAGGTTAACCAGGAAGCACGTGAAAAACAAATGATATGTGCTTGACGAAAAGCATAAACGATCCGAAACCATAGAATTAGACGGGCTAGAATTACGCACATAAGAAATTAAAGCATGATGGATGAAATGAAGAAGAGATTCATAAATTCCATGTGAGCATATATTCAGGTCATATTTGAGGGGAAAATACATAAATCATGCGGAGGCAACTATGTCTTATAAGAAAGAATGTTAAGCATTTTCACAGACATCATTTATAATACTAGATTCTGCATTCAAGAACAAATGCATTCGTGGAAAGCTAGAAATGGCACCAATTGAAGATAAAATGAGGGACATTTGCCTACCATGGTTCGCCATAGGGACATAAACCAACATGAGTGGAAAAGTTTTCACATTTAAGTTAAAGAGAAAAAAATGAAAAGGCAACAAATGAATGCAAGGCAAGGCAGTGAGAGAGATCATGTTTGACTTAGGTTTAACTACAAAATGCTTCTACAAAGAGCTGATTAAGAAGACAAATCCATACAGATAAGAGTTAAGACGTCTCCTTGAGTTGCAAAAATTTTCAACCTTTCCACTTGCATAATTCTACTTACTTGCTGTGCAATTTTTACGGGTTGCTGTTAGTGAGAAAGTAAAAAAAGCATTTATTGCTGCCAATTAGATGAGTCCAGACAAAAATTAACTAGGTAAGAAATGTATACCTCAATTTTCACATTTATGAAGCGCAACCTCTTACCACGTCCAATGATAATGATAGGTCGAAATCCAGATGAAGGGACTTCCTTCAGATCTGCTTCTAAACTTAAAAAGATTGTCTTTCCACAACCATCATATGTATACTGATCAACCCCTATAGCATCCACTACTAGCTGTCTACTGGGAGACAGGTGTACTATATCTTCTGCCTGCTTGTAAACGGGAGCTGATAGTATTATGCTGTTGTTTCTAGTTATGGGATCATTTCTGGGATCCATCAATTCCTCCCTACCAGTTATCGCTCCCAAAGCTGGCACAAAAAACTCACAAACAGCAAGAAGGAAATCAGGTACAACAAGAACCCGAGGCTGCTGTACCCGCAGCACAAATGATTGGGATGATAAACGACGTCTATAGTCCATCACAAACATAGTAGAATTTGGTATATCCATGCTGGGTGCAAACTGAGAATCTATTCGCATAAAGCCACCTTTATTTAAGAAAAAAGGAAAAATTCCAGTCGAAGCTTGTTTAGGAACATCAGCGCATGATCCAAGCATGAGGTGCATTTCAGGCTTTGTATTAGAGCGAATATCCAAAATAGAAAATCTGGGAATGGTTACATAAAGGTCTGCTTCAGATAATGAAGTCAACCTATATGAAACCCAAAGACCTTCTAGCTGCAACAACAGAGAAACAAGTTAAATAAGTTCAGGACAGGGTATTCTAAAAATGGGAACAGATGAGGTGATTAAAATGAACGAGCCAAACTAACATAAGGAAGATAATTTCATAATTGAAAATTCAGTATTGTTAGAAAAAAAAAAAAAATGAGTAACATTACAGCAATATGAGCCAAAGGTGACTCCTCATGAATGCCATGGCACAACTCTACCAAAGCTTGGTTGACTTCCACGGCCATTATAGTAACAGTACGCGACAAAAATATTTGACTATTCATGTTGACTTTATCAGCCAGCAACCGCATCGTCTCCTTTGAACCAGACTTGCTGCCACGGAAACTTGGGGGAATTGTTGGTTGCTCAGATAAATTCATGTAGAAACAATCCACAATAACATTATATTCTTTATCACACATTACCGCATGCAATAATCCCACCTGTCCAAAGTATCAACAGAATCAATCAACCAAAGAGTCGTAACAATCCATATGCAAAAATAACTGCTAAAACTGAAACCATGTCAAAGCTTATCAAAAGCCGTATGAAGAAAAAATCAAATTTCGTCCACTCTCAGTCCACTTTAATGTAATTTATCCTGAAAAAAAATTTTGACATAGTAGATGGAAATATGATAACATATAATAAATGAAGCAAACAATGTCAGCTCACTCCTATACTTGAATCATTTCTGTGATGTTGTGGCCCAAATTTTTGACCCGGTTTTTTGCTTGCAGCTCGTGGACCCTATTCACTCTCTTGTAGCCCGATATATAAGGGTGGTTACGGTTTGGAGTGGGATTATTGAGAGACTGAAAATCGCAGAAGAGAGAGAGAGAGAGAGCTAGGGTTTGGGGCCTGAAACTTGTAATCTCCAGATTTCCGCACAGTGAATTCTTTCGCCAGATTTTCACCATGGATGTAGGCTTTGCCGAACCACGCTAAATCTTTGTGTTCTTTATGTGTGGCGTGTTTACTTTTTGTTGTGTTTCTGGGTTGTTTCTTGGGTTCTAAATATGCCAAAAGTGCCACTTAAAGTTGAAGAAGTTAGGGTTTGTAGAAGTAGAGAAGAAGAAGAAGAAGATGAGAGAAAGAGGGGAATATTCTGTGAAAGGTGAGACAATCAGATTAGGGTTTTCCCACAACTCTCACCTATTATATATTAAGTAGACATAAAGACAACAGTACCCTTGATAAATAAAAGATATAACAACCACACTCTCTAACACTCCCCCTCAAGCTGGAGCATACAAATTAAACATGCCCAGCTTGGAACACATGCGCTGAAAAGCCAGACGGGCTAACAGTAAGAGTCTTGTTATCACTAGCAGCCAACTTCAACTGGTACTTGGAGCAATTTGATGTAGAAAATGCTTTTCTTCACGGTAATTTGGAGGAGGAAATATACATGGATATCCCTTCAGGCTTCAAGGGAAATCTGAGTAGCAACGGGTTTGCAAACTGAAGAAAGCGTTGTATGGCCTGAAGCAATCATCAAGGGCCTGGTTTGGAAGATTTGCCAAAGTAATGCTTGCCACTGCATATAAACAGAGACAAGGGGATCATGCTCTCTTTATTAAACACTCGGATGCAGGGGGGGTCACGACTCTTTTAGTATATGTCGATGACATAATTATGACAGGAAATGATGAGAAGGAGAAGGAAGCCCTGAGAAAATGCCTAATCAGAGAATTTGAGATAAAAGAACTAGGAAGATTGAAGTACTTCCTAGGAATTGAAGTAGCCCATTCCAGAGTAGGCATTTTCATTTCACAGCAGAAATATGTGATTGATCTTCTAAGGGAGACAGGGAAGCTAGCATGTAAACCAAGCTCCACACCGATCGATCCAAATCACAAACTCGGGGAAGCAAGTAAAGATCCAGACGTTGACAAGGAAAGGTACTAGAGATTAGTAGGGAAGCTTATATTCCTTGCTTACACAAGGCCAAACATTGCATATGTCGTGAGCGTGGTTAGCCAATTTAAGCACAACCCAAGAGAAGTTCACCTACAGAGAATCTACAGAGTACTACATTATCTAAAAACTAGTCCTAGCAAGGGAATTTTATTTGAAAGGAACTGGATTAGTCTTGGAGGCATACACTGATGCAGATTATGTAGGCTCATCCATTGATAGACGTTCCACCACAGGTAATTGTACTTTCCTTGGAGGCAACCTTGTAACATGGAGAAGTAAGAAGCAAAATGTGGTAGCTAGATCGAGTGCGGAGGCAGAGTTTAGAGTAATGGCTCAGGGAGTATGCGAGTTACTATGGCTCAAGATAATTCTGGAAGATTTAAGAATCAAATGGGAAGGACCAATGAGATTATTTTGCGACAACAAGTCTGCCATTAGCATTGCTCACAATCCTGTTCAACATGAAAGAACAAAGCACGTGGAAGTAGATAGACATTTCATAAAGGAGAAGTTGGATAGTGGCTTAATTTGTACTCCGTACGTCTCAACCAATGGTCAACTTGCTGATGTGCTTACAAAAGGACTAGGAAGTGCAGCGTTTCAAGAATCTATTTCCAAGCTGGTAATGAAAGATGCATATTCCCCAGCTTGAGGGGGAGTGTTGGAAAGTAGAAGGTTTATTCCCTTCATAGGTGGATTCGTTAGGAATGTATTTTATGTGTATCATTGACTTTCCTAGAATCATGGGATAATAAGTTAGAGAATCCCACTAATATAGAAATTCATTCTAATTTATTTTTAGGAAAGTTAGGATGGTTAGTTTCCTATTTTATCTCCCTATGATTAGCTCTGTACAGGCTGTAATTTGTGTATATAAGTCGTGTATTGGCTTTCTCAATTAATATACAATTTTAATCTTTTCTCTAAATTTCTCATGTTCTTGGTTGCTTTTGGTATGGCTTTGGTGTTTCACAAGTCAACAGTTGATTTTTTAGAGACTTTGAAAAGGAGTATAGTGGAGAGCCAAGTCAGAGATGCTTGGAGGGCCACCCCCCTTTGTATTTGGTGGGGCTTGTGGCTCAAGAGAAATAAGAGATCCATTGAAGGGGAGGAGTCTCCTATTTGGTCTCTCAAATACAATATGCTATCTTCTTTGTTCTTTTAGGTTAATTGTGACAACCTTTGTGGGTTGATGTGATGTGGGCGAGCACTGGCAGGCTACAAGGTGTCATGATCCCAAATCGCTCGAGAAAGGTAAAATGTTATATGTAGGTTCTACACCTTTCTATGACACAACGCGTTCTAGTGGCCAGTGGTGGGTTAGCTAGGAATAAAGCCTTGAGGGTAGGCACCAAGGTCGGGGTTTCGACTCTTGGCAGGCGCTCAAAGAGGACAATATTGCCTAAGGTTGGTGGGCCAAGGTGGGACACGGTTCGGCTGTGCATCTCTGACACCAAACAACGCATTTTAAAGTCGTGATGGCCGTGAACCCACCAGCATGGGTGACCCCTGGGAAATGTTTGGTCTAGAGGAGCCAAAAGCGGAAAATATTGTATTTAGGTAGCGTGAGGGTTGATACAAATAGTATCAGAGCTGGACCCCAACCAGAAGTGTGGCCAACGAGGACGTTGGGCCCCATGGGGGGTGATTGTAATGACCTTTGTGGGCGGGTGTGATATAGGCGAGCACTGGCAGGCTACAGGGTGTCATGATCCCACATCGCTAGAGAAAGGTGAAGTGCTATACGTAGGTTCTAGACCCTTTTCTAGTGGCTTAGTGGTGGGTTAGCTAGGAACAAAGCCTCGAGGGTAGGCACCAAGGTCGGGGTTTCGACTCTTGGCAAGCGCTCAAAGAGGACAATATTGCCGAGGGTGGGTGGGCTAATGTGGGGCACGGTTCGGCTGTGCATCTCTGACACCAGACAACGTGTTTTAAAGCCGTGAAGCATAGGAAATCTCTGTCCAGGGGAGCCAAAAGCGAACAACATTGTATCTAGGTAGGGTGAGGGTTGTTACATTAATGGGTAAAATTATATATCTATAGATAGTCTTTTAGATTTTGTGGATAGCTTAAAGCTGTAGTGTCACGATTTAGGCAGCAGCTTGTTCTTTAAGAGCGCTCCCCTTTTGAGTGCCTTTAATGAAATTTTACTTAAAAAAAAAAAAAAAACAAATTAAAAAAAAAAAAGTTTTAGCCTTTGAATAGAAATACATTTTGCAAGAAATAATCCGATCGCCGTCCAGATCTGACTTGCTCCAAAATAGACGCAAAGTAACGTCTGTAAATAGTGACAATAATCATGCCTTACATTTAGGATTATATTAGCTAGCATTAACCTATCTTAATATAGTTGCGTTAATTATGGGATTTGATTAGGTGATTTACCTTTTACATACATACTGTAATTACCCCTCCTTGCTTATAGCCACTTGTTTGGCAAATCTTGTAATATAAATAGTAATGAAAACTAAAGGGAGTGTATCTCTTCCATCATCGCTTTGACTCCATTTTCCCTAGTTTACATGGTATTAGGGCAAGCTTAATCAAAGACTTTATTTCCCCCTCTGTTTAGATCTTTATTCAGTTCTCTGTCCGGATCTGATTTACAACATCATCAACCTCTCTAAAACCTCAGCTTAGAGTAGATATTTGCTGATTTATTAGTCTCCTCGCATTATTGTGACTTAATCCGTTGACATCTATTCAGATTCGACTCTTTCGTTGCAGCATATCTGATCCACTCTTGCTATGGATAAAAGTGACATCATTCCTATTCGTCTTGCTGGAGCTATCAACTATGTGGGATGGTCTTTTCATCTCAAGCACTATGTCCAAGGACAAGGATTGGCTGTGTTTTTAGATGGAACTGCCGTTGAGCCTACTGATGACAAAACCGAAGTCACATGGATCCAAAACAATTCAAAGGTGATTACTTGGATCTTAAATTCTATTGATCCATCAATCACCTTGTCTCTTCAGTCCTTTTGTAAAGCCTCAGAGGTGTGGAAACATTTGAAGAAAGTTTATCATCAGACCAACAAATCAAGGAAGTACTTCATTGACATGGAGTTAGCTAAATACAGTCAAGGCGATAAAACTGTACAAGAATACTACAATGGTTTCCTCTCACTCTGGCATGAGAAGGATTCTACGATCTTGGATGGTGTTGACCCTACTGCACATTCACAAGCTCTTAAATTACAAGAGGAAGCCCATGTGAATCAATTCTTGATGACACTACGCCCAGAGTTTGAATTTGTACAGGCTGCTTTAATGAATAGAGAAGCTTCTCCAGATTTAGATACATGTTTCCAAGAGGTTTTGAGAGAGGAACTTCGCCTTCAGTCTTGGCATTACATCATGGACAATTCAAAAGCCTTCCATGCATCGGCTTCAAGTGAGGCCAACAACAAATCAGTCCAGTAATTACTGCAAGAAATCTGGGCATATAATCTCCACATTGCTCAAAGGTAAAGATTTTGGCCACATTACTCGCTAGTGCAAAAAGAACTTGTCCAATTACTGCAAGAAATCTGGGCATATAATCTCCGAGTGTTGAAGACGTCTACTAAGGAAAACCGAGGCTTCACAACAGCGTCAAAATCCATCTGCCTTCCATGCCCAAGCTGATCCTACTCTGGCTAATGAGTCTTCCTCCCAGGCCATTCTTTTGACACCTCATCAGATTCGAGAGATGATTAATGTTTTTGTTGCATCTGCCTTTACCTCCATGGGTATTAATGGGTTCATTCAATGAGGCTTTGTTGGGAAATGGCTTTGGAGATTTTAGAGGGAGAGGTGTAGGTTATGGAGGAATATCATTGTTTGTCGGTGTGGAGAGGGGAACGGAGAATGGCATTCTAGGGAGGTAGGTTCCCCAGTGGGGGTGGGCATTAGGAAGTTTATCCCGAAGGGGTGGGATGAGTTTTCCAAACACATTCGTTTCAGAGTCGGGAGTGGGACGCATGTTAGACTTTGGGAGGACCTCTGGTGCGGGAATTTGGTGCTAGCCAAAAAATTCCCTCAGTTGTTCAGGATCTCTATGAACAGGCATGTATTATCGGCTCGATAATGGTAGATTAACTTGGGACATTCGGTTCCATTGAGAGTTTCATGACTGGGAACTGTAGGAGGTCTTTGATATCTTTGTGTTGCCCTACAGTCAGATAGTGAAGGGTGATGACATGGATGAGTTAGTGTGGGTGGGATCCCCTAGAAGGATTTTTGAGGTCAAGGCCTGCTACTGGTTACTGATGGAGGCCAAGCTTTGCCTTGGAAGGCTATTTGGAGGACAAAAGCCCCCTTGAAGATGGCATTTTTTGCTTGGTTGGCTGCCCTAGGAAGCATTCTCACTATCGATAATGTGATGTTGTAGCCCAAATTTGGTGTCAGGTCGCATTGTGACCCGCTTACGACCCGACGACCCATTGGATGAGCTTTATGTGGGCCCAAGCCGTTTTTGGATTGTGGGTCGTGAACCCTAATTAGTACTCTTGTAGCCCGATATATAAGGGCACTAAGGCTTTGGAGTGTATGATGAAAAGACACTGAAAATCGTATAGAGAGAGAGTGAGGGGCTGAAACTTTTAATCTCCGATTTTACACATAGTGAAGACTTTAACCGAATCTCCACCGTAGACGTAGGCCTTGCCGAACCACGTATAAATCTTTGAGTTCTTTGTGTAGTGTGTTTATTTTTCTGTCGTGTTTCGTAATTGTTGCTTGGATCGCTATGTTTGTCCTGACAGATAATCTTAGAAGGAGAAGGCACATTACTGTCAACTGGTGTTGCATGCGTAAGAAGTTGGGCGAGTCAGTTAATCACCTCTTCCTTCATTGCCCAATGGCGAGGGACATATGGTTGATGTTTTTCATTATGTTTGGTATTTTCCGAGTGCTTCCGGCTTCCACGGTTGATTTGCTTGAGGCTTGGAGAGGGTGTATGGTGGTGAGTCAAGCCAGGGATGCCTGGAGGGCCACCCCCCTTTGTTTATGGTCAGGTTTGTGGCGTGAGAGGAATTGGAGATCCTTTGAGGGAGAGGAGTCTCCTATTTGGTCTCTCAAATACAACATACTTTCTTTTTTATTCTTTTGGGTCAAAGGGACAAATTGCATATCTTTAGATCATCTTTTGGAGTTTTTGGATAGCTTGAAATTATAGTGTCGCCTTGTGATGTAGTACATGAATGAACAGGCATGAACAATACACGTATAGTTCTCAGGAACAGTGTTTTCTAGTTTCTATTTTCTGTTTTCAGAAAGTTTTCATTGTTTTAATTTCCTAATAGTTTAGTTTCTATTTTAGGAAACTTTTTCTCTGTTTTAATTTCCTAATAGTTTGGTGTCTGTTTTAGGAAAGTTTTCCATTGCTTTAATTTCCTAAATAGTTTAGGATTTGCTTAGGCCTATAAATACATGCTAATGTAATGCTTAGGGGTTCAATTCTCTCTTTTATTAATATCAGAAAACTGAGAGCTTTTCTCAATCTCTTCTCGTGGATTCGAGTGTTTAAAGAATACGTTGCTATTCTTAATTATCTTGCCTTTGGTGGCAATAACCTAGATCATATGGATTGATGACTGCTAAATTGACTATAGAAGCTGAATGAGAAGAAAGAAAGTAGATAAAAAAAAAAATTAAAAAAAAGAAAAAAAAAAGGTAAAGGAATAGGAAATAAATATAACACAAATGTTACCTTAACTTCTAAAGAAAAAGTTGGAACTTTACGGAACACATCCCTTAAACTACGCCTCACATAAACATGAATTTCTCGCCCTTCCCGAATCAGTGGTTTACCAATACAACCATTGATTCCTACAGCCATGTTGATCCCCAAAATCTGCAATTTGGCAGAGAGACTTGAAATATTCAAGTAGTTTAGTTTAAACCATATCTGAATCAATGCAATAAAATGAAAAAGAATTACCTCTGCATCAAGAACGTCAAGATGCACAGCTGAAGGATCTTTCTCAGGGCATCCGTGCCAGCTAAATTCATTTTTCACTTGTAGCTTGCCCAAATCAAGTTGCATGAAACTGCAAAAATGACAGAAATAAAGCGTTCATCAACATCCAACAACCAAATCAGTCAACATATTACTTTAGAATTATAATAATACATATAAAAGAGCAACATAATTTAGGAGGTCTACATTCCCCTTCTCAAATTTCAAGGAAGCAGAAATATGAACAGCGCCTTCCAGAAAAAGCTATAAGCATCATTTAAGCAGCAGCTATAAATTTCATCGCCCAAGTCTTTGAAAATATCAAAAGTGTGGTGCAAGCAGAATATAAGTTCAACATTTATTAAATTTGAACAAATTAATGCAAGCACAATTAAAGTTCAACATTTATTAAATTTGAACAAATTAAATAAACATGTTAATTTAATGAAGAATAAAAAACACTTAAAGAAGTTCAGGAGTTACTACCCAAGACTCAAAAAGAATATAACTAAAAAGCACAGAGAGAACGAGGGTCATCATCAGATATTAGGAGCATTTTGAGTCCATAAAGATACAAAAAATAAATAAAAATTCCTCCAAACCTAATTGACAGGTTGGAGTCATAGGGTTCCCCTTCAGAATAAGAATTTTAGACCAAGTGAAATTCCCATTCAGGAAAACTAAAAAATAAAAAAATCAGAGTCCACAAAATTGATATTAATCTCTATAGTGAAGCATACATATATTAAATACTCAAGTATATTTTATTACCTAATAAAATAAAGTTAAGGATGTGGAAAGTTAAGAACAGAAAACAAAACTAAAAGGGCACTTTGACAGGGTAAAAGGATGTGGAAGGGAAAGAAGAATCAATTAAGATGAATTATATGTGGAACAGAAAGAATATGGGTAGGTGTGAAAGTTAGATCAAACCAAAATATAAGCAGAGAGAGAGAGAGAGAGAGAGATGTCAGATACCAGAATCACTTATAATATCACAAATGTGATAACACCGTCAGATTTTCCCAATATCAAGAAAATTATGTATATCACTTTATCTGCACAAATTTTTTTTTTTTTTTTCATGCTTTTATTGTTAAAAACTGTACAATAATTCAAGGACTGGATGATGGAGAAGTACTGACTCTTTGCTCATTGAATTCCTTGGCACAATTATTATAGGTGTTTCCAGTGAAAGGTCCAGCTTTAAGGCAGAGGCTCCATCTATTTCGTATTTGTTTATCAACCACTCTAAGCCCCCAACTTTATCAACAAGTCTAATCGCTTCTTCTGTATGTGGGGTGGCAAGTTCCATAAAGTATGCAGTAACCTGCAAGAGCATGTGCCCACAAATTTTGTAAGAGATTCCAAATGACCATCAAAATAATTAGATGACAAAAAGGATGCCAAAGTAAAAAAGTCAGATCACCAAACCCGAAAAATAGAACCAGGTAGAAGACACATAAACATTTATCTACTTGCAAATCAACAGTAAGTATGGAAGCTTAACTAATACTTTCCTCCTTAATATGTCCCAAAATAAGTATACTACTTAAAAAGTCATGTACAAATTTTTTTTTTTTTTTTTTTGATAAATAAAAATTTTATTAAAAAACGCTCAAAAGGGTAGCGGATCCCAAGAAAAAAACAAAAGAACACAAAGGCCTCAAGCCTTCAAGGGGGCCAAAAAGTCAACAATCTCCTCCAACGATCAAGCCTTCATATTTTTGCACATACAAGTCAATGTACAAAAATATGAAAACACCTAAATTAGTGTAAAGTGGCGAAAAAAAAAACCCTAGTAAATAAAAGACGTGTAAGAAACACCCCTGGTATTTAGTATGTGCATATATCCCTATAATATGAAAATTTGCAGCAAATTGATCCTGATCGTCAATTTTGACCCCTTTTTTATTATTATTGAAACCCCCAAAATACCCTTAACAAAATTTGTGCATAGAAGTGTTTTTTTTTTTTTTTTTTTTTCCCCTGGTTCAAGTGCAAAAAAAAAAAAAAAAAAAAAAAACACTAAAATATACGGAATGTGCAACCCCCCTGGTGTAAAAAAAAAAACCCTTACATTTTCCAAATTGAGAATATAAGGCCAATTCCTCAATTTACACTGAAATACCTAAAATGCCCTTAAGACAAAAATAAAATAAAAAACAATGATTTCAAAATTTAGGGATTTTTATTAAAAAAATAAATATATATTGGGGATTTTATAAAAAAAATATTGGGGTCTTTATAAAAAAAAATTGGGATTTTGGGGTTAAGGGTATTTTACAGTTTTTAGAATAAAAATATTTGGTCAAAATTGACGATCAGGGGCAATTTGCTATAAATTTCCAAAATACATGGACTTATATGCACCTTTTAAAAAGCGGGGTGTTTATTGCACATTTTTTATATGGCATGGGAGTTTTTTACACTTGACCCCTTTTTTTAAAATAAAAAAAAAAATTGATAAATAAATAATTCATTAAAAAAGAGTTCAAAAGGAGAACACATCCCTAACAAAACCACAAAAACCTGGGTACCCTAAGGCCCCAAGGAAGCCGAAAACTCAACAGTCTCCTCAGCAGTCAATCCGAACCCCAAAAACAAAGAGAGCTAATAATAGAAGATTTCAGAACAGTGATAGAAGATTCCTTTCCTTCAAAGGATCTTCTATTCCGCTCCCTCCACAAACACCACCAAAGACACAAAGGCGCCATCCTCCAGAACCCTTGAGCCTATGCTCCAACCCAAACCCCTCTCAATTTTCTCAGTCTTCAAATTGAGAAAATGTCCTTATATGCTAAATCTGAAAAATGTAGAGAAGAGAGGGAGGGGGGGTTGCTCTTTAACCCCTAAATTATATTAAATTTTCAAAACTTTCTCAAATTAGCAACGCAAATCTTCGCTTGGGATGTTAGCTTTGTATTTTAAAGACCACATACATTAAATGCATGTCCACGTGAAAAGTGGACTCCCCACAAGGGACAGTTTTTTGGAGAGAGAGAGTATGAACATTAAGTATTGGCCTAAGGATTTTATCTAAAGGTCAATCTTATGTTTTGATGATTACAAACCATTAATGATGTTTAAGTACTAATGTTTTCATTGAGTGATATATAGCTGATCAACATTCAATCCTCAAAGATGAGCTAGAAGATCCATTCCAAACATTCCAAACATTCAAGCAATGGATTCAAGGAAGCATCAAAGTTGAAAGAAATCAAAGAAAAACTCGGACTTCAAAGATCACACAAAGCATTTCAAAGAAAGAAAGCAAGTCCTCATCAAGCCTAAACGATCATGGTCAAAGAATGAAGAAAAGGGTAGATAGGATGGTGAGAGCTTAAGATTCAATGTCAAAGTCTTTCTGAATACATTTGAAGCTCAAAATCATAGGACCATGCATATCATACATCATTCATATGCTCCTATGTCCATTAGCAATAGACTATGCACTTTATTCATATATATTGACATATGAAGCCTTTGCTAAGAAAGAGTTAGTTCAAGCTTGATAAGCTTTGAAAGAACTCATTACTTAAGCTAGAAATTCTAGGACCATGCACATTAATCATAATATTTATTTTGGTCCCTAGAAAGTAAAGGAAAAGGCATTGAATTTAATATTTCATCTTTAAAGCCTTCATTGCCACAATTTGGTAGATGACTCTAGGACACAATGCACTTGAAATTTATCATCTCCATATGTCCCTAGACTCTTAGAAACAGGCCTTGAACTAAATTGAATCATTCATCAAAGTCCTAGGTGCTAGAAAGATGGATATCTCAAAACAAGCAATTTTCAGCCCAGAAAAATTTCAGACCAGCTTGCACTAAAACTGCTATAACTATTTGTGTAGTTGGAATTTTTACACAAGGCCAGTGGCATTGGAAAGCTGACTTCGAGCCCTTGAGTTTAGACTCAAATTTCACCTAAAAAGGATTTGAATTGAGAGAGATATAACCATCATAAGATGCCTGATTCTGCTCTGCGAAAATTCTGACCAGGTTGCACTAAAACGGCCATAACCATTACTGTGGTTGGAATTTTTGAGCAAGGCCAGTGGCTTTTGAAAGCTGACTTCAAGGCAATAAATTTAGACTCAAATTTTACCTCATTTGGAGTTTCATGGACTGAGTTATGTCCATTTGAAGTCATGCACTTTTTCTGTCCAATCCAATTTAGCAACAGCCTTCATGAAGCAAGAGCAGCCTCTATAAGAAATAGAGCCAGCTCTCTCAAGACCAATGGAGCAGGCTCTATGAAAGATAGAGCAGGCTCTCAAAGAATGGAGAAGGCTCCATGAAATTAGAGACGGCTCCATGCAAATGGAGAAGGCTCCATGAAAATGGAGACGGCTCCATGAAAATGGAGACGGCTCCAAGCAAATGGAGAAGGCTCCAAGCAAATGGAGAAGGCTCTCAAAGAATAAAGCCGGCTCTGTAAAAGTCTCTCTCAACTCCAATAGCTATTTTTCAACGAAAAATGAAGTTTCCATCCAAAGAGTAGGCTCCCAAAATATGGAGCAAGGAGGCTGGGAGCCGTCTCCATGCAATAGAGAGCCTGCTCTCAAGGCTAGGGAGCCGCCTCCTCTTGTTTACAAGAGCCGGCTCCTTCTAGGGTTTTGAATTGCAACGGAAACATTTTCATTCATTGCTCCCCAACTACTTCTAACAGCTATATTGAGCTTCGAAATTCTATAAATACAGAGGGGTTGTCTGCTGAAGAAGTTGACCATTTTTTAGAGACATTATATTGCATCAAAGAGAGCTTTTGTTCTCATATCTTCTCCTCATCTCTCTCATTCACTCATATACTATTTGAGAGAGCATTCAAGAACATCATTCAAGTGCATCCAAGAGAGCTTTTGGCTCTACCATTATACAGAGATTTTGTTCTGATTTTACTCACTCATAGAGCCTCTGTTCAGACATCAATCTTCATCTCATATACAAGCTTCCATAGCTGTACCAAAGTGAACTTTAGAGAGCATTTAGCGAGCCTTTGCTGAACTTTTGTTCTAATATTTCATCAGAGCTTTTGTTCTGCATTTTCCTCATCATCTCTCATGCATTTCATACTTAGAGTTTGAGCTTCACTTGATTTCATATATACTCTATTGTGAGGTTTGATTTGTATCAGTTCTTGAGAGGATTTCTTGTACTACAAATTCTATCTACAAATCTGCTGTAAACCTAAGAGGAAGAGTTTCTCTTAGCAAAGAAATTGTAAGGGCTGGTGTGGCCTATGTAAAACTAAGAGAGGTGGTCTCTTAGGAAGGATATTGTAAGGGTTGGTGTGACCCATAGGAAGACCAAGAGAGGTTTTCTCTTAGCAAGGAGTTACTTTTAATCAAGGTTTGCTCTTCACCCGTAAGGAGAAGCTATATTGGATTGGGAAGTCTCAAGAGGGATCTTGAGCCGAGGAGTAGGAGTTTCCGAACCTTGCAAAAATCGCCGTGTTATAGTTTGCAATTTCTCTTCTCTTATCTCTTTTATAATTGTGATATAAATTGTTTACTTTCATATCTTGATTTCATATGTTGATTATTGCACAATAGGTTATATTGTTGATTAGAAATTGTATTTCTATAATTTGCAAAAATTGGCCATTGACTCTATTCCCCCACATTAAAAAAGAACAATTATCAGGTACTTGCAACTATAGAAAACAATGCAACCAGCTGAAGATATTTCTAGAGATAAAAGGAATAGGAATAATTCTACGTGTTTATTCTTCTCCTTGTGGAGGATTTAAATAGTACACAAATAATTACATAGAAGCAAAGAAATAAATACAAAGAAGGAAAGAAATTAAAGACTAAAAATCAGCTCCTATAACTATGCTAACCAGCACATAACTGCACATGTACAGCTAATTATCTATATATGTTAACAATTATATATTTAACAATACATCTAATTATCTATATATGTCAACACTCCCCCTCAAGCTAGAGAATAAATGTCCCAGATTCTCAGCTTGGCAAGAGCAGAATTGAACACATTGCTAGAAACTACCATAGTCAAAATATCAGCAAGTTGATCCTTGGTCCTCGCATACTCGCATAGGGAGTGCAAATCACACCTTCTGTTAACTTCTCTTTGATAAAGTGCCTGTCAATCACAACATGTTTAGTTCGATCATGTTGCACAGGATTATGAGCAATGCCGATGGCTGCCTTATTATCACAATATAGTTTCTTGGGACTTTGACAAGCAATCCTCAATTCTCCCAACAGGATCTTCAACCATAATAATTCACACACATCGTGGACCATAGCTCTGAATTCAGCCTCGCACTAGACCTGGCCACAACCGATTGCTTCTTACTCCGCCAAGTAACATGATTGCCACCCACAAATGTGCAATATCCCGGAGTTAATCTTCGATCCAAAATAGAAGCTACCCAATCAGCATCTGTATAGGCCTCTACAACAGAGTGATCATGTTTTGAAAACAAAAGACCCTTACTAGGTGTTGATTTCAAGTATTTAAGTATCCTCTCTACTGCCTACATATGAACTTCACATGGGTCGTGCATGAACTGACTGACAACACTCACTACCCAGGCTATATCAGGTCGTGTATGAGACAAATATATTAGTTTTCCAACCAACCTCTGATATCTCTCTCTGTGAACTGGTGTATCATCAGTCTGTTCACCCAATCTATGATTTTGTTCGATAGGAGTATCCACAGGCTTGCAAGCTAACATTCCTGTCTCAGTTAAAAGATCAAGTACATACTTTCACTGTGAAACAAAGATTCCCTGCTTTGAACAAGCCACTTCAATACCTAGAAAATACCGCAGGACACCCAAGTCTTTAATTTCAAACTCCTTGGCCAAATGTACCTTTAGTCTCCTAATCTCCTCGATATTATCCCCGATGATGATGATATCATCTACATAGCCAATAACAAATGTAATTCAACCTCCCCGAGAGTGTCGAAGGAATAACGTATGATCTGCTTGACTATGATGATATCCATACTTCTGCATAGCTTGAGCAAATCTACCAAACCATGCTCTAGGAGACTGTTTCAGACCATATAATGATTTTCTTAGTCTGCATACTTTCCCCTTATTAGTACTTTCATCACTACCTGGAGAAAGGTCCATGTACACTTCCTCCTCTAGATTGCCATGGAGGAAAGCATTCTTAACATCAAACTGTTGGAGAGTCCACTCTAGGTTAGCTGCTAAAGATAACAGAACCCAAAGAGTATTCATTTTCGCAACTAGAGCAAACGTCTCCTGATAGTCTATGCCATATGTCTCAGTCCCTTTGCCACCAATCTTGCCTTGTATCGATCAATCGACCCATCTGCCTTATGCTTTATGGTAAACACCCATTTGCAACCAACAATTTTCTTCCCTTACGGCAACTCCACTAACTCCCACGTATAGTTTTTTCGGAGAGCTCTCAATTCTTCAACCATCGCCTCTTTCCACCTTGGATAGTCAAGTGCATCCTATAATTTTTTAGGAAAAGATACAGAAGACAACTGATGGGCAAAAGCCTTGAAGGATGGTGAGAGACGATGAGAAGACATAAAACTTGAAATAGGATATTTATATTTTGATTGACAAGTACAATGTGATTTTCTCAAGACAATAGGCAATTCTAAGTCATTAACAACATTTGAGTCATCTAAAGCATTAGGATCTACAGAACTATTATCAACGAAAGAGAATGGAGATTCAATAGACTCTACCTTAGGATTATCTATTGTCGAGGCAGACTGATCATTTTGCTCGAGAGGTACCTTTTCTCTTCTTAGATATACCAGCTCAAATGGAGACATTTGATGACCTTCTGGAGGGAGATTCAAAGAACCACCTTCTGCTTTTTCATTTTTTCCATTTTTTTCATTTTTTTCCATTTGTTTCATTTCCACTCTCTAATTCAAACATAGGCACAATATAAGACTTTTCTTCACTACTCGAGGTCTCCCCTAGAAGAGAAGTCGTAGAAGCAAGACTAGAAAAATAGGCTTATTCCTCGTGAAAAGTAACATCCATAGAGACAGAATTTTTTTTACGGAGGGTGATAACACTTGTAACCCTTCTGAGTAGCAAAATAACCGAGAAAAATGCATTTGAGGGAACGAGGGTCAAGCTTACCACTGTGGTGTACATGGACAAAGCTTATACAACCAAACACTCGAGGAGGAAGATGATTAACAGTAGATGGCGAGCAAGAAGTAGTGAAGACCTGAAGTGGAGTTTGGTATTGAAGAACTCTAGAAGGCATCCGATTGATCAAATAGGCTGCTGTGAGGACTGCCTCCCCCTAGTATGACATTGGTATTGTCATGGATAGAAGCAGGGAACGGGATACTTTGAGAAGAAGACGATTTTTCCGTTCTCCATTCTGTTTAGGGGTATCGTTGCAAGAAGTTTGATGAATAATGCCATGGTCAGAAAAATAGGATTGAAGACCAGAATAAATGTATTCACCCCCATTATCAAAGCGGAAGACTTTTATCTTTGAATTGTACTGTGTATGGATCATTTGATGAAGCGACTTAAAAATAAAAGGAAATGCACTTTATTAATACTTAATGGAAAACTAGTTCACAAGTTTCACATTGAAATTGAGAAACATCAACAGCAGAAAATAAAGAAGGAAACAATTTTTTTAAATAATAAAATTACGGATGTCCTAAATGCTTGTTCCATAACCAAATGTCACGGGATGAACCAGTAGTGGATTGCACAGCATGAACTGAGGTTGAAGCAGCTGGAACATCCAAGAGATAGAGGCCACCTCGTTCACTACCATGAGCAATCCTCGCCCCCATTCAGAGATCCTAAAATATACAGTGTGTCAAAAAACGTGATAGAACAGTTTAAGGTTTTAGTAAGTTGACTGATAGACAGCAGATTATTGGACAATCTAGGGACATGTAGAACATTGGAAAGGGACAAAGAATCAGAAAGAGTGACTGAACCTTCACCAGTCACAGGGGTTGGTAAACCATCAGCAGTTGTGACACAAGTTTTAGTAGGTGAGGAATAACATGAGAAAAAATGAGAAATAGAGGTCACGTGATCAGTTGCCCTATATCTATAACCCAAGATTCTGAGGAAGACTTACCGGATACACTAAAACAATGACCAATGTTACCTGAGGACGTGCTTAAAGAACTGGACCCGAGCAAAATAGCACAATCCTGAATCATTTGTTCCATCTGACCAGAATAGAACTTAAGAGCATATTGATCACCGTTCTGCTTACTGGAAGAGGTATAATGAGCCTTAGAGCTAGAACGACTCCCTTTTCCGCCCCTAGTGCCTTCACCTTTGTCACCCTTTTTTTCCCGGCTACCAAAGCGGATAACCATTGAGTTTAAAGCATTGTTCTCTCACATGTCTAGTCTGGTTACAATAATCACAAACCAAACAGTCTTTGTCATCAGATTTAGTAGTTTTAGCAACATTACCAAATGTTGCAGTTGATGGAGGATCGGGCTGATGTGCTAATGATACCCGAGGTAATTGCTTGTGGTAGAAACCAAAGCAGATCCTTCTGGAGAAGATGGCATGAGCATAGCAGATCGTCGGAGGGCCTGGGTACGCACATAAGCATAGGCCTCACGCAAAGAAGGAAACGGATCTTTTCCAAGCACCTGAGTCCTTATTCAGTCTAGATCTAGGTTAAGACCAGCAAGAAATTCAAAAACGCGTTCTTTTTCAATCTGCTTATTCAACAAAGCGGTATCTACAGCACATTCCATTTCACAAGGTTGATAATAGTTGAGTTTTTACCACAAAGCTTGGAGGGCATTGTAATATGCCTCCAATGTCCTTCCCTGCTGAGTAGTAGCCTGAATACTACGTTTCAACTCATAAATTTGTGCCTCATTTCCTCCCACAGAATAAGTGTGAGATATTGCATCCCAAATATCTTTAGCGGACTTGAGCTGCATATATCCAAGACTAAGATCAGAGGTCATAGTTTAAAGGAGCCAAGAGCAATGCATTGCATCTTCTGCAACCCAAGTCGTGAAAATTAGGTCATTAATCGCAGGTCGGGGTTTTTCCCCAGTCAAATACCCCAACCGGCCTTTGCATGTAATATACAGCTTCACAAAGTGTGACCAAGCCAGATAATTGGTGCCATCAAGTTTATGAGGCATCAACTGGACATTCATCAGATCTTGATGCGGGTTAGATGCGGTTGGAGGAATCATTAGAGTCGGAGAATCAATCTCAGAAGTCACAGAGGTTTCAATCTTGTCTGCCATGAAGTCAAATAAGGATACCTAGTCTGTGGTGGTGGGCAAGGTTGTCGGTAGGTTCTGGGGTGATATAAAAAAACTGGTGTTTGGTTAATAAGATGTATTTGCAGAAAACCCGAAAAGAAAAATACGATTTTAAAATTCCTTTCTAGATGGCTCTGATACCATGATATTTCTATAGATAACGGAATAGGAATAATTCTACGTGTTTATTCTTCTCCTTGTGGAGGATTTAAATAGTACACAAAAAATTACACAAAAGGAAAGAAATAATTACAAAGGAAAGAAATTAAAGACTAAAAATCAGCTCCTATAACTATGCTAATCAGCACCTAATCAGCACATGTACAGCTAATTATCTATATATGTTAACAGTTATATAGTCAACAATACAGCTAATTATCTATATATGTCAACACCAACAACATCTGAACTTACCTCTTGAACAAACCTATAGAGAAAAACAATGCGAACAGCAGAAAGTTGGCCACACAAGCTATAATCATATCCTTCGTAGTCATCATCTTCAGCACTAAAAGACTTGAATGTAAACTGCGCAGAATATATTAATATGGAGAGAGAGAGAGAGAGACAGACAGACAGACAGACAGACAGAAGTGCTCAGTAAAGGGTAAGACAGACAAAGAAGGAATAAGTAATGAACAGATATGAATCCTGTCAGATATCAGCTTTCAATCAAATAAATATTAATGAACCTTGATGAGGGATTCAGCCTCTTGATTGCGTGGATTACAAAGCCAACCCCAGCAGTGATCGGTTCCAAGTGACATATCACACAGCCTGAAATTCCCTAATGTGCCTTCAATGAAAATAGAACTTGGATGAACCTTGAAAAATAAAAAGCAAAAAGTCAAACAACGAGAATAAAAGCCTCAAAGAACAAAATATTTCATAAAAATAAAATAAGGAAAAACATCACAAAAATTCAATAATCATTTCTTAAACTAGGAAAAAAAAAATTCTTATTGGCAAAATAGAAAGTGAGTGCAGCTTAAGAAAGAAAATACAGTCAGATGAACTTCAAAAGAATACTAATGGTCGTAATGAAAATTAAAACCAACAAATAACTTATAGATACAAGATACAGCTTATAGTCTAAGATAGATGGACTTTTTTAAATATGTTGAAAAACCAATTGGAGATAAAACACATCGGCAGGACCCCGTAGGGGTAGCGGCCCTAGAGCGTACCAGAAATAGATCTAACATGCCTAGATGGGCATGTATCTAGCAAGCATATCTGATTAATCAACCATGATAAAATGCACATATAGCTCTCTTCTAGTGTTCCTTTTGTCATATTATTTGTTACAACAAACGCAACGAACCAAGCAACAATTACAAAACACGACAGAGAAATAAACACAGTACACAAAGAACACAAAGATTTATACGTAGTTCAGCAAAGCCTACATCCACATAGTGAACACTTTCGCCGGATCTCCACCATGGACACAGGCTTTGCCGAACCACATATAAATCTTTGTGTTCTTTGTGTGGTGTGTTTGTTTTTATGGCATGTTTCGTAATTATTGCTTAGTTCGCTGCGTTTGTCATAACTGTTGAAATATCTGTATTATTATTATTTTTATTTTTTATTAGCTGATTTCAGCCTTTTATTAGGTGTTTTATGTAAGATCCCTATTATCATGGGATCACATAGATAAGATCCCTGTAATCATGGGATCACGTAGATTTTGGTATATTTCCTGTTTTTCTTTGATTTGGTTTCCTTTCTTTGTACTCTATTCTTGTATATAAATATAGCTCTTGGCTCTCGGTTTGAGTACGCCAAAACCCAAACTTCTTCTTTTGTAACAAACTGGTTTCAGAGCTTCTGGTTCGAAGCAGGAATGGCGTCCAAGTTTCTGGAAATCGAGAAATTTAACAGAAGAAAAGATTTCAACCTGTGGGTTTGGATGCAGACTCTGTTGGTTCAACAAGGATTATCCAAGGCGCTGAAGGGGAAGGATGTACTACCAAATTGTGGCATATGCAACTTGGGCATATGAGTAAGAGGGGGATGGATGTTCTGAGTAAGCAGGGTCTACTTGGTGCTCTGAGAAGCTGGATTTCGGTGAGCATTGTGTCTTCGAGAAGCAGTACAGAGTGAAGTTCAGTACGGGAATTCACAGGACCAAGGGGATAGTGGATTATATTCATTCTTATCTTTGGGTCCCTCTCAGGTTATTTCACATGATGCTGATTGATGATTTTTCTCGAAAAGTTTTGAGTTTACATTCTGAAGCACAACAATGAGGATTTTGTCACGTTTAAGCAATGGAAGACCTAGATTGAGAAGCAGACTAGAAAACAGGTCAAGAGCTTGAGGACAGACAATGACTTGGAATTTTGTGATGGAGAATTTAATGAGTTCTGTCAAGACTCATGGGATTGTGAGGCACCACACAATATGAAAGAATTCACAACAGAATGGAGTTGCAGAATAGATGAACAGAATGTTATCTCTTAAAGTCAACAGCTATCGACTGTAAGACTCCAGAGGAGGTATCGTCTGGTTCTCCTGCTAGTTACAGTAATCTGAGAATATTTGGGTGTCCGGCGTATGCTCATGTGAATGAGGGGAAGCTTTAACCGAGGGCTAAGAAATTCATTTTTCTTGGTTATCAGCCCAGAGTAGGGATACAGATTATGGTGCCCAGAGGCTTCGGGAAAGAAGATACTTGACAATAGGGATGTGACCTTTCATGAGTTTGCGATGCTTACTCTGCAAAAGAAGGTAGTTAATTCAGGGAGATGGTTCAAGGAGAGCTTAGGGTGTATAAAGTATGTAGAGGTTCAGTTAAAGGATAGTCTTGATCGATTGACTAATAAGCAAGTGCAGTTTCGGGCCGAGGGAGATCACAGTTGCAGCAGCATAGTGTGGCTAGAAACAAGCCTAAGAGGGATATTAAGCCACCTGAGAAGTATGGGTTTTCACATGCTGATTTGGTTGCTTATGCACTTAGTGTGGCAGTGGATATTGATGAGCAGATACCATATACTTACCATGAGGCCATCACAGGTGGAGAGTCAGCACAGTGGTCTGTTGCCATGAGTAAGGAGATTGAGTCTCTTCATAAGAACCAGACTTGGGATCTACTAAAGAAGCCTAAGGGCCAGAAGATTGTGGGTTGTACATAGGTCTTCAAGAAGAAGGAAAGAACTCCAGGGGTGGAAGATGCGAGGTACAAGGCACGCTTGGTGGCGAAGGGCTATACACAGGGGGAAAGAGTGGACTTCAATGAAGTGTTTTCTCATGTGGTGAAACATAGCTCAATCTGGGTGTTACTTGTTATGGTTGCTCTGTATGACTTAGAGTTTGAGCAGCTTGATGTCAAAACTGCTTTCTTGATGGTGAGTTGAAAGAGCAGATTTATATGCATCAGCCTGAGGGGTTTGAGATTCTGGGAAAGGAAGATCATGTTTGCCTACTGAAGAAGTCTGTGTATAGGTTGAAGAAGTCCGTGTATGGGTTGAAGTAGTCTCCTAGTCACTGGGACAAGCGATTTGACACCTTTATGGTTGGGAATGGCGGGTTTGACAGTTGTGTGTATCACATGAGGCTCTTAGATGGTTCGTATTTGTACTTGTTGTATGTTGATGACATATTGATAGCTTGCAAGAACATGTCTGAAATCAACATGTTGAAGGCTCAACTTAGTGGTGAATTTGAGATGAAGGATTTGTTGGGTTTGTCTCTCAAAATTGTGTGCAGAAATTAATTTCCTTTTTCATTTTGGAATGCTAAAATTTGTGAAGGAAATTATGTCTCATTAAGTTTCTATTTTAGAGTTGGAATTGATATGGTAACTCCTTGTAGGCAAGTTGGGGAATACTTGTCCAACAAGGAATTGGGTTTTGAAGACTATAAATAGAGATGGGTATGAGAGGTTGAGAGAGAGAGAGAAGAGAAAAAAGATGTAAGGGGTTTACTAGTGAGTGTTGTGAGGAGAGGGTAGAGTATATGTAATTCCCGAGTGTATACATATAGCCTCAAAAGAGATAATGGGCAAGTGATTGGGGTTTTAACATGCGGTTGTATATTCTCTTCCTTGATTCATGGTAATGAAGTCTCTGTCTCCATGGACGTAGCCCTAGAGTTGGGTGAACCATGTAAAATATTGTGTTGTGCGTTCATGTGTATGATTGTTATCTCCATATATGCTTGTGTTGGTATGATGTGATGATACTTCCGCTGTGTGTGATGAAGTAAGCATTTAACTCTCAACAACAACTGACTGTTGAGTGGGTTGGAGGGAGTTAATTATCCCCAACAAGTGGTTTCAGAGCCGATGGTGGGTTAGAGCCCGTGGTTGGTCCTGAAGATCGGTAGCAGATGATTAGTGCGTGTGATGTTGTGGCCCGAATTTGGTGTCGGGTCACAACACCAATAGGGATGATGTATGGAATTTTGTTAGAGGAGGAGAGATCTTCAATCGAGGTGGAGTTATAGAAGAGCATGTGAAAACCGATTTTGAGCCAAGGTGGAGATTGTTGGGTTTGTGTCTCGAAATTGTGTGCAGAAATTAATTTCCTTTTTCGTTTTGGAATGCTAAAAATTTGTGAAGGAAATTGTGTCTCACTAAGTTTCAATTTTAGAGATGAGATTGATATGGTAACTCCTTGTACGCAAGTTGGGGAATACTTGTCCAACAAGGAATTGGGTTTTGAAGACTTTATAAATAAAGATGGGTATAAGAGATTGAGAGAGAGAGACAGACAGACAGACAGAGAGAAGAGAAAAAAGATGTAAAGGGTTTAAGGGTAAGTGTTCTGAGGAAAGGAGAGAGTATATGTAATTCCCGAGTGTATACATGTAGCCTCAAAAGAGATGATGAGTGAGTGATTGTGGTTTTGAAATGTGGTTGTATACTCCCTTCCTTGATTCTTAATAATGAGGTCTCTCTCTCCATGGGCATAGCCCTAGAGTTGGATGAACCATGTAAAATATTGTGTTGTGCATGAATATGTATGATTGTTATCTCCATATATGCTTGTGTAGATGTGATGTGATGATGCTTCCGCTGTGTGTGATGGAGGAGGTATTTAACTCTCAACAACAACCGACCGTTGAGTGGGTTGGAGGGAGTTAATTATCCCCAACAGGATCTTGGTGCTACAAGAGGATATTGGGTATGGAAATTCACAGGGACAGAGGAGCGGGCAGATTGTATTTGTCACAGAGGAAATACATTGAGAAGGTGCTAGAACGCTTCAGTATGCAAGCGTCAAAGCCTGTGAGTACTCCATTGGCTGCCCACTTTAGAATTTCACACACGTTTGGTTCAAGGGCACGCCGTCCCAAGTGTTCTCACATCATTTCTCCCTCTCTGTAACAAGAAAGAATACATCTTCAACAAGTATTCAAGTACGACAAAAGTTATCAAAATATCAAAAACAAGTCCCATGTCCATGGAGGGTCTAGGTGCCACCCGTGGCATGCTTCTTATCTTTAAAATGTTGGGGTGAGCAAACTAGCCCAATAGATGATATGGTAACTAATGCAACCAATGAACATATGAGTCATGTAAGCATGGCCTAATCAAAATACTAAGCTCCACAGGTTAAAATAAAACATGGTTACTACCAAGGATTTAGCCAAGTGGTATCTCCTCCTTCAAAAGGGAAGGCCAACGGTTCAAGCCCCCAGTCGGAGAATAATGGGTGCACATGCATGTGATCTAGCTACCAAAAGGGAAAAAATTAAAAAATAAAAAATAAAGAAGAAGAGAATAAAGCTTGTAGTTGCTCAGCAGTGAATTCTACCAGACTAACTGTAGCAATCTGGATTTTGATTTAATGAAGCCACCTTTGGCCTCACGACTTCTACATAATATTGTTTTCCATTTCACTACTGTTCCACTCCCCAACATGTTTTCCTTATTAAGTAAACAACACCAACAGAAATCATTTTACAACAGAGAAAAAATTAGATTACCAAAGAAATAGATTACCGAGAAAATGCCATATTAATTACAATTATAAATAAATTATCAGAATAATTTAACAGGACATATATTTAAAAGGATTAGTACATGAATGGGGAAAAAACAGAAGAAGGTGCGACTAAAATACATAATTTTCCTCACCTTAAGATCCAACAAGAAACTTTCTTGCACAAACATCGCAAGCTGAGAACCATCCTCCTTATTAAGAAACACAGAGACGCTGTCGACGTCCATATTTAAATAAAATACCACACGACCTTTTCCATATCCCAGCAACCCTCTAACAAAAGAACGCCCATCTTCTGTCTTGTCTTTGCTCACCACAGATTCATTTTCTGAAGTTCTTTTCATGTTTGCACCACTTACCGCACTATTTGCAGAGCTCAGATCAAAGCCAAAACCAATTAAAGCAACAAGAGTTGATCTGTTGCAAAAGAATTCCAATTTGGACATGCGAACACTCATCTGGAATAGATGTTTATCAGTAGAATTAGCAAATCAACACAAGGCAGTATGGATTACATGTTTTCATTATTTTAACAATTCAACAATTTTTAAGTCAAGTACCTGGGTATCTATACCATCATAATCCGGCGAACCAGGATTCCTCGTGAAGAATGTAACAGATACAAAATCCGAGTTATCACTACCCTGCGCCTCATAAAATATGTCACCATGATTGCTTCTTCCTCTTCCAAGATCGTTCTCATGAATTAAGGTTTCAGAAAAATTGAGTCCAGCACATTCATCAATATCACCTACCCTTGTGCTAGGATCAATGTTTTGTGAATAAATGACTGGATCAGTCAAACACATGAAATCTGGTAAAGCATCCTTATAAATGTCATCCTCCTCCGAATGTACCAAGGACACCTCCTTCCCATGAGGGTCAATAATACTAGGGGAAGCAAACAAATGGTCATTCTTCAACACAGAGTAAGCTAAATACTGCGGTTCTGAAGATAGAGAACCTTGAAGCTCATCCTTAATTTTCAATGAGTGCAGTTTCATCTTGACTGCCAGATCACCTTCAGAGCAAACAATGTGTACCTGTAAAGCAATATACCACACTTTAAATATTGACATTAAAAAATGTCAACAAGTGATGGGTACAACAATTTGTAGCCTAAGAACAAGTGTTTGAGGATGAAAACAATGAATTACATAATGTTGATATAGTAGATTCATGAACTTTTAAAAGTAAAAAATAAAAATAAAAATAAAAATAAAAATCGAAACCCTAACTCCGCCCATTCTTTTAGATGTCATGCCAACACCTCTACCACCATTTTTACTACAACAAAATCCTAAAATACACCTATATCAAATTGGAAATCAAACAGGTCTCTATAGTTTGTGTAGAAATTCTCTCTGTAAAATATTTTGCCTCCTATATTAACATTAACATCTTCTACAAGTGTATATAGGAAAGAGGGAACGCTATACAAGGAAAAGAATAAAAAATATTCCTACAAATCTGTTCCTAATTTAAAGCAATCAATCTATCCTAATTTACTGCAATCAATCTGTCCTACAATCTTGTTCTAATTTACGAAAGTCAGAAATCAATCAAATCCCTAAAATTTAGGGAAATAATATATATCTTCCAACACTCCCCCTCAAGCTAGAGCATAGATGTCTCGAATGCCCAGCTTGTCAAGTGCCAAAATGAAAGTCGTACTTGACACTCCCTTTGTCAAAAAATCTGCAAGCTGATGTTTTGTCTTCACAAACGGAGTGCAAATTAATCCACTTATCAACTTCTCCTTGATAAATTGTCTATCCACTTCAACATGTTTAGTACGATCATGCTGAACTGGATTGTGAGCAATGCTAATGGCAGCTTTGTTATCACAGAAAAGCTTCATTAGATCCCTAGAATTAAAGCCCAGCTCCTTTAACAAAGCCTTCAGCTACAACATCTCGCATATACCATGAGCCATGTCTCTAAATTCTGCTTCAGCACTGGATCTGGCCACAACAGATTGTTTCTTACTACGTGACTAGATTCCCTCCCACAAAGGTTTAGTATCCTGAAGTTGATCTTCTATCTATTACACATCCTGCCCAATCAGCATCTGTATATCCTTCCACTTCGACATAACCATGGTTGGAGAATAGCAGACCTTTCCCAGGAGCTGATTTTAAATACCTGAGAATCCTATGTACCAACATGTGTGTTTCGTAAGGAGCATGCATGAACCGACTTACTACACTCACCGCATAGGCTATGTCAAGGCGAGTATGTGCCAAATATATTAGCTTCCCAACCAACCTTTGGTATCGCTCTCTGTCTATAGGTGTGTCATTTGTGCATTCACCTAACCTGTGATTTTGTTCAATTGGAGTATCAACAGGTTTGCAAGCCAACATTCCAGTCTCAGCCAATAAGTCTAAGACATATTTTGGTTGGGAAACAAAGATCCCCTTCTTTGACCTAGCAACTTCAATACCCAAAAAATATCGTAAAGACCCAAGGTCTTTGATCTCAAATTCTTTTGCCAGATATGCTTTCAGCTTACCCATCTCCTCACCATCACTACCAGTCACCACAATATCATCCCCGTACACGATTAGGGCAGTAATCTTACCTCCAAGTGAATGTTTGAGAAAAAGAGTGATCAGACTGGCTCCGGTGGTATCCATATTTCTTCATGGCCTGAGTAAACTCGCCAAACCAAGCTATGGGTGACTGCTTGAGTCCATACAAGGATTTCCTCAATCTGCATACCTTACCTCTTTTTGAGGAAATTAACAAAGCCTGGAGGAAAGTCCATGTATACTTATTCCTCTAAATCGCCGTGAAGAAATGCATTCTTCACATCAAACTACTGAAGAGGCCACTATAAATTTGTAGCCAAGGATAAGAGGACCCTTATTGTATTTATCTTCGCCACCGGTGCAAATGTTTCCCGATAGTCTATCCCACAGGTTTGGGTATAACCTTTAGCTACCAATCTTGCTTTAAACCTCTCCACCGAACCATCTACCTTATGCTTCACTGTGAATACCCATTTGCAACCAACTGTCTTCTTTCCCTTTGGTAGGTCAACAAGTTCCCATGTAGAATTTTTCTGTAAAGCTTCCATTTCTTAAATCATGGTAGCTTTCCACTTGGGGTTGTCAAGAGCTTCCTATAACTTATTAGGGACAAACACGGATGATAACTGGTTTGCAAATATTTTATAAGATGAAGATAAACGATATGTAGATACATAATGAGAGATGGGATGTTTCACAACTGAAAAACCAAAACGAGAGGGAGGTTTTCTTTCTCGAGTGGGATAACGTGCCTGATTCTCAATAACTAATTCAGTAGCATCATCAAGTTGATCAATAGGTAAATGAGTTGACTCATTAATAGAAGTATCAATAAAGAGTTTAAAAGAAGTAACTACCTCAGGATTACAAGTCACAGGAGCGCTTAATTGGTCATTAGGTCGATCAAGAGGTGGCTGAGTTGTCTATGTCTTCTCCCTTCTTGAGTATACAAATCTGTGTGGCTCGAGGAATTTCTTTGAAGTCGGTGCAGAATTTTCAGGAGATTCTTTCGAAGTCAATACAGAAGTTTCAATAGACGATGATACACTGGTTAATGGTAGTGGCAACACCTCCCAAAACTTCTCTTCATTTCCCAAATTCTCCCCCTGAAGAGAAGCATTTGAATCTCCCCCTGAATAGTAAGCCTGATTTTCAACAAAAGTAACGTCCATGGAAACAATCATCTTTGTTGAAGGAGGGTGATAGCATTTGTATCCCTTTTGTGTGCCAGAATACCCCAAGAAAATACACTTAAGATCTCTCGGATCTAGCTTACTCCGGTGTTGTTTGTGGATATGAGTATAACAAACACAGCCAAACACTTTGGGTGGAATGTGAAGAAGAGTTGGAATAGTGTGTGTTTTGGATAATGTCTGAAGAGGAGTTTGAAACTGAAGGACTTTTGAAGGCATTCTATTAATGACATATGCTACAGTAAGGACAGCATCTCCCCAGAAAGTTTTAGGAACGTTCATAGCAAAGAGTAATGACCTAGCAACCTCTAAGAGATGGCGATTCTTACGCTCTGCTACTCCATTCTGCTGGGGTGTATCAACACATGAAGTTTGATGAATGATGCCATGAGCCTAAAAATATACACTAAGCCCTCTCTTAAAATACTCCCCTCCATTATCTGATCGTATAATCTGTACTCTGGTGCTAAACTTGGTCAAAACCATTTGGTGAAAGGATTGGAAGGTGGCAAAAACATCACTTTTTTCTTTCAACAAATAGATCCATGAAACACGAGTGCAATCATCAATAAAGGAAACAAACCATTTAGAATCTAAATGATTAGGAACACGAGATGGCCCCCCACACATCACTGTGAACAATTGAGAAAGGCACAAAATTTCTATTAAAACTTGAAGAAAAAGAAGTGCAATGGTGTTTGGCTAACACACAGGAGTGAAAAGGCATGTATTCCCCTTCGGTTAGGCAAGGAAGGAGGAAGATGGAAATTTTAGTATCACAATGAAAATTAGAAGCATCAATTCCGAAGAATAAAGATGGAAACAACTTATGCAAATAGCTAAATGAGGGGTGTCCTAATCTTTTGTGCCATAGCCAAATCTGGTCTTCTGATGTTGACCTACCAACAATTTGATTTGCTTTTCCATTCGAAGCCCAATTCATATCCAAGTAGTACAAACCACCTCTTTCTCTACCAAGACCAATCTTCGCTCCCGTAAGAAGGTCCTAAAAGACACAATGAGTATCAAAGAATGTGACGGAACATTTAAGAGCCTTAGTAATCTGACTAATGGACAATAGGTTATCAGATAAACATGGAACATGTAAGGCACTAGAAAGAGACATCGAAGAAGTAATTGGAATGGAACCTTCCCCAGACACAATAGAAGTAGATCCATTTGTTGTTTTAACACTCTTTGTACTAGGATGAGTGTTATAAGAAGAAAAAAATCTAGATTCATGTGTCATATGATCGGTAGTACCTGAATCAATAATCCAAGATGACTCAACACGACCAAAAGTGTTCAAGGATAATCTAAAGTTACCTGTATTGGCTGAGTTACATGCAGCCTCTTTTGAGGATAGCTTCAGAGCATACTCTTGCATCATTTTATCTACCTGAGCTTGACAATATTGTGGTTGGGCTGCAAAAGAAGATTGTGCATCAGATTGCACATCAAAGGTTGTGTGATGTGCTCTAGAATTTGAGTTATCCCCCTTGTTTCCACCTTTCTTATGGAACCAGTCTAGATAACCTTTCAGCTTAAAACAAGTCTCTCGAGTATGTCCAGCCTTATTACAGTGTGTACAGAACAAAGACTCGTTGTTCTTAGGTTTCCTTGAGCGAGAGGTAACCAGTGCAGTTGGAGTCTGCATAGTAGCCAAGGCTGAACTCTCCTGTGAGACACCTGTAAGCATGGTGGCCTGACGGAGCTCCTCACGTCAAAGATTAGGAAGAGGATCAGGCCCTAAAACCTGTACTCTGATCTGATAAAACCCTAGGTCGAGGCCGGCTAGGAAATTGTAGACCCTTTCATTCTCAATTCTCTTCTTTAGCTTTGTTGTATCCCCAACACACTCCATATCACATGGCTGGAGAAAATCCAGCTCCTGCCAAATGGCCTGCAAAGTAGAAAAATAGCTAGTCAATGTCTTCCCTTGCTGTCGGGTCTCATTTGCTCTGTGCCTCAGTTCATAAATCTGAGAAACATCCCTACCATCAAAATAGGTTTGAGCCACAGCTTCCCAAATAGCATGAGCTGTGGGAAGTCGAAGAAAACTGACACTAATATCCGGAGTCATTGAGTTAAGAAGCCATGACATCAACATGGCATTCTCCTCCAACCAAATAGAGAAGGAAGGTTCAGTATCCACCGCCTGTTTCTTCACTCTAGTCAAGTACCCCAACTTTCCCTTTCCTGTGATGTACAACTTCACAAACTGGGACCAGGAAGAATAATTTGTCCCATCAAATTTGTAATAAGTCATCTGCACACTCATGTTATCAAGTTGATTTGTCACAATCGAAGGAATGGGCAGTGCTGTACTAGAATCCAAAGATTTAGAGGTAACGACAGACATGTTTCGATGTCTATGGTGTTTAGTATCTAGGCTTTAGGATGTTGTCCAAGACAATTTCACACCAAGAGAACAAGAATAGGAGGACAAAGAGAATAGGTCAGCGGTAATCACTCACACCCGTGAAACTTCTCTCTTTCTCACACTATTGCTTTGATACCATGTAGAAATTCTCTCTGTAAAATATTCTGCCTCCTATATTAATATTAACATCTTGTACAAGTATATATAAGAAAGAGGGAAACCTATACAAGGAAAAGAATAAAAAAATATTCCTACAAATCTGTTCCTAATTTAAAGCAATCAATCTGTCCTACAATCTTGTTCTAATTTAAAATAGTCAGAAATCAAATCTCTAAAAATCAAGGGAAATAATATAGATCTTCCAACAGTTTGTTGAGTGCAACAGAAATCCAGCACTGCAATTTCCATAAACAATATAAGTATAGCATTGGAAATGAACATTCTAGATCCATCTCACTGCCAATAACTAAAAATTAAATTTAAAGGGCTAGCCGAGTGCATGAGGCACTCTGGCATTATAGGGTCTCAGGAGGGTCAGATGTTCACAGACTTACCTCCATATGCGAAGAGGCAGCTTCCATTTGAACCCGTGACCTCCAAGTCACAACGGAGAAACCTACCGTCACAGCAACACTCGCCCTCACTAAAAATCCCATTTACGAGGAAAAACAAATCGTAAAAAATGCCTTAAATCAACTACTCGGTGTACAGATGCAAATCAAATATATGTTTAGACATGTTTATCATAAAAGCTATTAAATTCAAAGAATACCTCAATATTCTCACCCTCTATTTGCTTCTCTAGAAGAATGTGAGGAAGGAAAGGAAAATTCATGAAATGCTAGGGCAAAGAATCCATTTATTAAAAATAAAATAAATAAAAAATTCCCTCTCCCAGGTTTCAAAGAACCGAACAGTGCATTAATATCCTTACTATGGTCTATTAACTAGAACGTTTTGAACAACGATATCTTTTTCCTGAATTTCCATTTAACGCAAGGAAAGTAAGTCTAGGAAATGTAACAAGATTATCCCACCACTTCAGTGTAAGAATAAATTAAGTATAACAAAAGAATATACTTACCCAAGATAAAAGGCCAGTATCAATTACATTAAACAAACAAAATAGGCCAGTAGTTGCCATTCATCACACATTAAACATTATTCAAATCATAAGATCTACAAAAACATGGCAGATAACTTTTTCTCAATTAATTATCATGCTCCTTATAACCCTACCAAAAACAGCTAAAAACAGGTTAGATAATTGTTTATATACAACGGTGATAACTGCATATGTGTCAATCTGAAGTCCAAATATCAGATATTTAACATCTGAAAACATTTCAACTTTAATTTGGCAGGAAAAAGAAAAAAAGAAAGGAAAAAAAAAATTAAAAAAAAAAAAAAAAAAAAGGTCAGAAAAAAAAAAAAAAAATTAGTGAGACTAACCTTTCCTCCACCAGCAAGAACTTCGAGAATCAGTTTTTCCTCATAATTCTCATGAACCTCATCTCCAGCCTGTTAATTCATATTGAAAATGGATAAAACAAAAGGCACACCTTCTATCAGTATGCCATAGAAGAAATCAGAACTGCTATAACAATTTAACATGGAATAATATCAAAGCATGAAGATCATGGGAAACTTTTGGCAAAATAAATGCACTAAAATATGCACCATCCATAACCTTTCCATATATCGATAACTTTGTTTCCACCAATGCCCCATTAATAACGAGATCAGCTGCCTTCAAATTAGAGGCGTGAGGCTCAACAGGGTCAGCTGCAGCAGTACTTGATTCTCCAAGTATATTAACTGGAGGAGGAGCCTAGATACACCAAACCAGAAAAGATACAAATTATAAGTCCTAGCCACAATATAAATGAATAAAATGCAAAGGTGAATATACTATAGATGATTTGACACCATACAGAAGCTCGATATGTCGCTTGTACGAGTGCTCTCAACCACGTGGCCTTCACCTCCTCCTCACCAAACTCTAAAACCAGTGTGCTAAAAGATTCCAGAGCCTAGGCAATGGAAATGGAAAAGAAAGATTATATATGCACAAATAAAAGAAGGGGATCATTTCACGCCAAAAGCAAAAACAAAGAACACACATCAAGCACATTGACAAGTACAATTTAATTTATGTGCCTCTAAAAGAAGACATTGAGATTTATTTGCAACAAGTAGGCAAAGGTGCCCAAAACATTAAATTTTGCACCACCTTTTCCAAGCAAAAAGATTTTTAATATTTTACAAAATGGAAAAGGAAAGGTTACATTGTAAACAGCAATGAACATGTACATGTGATTCAACAACCACAGTTACTGCATCAACTTAAGCAAGGAACTCATAGTAACTTCAATTTCTAAAAGCATGTGAAGTACATATCACGTAAGTCTTTAGCCACCAAATTCGTTGTTAAATCCTCGATAACAAATTAAACACCTCAACAGTGTCTGGGATGCGTTCCCCTTTTGAATGCTTTATAATATAATCCTATTTATCAAAAAAAAAAAAAAAAAAAAAAAAAACACCTCAAGCAGCAAAAAGAATTCGATTTGGATGGATAAAAGAGTGTCGAAACTGACAGACTTACCTTCTGAGGGTCCATGCCTCTAACACTCACAGCAATACAAGAAGAAGAACCACCAACATTTGTTGGAGGTACTTCATATGCTTGTTTACCAGCCATACTGTACATATCAAAATTTAAAATTCTAAGTTTAGAACACCCAGAGTGTCTTCAATTATGAGGCATTCTCTAAAGAGTGAAAATCAAGATTTATTTCACTAAAAGTTAGAGCAGGAACAAACAAAAGATAAAGATGAAAAAGAAAGGAAGAAGAGGTGAACCTTGAAAATCGCTGATAACTCTGAGACATTTCAGACTCCAACACATAAAGACATAACCCAGATAACACAAGAAAACATGGCTGCCATGCAGCAACAGAATAGCCAATTCCCTGGATCAATGATATATATTATGAATCAGATACAAGAAAAAATTTTATCAGCAGATTTGGGTGGGCAGATGGTTTCTTTATCATACCCTCCAAACAAGGATACGGGCCTCAGTTGCAAGATCTGGGGGATTCCAAGGGGCAAATTCAGGTTGGGATTTTTCAACCACTGGCTGACCACTATTTTCCATCGTACCATAAAATATGTTCAACAACTCCATAAGTCTACAATATCTGGCTGGTGACATGTGAATGCTAAGGCTTGGCACTTGAACAGAAACACGCGTGGATGGGTAACTTGGATGAGGTACTTTGATCTGCAATATACAAGAAAATAGAAATGCTTAGGATAAATTTGTATCTCATGATAACAGTAAAAGTAAAATATGTAATACTACTTGAGACAAAATATATACCTGATCAATAATTACTGCCATTCCACACCTATCAATGAGAGAATAGAGGTTATCACCAAATCCCGACATGGGAGATATGGAAGGTTGACTCTCATAAGTTGGAGATGCAAGAGTGCAGTTCCGATTGTCAGAACCACAGTCTGTAAAGAAAGCAGCAATATCTTTTCCGGAAATATAAAAACGAGAATATAGATATTGCCCCTGATCACCAGGCTGACATTCCTGTAACAATAAAAAATAATTTGAAGCAGAGTGAATGCAACATGAATACGAATTTTAAGATTGAAATGAACTAGCATACCTTGGTGTGCAATGTAAAATGACCAAAATCCAAAAGAAAATGGCAATCACATCTGGAAGAGGCACATATTCTCATAGGAACTCTTACTTTCGGAGCATCAAGGTCAATGTCAAGAGCAAATCTGAGATACCAAGTATAAATGGTAACAGAATATAATTAGCATAAACTTATTAGCTTTTCGTCCAAGAGAAAATCATATTTTAGAGAGACAAAACTGGAATAAATATCTAAAACTAACTAAAGCCACTTACCCAGCATAAGAAACTAACAAGAAAAACCAAAACAAATAGATATTCTTCACCTTCTTGTGGTCAGGCAACTTGCATAAGTGTTTGACAGAAAGGAAGAATGGACTTAAAAAGATTCACATCAAAGACCCCAGTTAGTAACGAATACAATATTTTAGCAGTTAGATGATCAATGTTTACAAAGTAGATGCAAATAGTATAGTATTTCTAAGGTTCAGAATCATTCATCTGCAAAAACAATTCAACAATCCTTTCCGTACTCCAACCTTTCTAATTCTGAATAGAGCAAACTCAAATCCTATGAAACTCCCCACTTCCTCCACCATCCGCTAAACAAAAAAGAGAAAGAACATCATAAATGCAGAATGGAGGTCATTCAGTTAAAGATTAAGGTACATTAAGCCAAGATAGATTAAGAAGTAAAACAGGATAACATTAATATAATTACTGCAGCTCTACTGTTATTATAGCAGGACCGTTCATGTTACTTTGACGCATAACAGCCCATAATATATTTACATTATTGCAGAAATTTTGGGGATTATAATATCCAATTAATTTAAGTAATAATATATAGCTGATATTAGAGTTATCGAACAGTTAGGATTACAAGAGATCAAATCCTCTTCCTTTGTAACAGGCCGAGAGGCACCCCGGTGGGAATCTCTGGTAGGAGGGAATCAGGAGGGAGGGAAGGAAGGATGGAGGGATAGAACAGGTTTTTGTTTTTGGTAGAAGGGAAAGCAGAAGGGAAGAAAGGATCAGCCATCCCTCCTCACTCATAAATTTTCATTCCCTCAAAATTTGACGGAAGAGAGAAAGGAAGAGAAGGATAACTATAATGGATAATGTGAACTGACATTATTGCCCTTAACTAATTTTGTTCAAAATAGTAAAAAATGTAAAATATCTCCTTTCCTTCCTTCTGACAAACAAAGAAAGGTGTCACCCCAACCATCCTTCTACTATCTCATCTAGTTAACCAAGTAAAAAAGAAAGACACCTTCCCTTCCCAAGGGATGCCTCATCCATCCTTTCTACTATCTGTTCCACTCACTTCTCTGCCCTTCTTACCAAATGGAGCACTGGTATCCCATTGGAGAATTTATGTCACAAGAAAATGTCCCACATGGACTGCGAGACATTTCCCATGACAGATTTGCCAGCAGAGAGTCTTTGGAGCTTTAATGCTTCCCTGAGGTTTATTTGTGGAGAGAAGGTCCTTGAGGGCCTTCTACTCTTACTCGAGATTTATCCGTAGAGAGGTGCTCCTCCAGGGCCTTCGTTTCTCAATACAATTTAATAAGTCGGGAGGAATTCCTTGAGTTTGACCCTTCCTCGGGGTTTTTCTGCTCCCCTGGGCCTCCATTGTTCCAGCTTAGCAAGTTCACCTCGAATGATTACTGATAGACAATGAGACAAAGCCAATAGCCCGACTTTTTCCCAGAATTACAGTTTGACTGCAGCTGACCACCCTTCTTTTCTTTTGGAGAGAAGAGCGAGAGGGGCGGTGGGGGAGGGGTGTAAAGTTCCTTGCCAAAAGAACCAAAAGACAAAGCGCATCGCTCTCACACGTCACTAAAGTCAGAAGCATTTACACCCCCTATTTTAGTAAACCTGGAAAGTCTCCATCTTCGCTCAACATGATAAAACTTCCATAAAGAGTTTGACTATGAACTTGTTTTTAGTGATTACTCGGTAGTGATGACTCAGATGACAAAAGAAAAATTGACTATCAAAAGGGAAACTTGAAATAAGAAGGGAATGGAAAGAGAGACAAGGATTAAAAGCATATTATGGAGATCGACACAATATCAGAGTCAGGAAAATGGTAATATTAGAGCAAGAAAGAAAGATCAAACAGGATGAACATGTCACGAACCTGCTTTGTTCTTCTAAAACCATTTGGAATTGCTCTTGAGCTTTACGAGTCACCTTTTCAATCTTATTCTGCAGTTGACATAAAAACAAGATGTTAGTTTCACATTACTAAAGTGAAATATCCAAAGCCCCAACAAGGCAACTGGATTGAGTAGAGCCTCTTGGGGCAAACCAAGAGGCCTATATCCAAAGTAGTCACATCATCACCTGCAAAGCAGTTGCAGTTTCTAATGCAATGGTAGGGCTAATTGCACTACTCCTCTTCATAAATTCTAGAAAACGAGCATAACTTTCCATCAAAACCTGCAACATCATTTCATTAAAGAACATATTTTTAAAATCATCACCATTTGGGGAAAAAAAAAAATCATAATTATCACAATTTGGGAAATTGCGCAATGAGAAAAGGAGAAGAAGGAAATAAAATTTTCAAGCCTCTCAAAAAATCAATAAACTATAATAGCAAACATAAGAGATATAGGTTCAAAAGGCATAGAGTTTTCACTTGTACAAAGTAGAGATTGGTTCTACCATAAACATTCACCAACAAAATAACCATTGAATTCAGAAACAACATTGAGCACTAAGGGATAAATTGATGTAACCTATGGTTTCATGTTCTACCTTGTGAGGAGTAGTTTCACTTGTGCAATTTTTAAGTGCCTCAAGCTGAAGAAAGTTGTGCCCTCTCCACAAACCTTACTGCATAATCTATATATCATTAAACACATCTTCCAAGACAACCTAATCCTCTCAAATGGGTCAATAGAGATGCCACATACTTATCTAATAGTATCAAGTGTGTAAAGCTTTTGTTCAATAATCAGACATCCAACTTACTAAAAGAATTAAAGGTGTATACGAACAATATAAAATTGAATATAAATAAGTGCCACATGAATAATCACATGTAGCTCTTTCTATTCTCACCAATTGTATTACTATTACCATATGTCTTGCTCATTTTCTAATAAACACAACAAGATACCATCTATATATCAAACAAGCTTAGTATTAGAGTACAAAACAATTAATATTAATACAACAGAAGGTTGCCTCGACAATAAGGGTCACAACCAGTACTGACAACAAAATCCATCTAATGTTGGCATAAACTGTGCCGAAAAGTTGCAATGATGACACAAACACACAATCATGTTTGCTTCTTTCTGTTCATGTTGATGATTCTAAGAAAAGCATTACAACTCTGTTTGATAGGGGAGAAAAGGAGGACGGAAAGGAATATCACAAAGAGCCCACATTTTTTCCATTTCATGACTTGCTCATGAGTAGAGAGAATAAAAGAAGCATGCGAATATATTTTCCAAAATTCTCCTCCATTGCCCATAAGTATTTTCACCTTATTTGGCAACGTAGAATTCAGTAAGACAGAAGAACATCACCAAATCCGTACTAATAACAAAACAAGGAGAAGAAAATAACAATTTGATGATATGACACCCTTGTTCCTAACGAATATCACCTTGTCATGTGACTATTTAAGGACTGTTTTGTCATTTTTTAGCTATTTATTCTACTTGACAGAATGCTAGCCTCTAGATTACATTAATATGAAGGGCTAGGACTAAATCTTTGCTAGGGCATCCCTTCTGTCTTATAAAAGGGTTTTCCAAGTTGTAATCAGCAGTTTTTTTGCGTATTATCAATATATTTAGCCTGCTACTGCAGCTTTTTACCTCTCCCTTTCTTTGGGAATGAGTTGTGGGTGTTTAAGCTATTCGTTAGCTTAATCTAGCTTTATGTTTTCCCTTCTTACAGATTTTATTTTTCTGTCAAGAGCTGATTGCATTAGATTCTATAAGGATCATTATTTATTTTCTAACAAGGGACTCGGATTAGAAGTTGGAAATAAGATGCATAACTTATTAGCTGTGGTTTATGAGAACAATAGCGTGTCGGCCCTTCGGATTATAAATAAAGAGAACTAGGAGAAGGGAAGAACATCAGGGAGAATGGAAGAAGGGGTTTTTGTTAAAAGGTTCCAGGACCAAGGGCAAGCATGAAAGAAGAATTTGTTTCGAAGGCAAGAAATTTAGGAATCTGGGATTTTTTTTTAGTTCCTTTGAATTTTGATGTTGCATCTTATAGACAATTAACTCTGCAGTGCATAAAGCATTATTTCTTTCATTCATGAGCGCAGGTAGGATATTATTGAACAACAGAGATTGTCTAGCATGTGCAATTTATTTCCTAATTATTTGATTATTGGGTCTCAGAATGAGTGTGCGGAAGCTGCAACAAGTGGTATTCAAGCTTAGAGCCCAAAATGGCACCATCATAGGACAAAAGAGTCCTGAGGATGACAAATTATTAACTAAATTTCTCATTAATGGTGTATATTCTTACAATAATTTTCCCACGACTTTCCCACCAAAGGTTAATGTGACAATGACCATCCAATAGATATGACTATCACACCAAGCTTCAAATCACTCATTATAAGTACTGTGCTCCACATTCTTCAATTTTTGGTAAACTTATATGATCTTCAATAGTACTTGTATGATCTTCGCAAATTATTTTGGTAAACTTCAATTTTTTAATTAATTCAAACTTCAAAATACAGAAAATATTTCAATATATGATACTGTGCTCCATTCATTCTTCTCATGTCGGCACTGGGAAGCACCTATTAGGCCAGAGTAGAAGAATTATTACCTTGCATCATAAATTTGAGAGGGGTGCCAAAATGGAACTGATTGATGGATGAACTTAAAAGCAATTAACATAAATGATTTTAAGAATATAATGCTGAGAAGACACAAGACAAACTGATGCAGGCAGAATTTCAAATTTCTGCAAGTGGAATTTGTGTTTTTCAGAAACTTTCCCTATTTTGAAAGTTTCCTTATTTTGAGTAGTTTTCTGATTTTGAGCAGTTTTCCTTTTTGAGTAGTTTTCTGATTTTGAGCAGATTTCCTATTTTGATTTTATTTTATATTTGGTAATTACCTAGTCATAAGCCTTGTAATTGCTAGGGTTTAGAGTCTAGTGACTCTAGTGAATGGATTATTATTTTTACAGCAAATAAAGTTTGCTTTGCAACTTTGCAATTCTCCTTTCTCTAGCATTATTCTTTTATTTCGTTTTAATATTGTTGTGAAGACAATTTGATCGTATCCTCTTGGTAAGGCAGCATCACAAACAAAAATAATAATAATAATAACAAAACAAAAACAAAATTACATTTTAGATGGAAATGCTGTAATCTATCTAAAAAATAGTAGAAAAAATCACACTCACAGTGACATGGCATGGAGAAATTGTTGCTGAAAGCCTCCAGTCCACATTCTCTCCAACAGGGGAGTGTACAAAACTAGCGGATAATGCATTTACTTTCTGTTCACTCGAGACACTCTGCAAGACATATCTTTCACCACATAAGACCACTTATAAATCAAATTGCATAATAACTAAATTTATACTTAAATCATACAATGTAATTTTATACAATTTCAAATGGAAAAACATTCTGAACATCAAAAGCTTTTTTCATATTCCATCAAAATACAGCAAAGTGGAAACTAGCAAGGGAAAAAAGGGTAATTCAAGTTGTGAACTTCTAAAGAATTAGGTAACAACAGCAGTAAACCATTTGGTTATAACAATACCATCCTTCTCAGAACAAGTAAAATTACTTTTAAATCACGAAAATAGAAAAAAGTGGAACCACGTACTACATCTACAAATTGTTATCATAATTTAAACAACTTCTTTTATCAGTGAATCAAGATTCTTCCCAACAGAAACATTTCAACCGTGCCAATTATTTAAAAATGAACCTGGACGAGTGAACCTTCAGGGGCATACAATCCATAAAATCTCAATGTCACATCACAGTGGGTGCTCCTATGTTTAAACTTTGTGGACACGAGGAGTTTCTCAAATCTACCACAAACAATCTCAGTCTCGCTGATACTGATGATCCTGGCAGCTGCTTGACCAACTGATACATTTACCATATACTGTATCATATTCTGCATGTCCTTTCCAGACTGCAATGCCAACTCCTCATCAGGCTGGTAACTTAGTAAATTATTGATTGCTTGCCATTCTTCTTTAGTCAAACTCTCCTCCACTGACTGTGATCCCCCAGAAGTATCTCCAGTAGAGGCATCATCAGAGGAATGCCTGAGATAAAAGGAAACTACAATAAGGTGCAACACTAAATGGAAGATAACTATAAGAAACATCTTCAATGAAATATGGTTAAGAAAAAGGAATTAAACACGACAACCAAAAAAGAAAACAACTAAAGAGAAGGGTAATTAGTTGAAATAAATTGGCAAAGACAATAAGGTCATCAGAGACCATGTAAAAGAAAACCAGCTTCTTTTGCTACGCATCCTCTGTTCGGCTGCTTCCTTCGATTTTACCGATTCAACCTTGGCATGAGCAAGGAACCTGAAAGATACATACACCATCTACCAAATGTCAGAAATCGGGAAAAGTAAAGCACCCAGAAAATATTAATCCTCTATGACAGTTACAACGCTTCATCTGGAATTTTTTAAACAAAAAAAAAAAAATGGAAAGAAGATAGACAAGAAAAGAAAAATAAAAAAGCAAGTGAAAACTATATCATCTACAAATAACACCTAATTTAATACATTCCCCTGGTCAAGTTTTATTAAAACTATATCATCTGCAAATAACAACCACAATGTAACACCAAAAATATGTTTTACTAATTTATCCATGAATTCAATTAATATGGACCCATACTGTATAATTACCTTCTTAATGCATAGAGGATAGTCAACTAATATTACATTTGCTAATTGTGGTTTTAGACAAGTCTTGGTCTGATTTTAATAAATATATAACGGTACAATTGATTGTACCCAACTATAATTGATTTTAAGTATGCATTAAGTTGACAAATTTTAATACATATTCACTCCTACTTTCCAATTTTACATTAATATCCACTAATATGGATGGATGTGCAAGCCTCAAACACTTCTCGGGCTTATCCATCAGTGCGACTAGTTTGTAATATATGCCCTAAGTTTTTTTATGCATTCCAAATTGTTAATCCATTTATATTGCATTCCCAGAAAATTTCAGTTCCCAAAATGAGCGAAATGATCAAATTGAACAAAATTTTAATTTTTCAGATGCAAACGTGTGATAGTACATAGAGAGAATCATCGCACTCCACTCATTCTACGTTATACACAAGAATGGAAGTAGGTAGGAAATGAAATGCAGGATGGAACGGAATAGGCAATATGTGGCAAGCCAGCAATGAAAGGTCATTAACATTCCACTGTTTAGTTGCAAAGATAAAATACTCCAGTCAAATAACCATTCCTATTCCGGTGTTTGGTTAGACCAACTTAAGTGCTGGTATGGAATGAATTTGAAACTGCCTTTTTCCTAATAGCAGTCTATAAAAATAAATTATATTAGTATATGTAGGTAACCTAATAAGAAATCTGAAGGAGAAGACAACAGAATAGTGATTGCAGAAAGATGGAGATGGAGGCTGAAACATGATTCTCATATATTAGAAACCCTGAACATAATAAAGGTTATATACAAATGTAAGAATAACCTAGTTACATAATAACCCACAATCTATAAGTAACTACACTTTGGACCCAACATAAATATACAACTATTCTAACACTCCCCCACAAGCTGGAGAATACATGTCATATAATCCCAGCTTGGAACAGATAGTCTTCAACCGACTATCACCAAGCGCTTTAGTGAACATATCAGCTGTTGATCGTCAAACTTCACAAATGTAGAGATGTTCCCACTCAATATTTTTTCTCGAATGAAGTGACAAACAACTTCAATATGCTTGGTCCTCTCATGGAACACAGTATCGGATGCAATGTGAACAGTCGCTTAGTTATCACAAAACAATGGAATAGGAGCTTTGACTGTCAACCCAAGTTCCTCTAGAAAATTTTGTATCCATGTCAACTCACTAGAAGTATAGGCCATTGCCCTGTACTCAGCTTCAACATACACTGAGCTACCACCGTTTGCTTTTTACTTTTCCATGCAACAAGATTCCTTCCTACAAATGTGCAATAGCCTATAGTAGATTTCCTGTTATGAGGGAGAACCAGCCCAATCAACATCTGTAAAACCTTTCATCCTGAGATGCCAATTCGGTTTATATAGCAACCCGAAACCTGGAGCTTGCTTGAGGTATCGGATAATCCAAAAAACATCATTCCAGTGTGGCATTTGTAGAGCTCCCATGAACTGACTTACAACACTAACTGCATATGAAATATCAGACCAAGTAATAGTAAGATAAATTAATTCCCAAACAAGACGTCGATATCTGCCAGGATCATCAACACCGTCACCCAACATACCTGTTTCTTGTAATAAATCCAATACATATTTTCTTTGGGATAAACTTATACCTTCCTTAGATCTAGCAACTTCAATACCCAAGAAATATCTTAGTCCAAGTCTTTAATGTGGAACCAATATTGTAGAAACAACTTCAACTTAGCAATGCCTTCATAATCATCACCTATAATAACAATATCATCTACATATACCACAAGAAGAATGAAACCAACTTTAGTATGCTGGTGAAACACCGAATAATTTGTCTGGCATCCGCTAAGACCAAATTCTAATGCTGCCTTAGAGAATTTTCCAAACCAAGCTTTTGGAGATTGTTTCAATCCATACAGTGCCTTCTTAACGTGACACAGAGCAACAAACCCAGGTGGTTGCTCCATATAAACTTCTTCAGCCATGTAAGAAGGCATTTTTCACATCTAATTGAAACAACGGCCAATTACGATTGGAAGCAATGAAAATAAGGACTCAAATAGAAGAAATCTTCGCGGAAAAGGTCTCATCATAATCAACACCATAGGTCTCAGTGTACCCCTTTGCAACAAGACGAGGCTTCAAACGTTCAATAGACCCATCCTGAAGGTATTTAACAATGTAGACCCACTTATAACCAATCGGTTAGGAACCAAAAGGTAAGGGAACGAGATCCCATCTCCCATTACGATGAAGGGCATCCATTTCATCTGCCATTGCTTTCCGCCAATCTGGATTAGAAAGAGCATTTTGCACAGTCTTGGGAACAAGAGTGACAAACAATTGGGATAAAAAACCAGACGGCGAGAGGTTTGATTGACTCTAGTAGAGGGTGTGGGGTGGGTTCTCACGCTCGTCTTTTTTGGAGGGTAGCCCCTCTGTGTTTGGCAGTGCATTTGGAAGAAGCGAAATAATAAATCTTTTGATTGGGAGGAGTCTTTGATAGGAACTTTGAAATTCCGTATTATTAGCTTCATTTTTTGTTGGGGTATGGACATATATTGTACATCTATAGAGGAGATTGTTGATTTCTTGGCCTCTTTGGGTCCTTAGGATCTCTCTTTTGGCTTTAGCTTTGGCTTTGGCTTCCACCTCTGTGTATTCTTATGACGCGTTCCCCTTTTGAACGCTTTCTATACTACTTATCAAAAAAATAAATAAAAAACAAGAAAAAGAGGGTGATACATGATTATATGAGACAAAGTTAGAAATGGGATGTACAGTAACACAAGTACGAGTACCTTTGTGCAAGGCAATAGAAAGATCCGCAGCAAGAGGAGGAACCTTAATAGAAGTGGACAATTTGTGGGATGTTTCTCATGGTCTTTGACGATACACTTTAACTGGTGTTGGTGAGACTGAGTAACTTGAAGTATAAACAACAGGCAATGGAGGCAATGGACCATTATTTAAAGAAAAACCACGCGAACAGTGAAGATTTTTCTAGAGATAAAAATGGGATGCGCAGTAACACAAGTACGAGTACCTTTGCGCAGGGCAATAGAAAGATCCGCAACAAGAGAAGGAACCTTAATAGAAGTGGACAATTTGTGGGATGTTTCTCATGGTCTTTGACGATACACTTTAACTGGTGTTGGTGAGACCGAGTAACTTGAAGTATAAACAACAGGCAACGGAGGCAATGGACCATTATTTAAAGAAAAACCACGCGAACAATGAAGATTTTTCTAGAGATAAAGGAATAGGAATAATTCTCCGTGGTTATTCTTCTCATTGTGGAGGATTTAAATAGTACACAAATAGTTACAAAGAAGAAAAAATATTACACAGAAGGAAAGAATTAAAGACTAAAATCAGCTCCTATACCTATGTTAATTAGCACGTGTACAACTAATAATCTATATATGTTAACATTTATATAAACAATATATCTAATTATCTAGATGTGTCAACACTCCCCCTCAAGCTGGAGAATAGATGTCCCGGTTTCTCAGCATGGCAAGAGTAGAATTGAACACTTTGCTAGAGACTCCCTTGGTCAAAATATCAGCAAGTTGATCCTTGGTCCTCACATAGGGAGTGCAAATCACACCTTCTGTTAACTTCTCTTTGATAAAGTGTCTGTCAATCTCAACATGTTTAATCCGATCATGTTGCACAAGATTATGAGCAATGTTGATGGCTGCCTTATTATCACAATATAGCTTCATGGGACTTTGACAATCAATCCTTAATTCTCCCACTAGGATATTCAACCATAATAAATCACACACACCATGGGCCATAGCTCTGAATTCAGCCTCGGCACTAGACCTAGACACAACTGATTGCTTCTTACTCCGCTAAGTAACTAGATTGCCACCCACAAATGTGCATAGTTGATCTTCGATCCGAAATAGAACCTGCCCAATCAGCATCTGCATAGGCCTCTACAACAGAGTGATCATGTTTTGAAAACAAAAGACCCTTACCAAGTGTTGATTTCAAGTATTTAAGTATCCTCTCTACTGACAACACTCACTGCATAGGCTATATCAGGTCGTGTATGAAACAAATATATTAGTTTTCCAACCAACCTTTAATATCTCTCTGTCAACTAGTGTATCATCAGTCTATTCACCCAATCTATGATTTTGTTCGATAAGAGTACCCACAGGCTTGCAGGCTAACATCCCTGTCTCAGTTAAAAGATCAAGTACATACTTTCTCTATAAAACAAAGATTCCCTGCTTTGAACGAGCCACTTCAATACCTAGAAAATACCGCAGGACACCCAAGTCTTTAATTTCAAATTCCTTGGCCAAATGTACCTTTAGTCTCCTAATCTCCTCAGTATCATCCCCAGTGATAATGATATCAACCGCATAGACAATACCAACTATAATTCTACCTCCCCGAGAGTGTCAAAGGAATAACGTATGATCTACTTGACTATGATGATATCCATACTTCTGCATAGCTTGTGCAAATCTACCAATCCATGCTCTAGGAGACTATTTTAGGCCATATAATGATTTTCTTAGTCTGCATACTTTCCCCTTATTGATTTCATCACTACCTGGAGGAAGTCCATGCACACTTCCTCCGCTAGATTGCCATGGAGGAAAGCATTCTTAACATCAAACTGTTGGAAAGTCCACTTTAGGTTAGCTGCTAAAGATAACAGAACCCGAATAGTATTCATTTTCGCAATTGGAGCAAACGTCTCCTGATAGTCAATGCCATATGTCTTGGTATAACCTTTTGCCACCAATCTTGTCTTGTATCAGTCAATCGACCCATCTGCCTTATGCTTTATGGTAAACACCCATTTGCAGCCAATAGTTTTATTCCCTTTCGGCAACTCCACTAACTCCCACGTAGAGTTTTTTCGGAGAGCTCTTAATTCTTCAACCATCGCCTCTTTCCACCTAGGATTGTCAAGTGCATTCTGTAAATTTTTAGGAATAGATACAGAAGACAACTGATGGGCAAAAGCCTTAAAGGATGGTGAAAGACGATAAGAAGACATAAATCTTGAAATAGGATATTTATATTTCGATTGACAAGTACGATGTGATTTTCTCAAGGCACTAGGCAATTCTAAGTCATTAACAACACTATAATCATCTAAAGCATTAGGATCTACAGAACTATTATCAACAAAAGAGAATAGAGATTCAATAGACTCTACCTCAGGATTTACCTGTTGTCGGGGCAGACTGATCATTTTGCCCGAGAGGTACCTTTTCTCTTCTTAGATATACCAGCTCAAATGGAGAAATATGATGACCATTTGGAGGGGGAGTCAAAACCGCATTATGCTTTTTCATTTTTGTCCATTTTTTTCATTTGTTTCATTTCGACTCGCTAATTCTAACAAAGGCACAATATAAGACTTTTCTTCACTACTCAAGGTCTCCCCCTGAAGAGAAGGCGTAGAAGCAGGACTAGAAAAATAGGCTTGTTCCTCATGAAAAATAGCATCCATAGAGACACAGAATTTTTTTGACGGAGGGTAATAACACTTGTAGCCCTTCTGAGTTTGGAGGAGCCAAGAGCAAATTATTGCATCTTCTGCAACCCATGTTGTGAAAGTTGGGTCATTGATCGCAGGTCGGGTCTTTCCCCAATCAAATACCCCAACCGCCATTTGCCGGTAATATTTAGCTTCACACCGTATAACCAAGCCAGATAATTGGTGCCATCAAGTTTATGAGGCATCAACTGGACATTCGTCAAATCTTGATGCGGGTTAGATGCGATTGGAGGAATCATTAGAGTCTGAGAATCAATCTCAGAAGTCGCAGAGGTTCAATCTTGTCTGCCATGAAATCAAATAAGGATACCTGGTCTGTGGTGGTGGGCAGGGCTATCAGTAGGTTCTGGGGTGATAGGAAAAAAAAAACTGGTGTTTGGGTAATAAGATGTATTTGCAGAAAACATTAAAAGAAAATTAGGGTTTTAAAATTCCTTTCTAGATGGCTCTAATAACACGAAGATTTTTCTAAAGATAAAAGGAATAGGAACAATTCTAAGTGTTTATTCTTCTCCTTGTGGAGGATTTAAATAGTACACAAATAATTACAAAGGAAAGAAATAATTACAAAGAAGGAAAGAATTAAACACTAAAAATCAGCTCCTATAACTATGCTAATCAGCACATGTACAGCTAATTATCTATATATGTTAAAAATTATATAGTCAACAATACAGCTAATTATCTATATATGTTAACAAAGATAAGAAAGGAGTGTCCTTAAAAAAGGTCACATCCATACACACAAAATAACTATGAGTACTAGGATACCAACATTTATATCCCTTTTGAATTCTAGAGTAGCCAACAAATACACATTTAATTGCGAGAGAAGACAATTTATCAGCTTTGAGACGCAACACAAGGCAGTAGAAATAACGAATGAGTTACAACAAACGCAGCGAACCAAGCAACAATTACGAAACACGACATAAAAATAAACACCACACAAAGAACACAAAGATTTATACGTGATTCAACAAAGCCTATGTCCACTGTGGAGATCCGGCGAAAGTCTTCACTATGTGTAAAATCGGATATTACAAGTTTTAGCCCCTCACTCTCAATTCTGTACGAATTTCAGTGTCTCTCTCTCCACCCACTCCAAACCTTAAACGCCCTTATATATTAGGCTACAAGAGAGTACTAATTAGAGTCCATGACCTATGAGCAACAATGGGTCGTCGGGTCGCAACGCGACTCGGCACCAAATTCGGGCCACAACATCACAGAATGAGTAGGAAAAACAGTAGTATTTGGATCCATATGAGCATCAACACACTCGCTATCTAACCGAATCCACATACTTTTGGGTAAAAACAGTCTGGAACCAATAACATACTTAGTCTGGAATCCTAACAATCATTCTCACCTTACGCTAAGTCTGGAATCCACATACTTATGGGTAAGAGAAGGAACATCTATTAGTCCAAATCTTGGGTCTACTTGTTACAAATGGCAAACAACCCCATTCCAAAACATTCACATACGTCCTCAGGCAAACATCAAAAAGATGGGCCGCAGCTGGGCCTCGATGACGCAACAATGCTCATGACATCTTTAGCTATGAATGCTAAGGTTGGAAGGGTCAATAAAGAGGAACAAATTGCTCATCCATCACCAGTATTTTCTAAAAGGTGTGGTGGGTGGTATCTTCTTCCTTTTGACATCATCTAAAGATCTATCTAGAAAGACCAAAGTAAGTTGTTGCTTTCTCCGAATCAAGCAAAAGAAGTGCTTTCTTTTCCAATCGCGGATAAAAATGACCTAGGAAGCACGGACACTCCAAAATGGGCAAAGAATCCGTGTCGGACACGGACACGCGTCGGACACGCCCCGGCACGTGTCGGACACGCCAAAAAACGTGTCTGGAATTTATTTTTTTTTTAAATATTCGGACACGACTCAGACACGACACGGACACTCCGCGGACACGGACACAGCAAGGACACTTCTGGAATTTTTTTTTTTTTTTTTCTTTGAATGCTGATATGTTCTTTTTTTTGTTTTGTACTAACCTTTTGGTATTGTAAATGGTAAAAGTCCTAGGTCAAATGATGAATGGGAATAGATAAGAGTACACTGACTTAGTTTTTGTATCTTTTTTGGGGACTAGCCTTTAGGTTTTTGTGAATGATAAGTGCTAACAGTAAAGTCCTGAATGTTAAACAGTCATGAATGTTAATAGTCCTTTTTGTCTATACTTTTGTATTTGGAGTAAAGTTGCAATGATGATTAAATGATACTAGTTATTATTCTAATGTCTTGTTTTTTATTTCGTTTATAACTCTGCAACATTGTTCTTTTATAGTTTATTAGTTATGAGTTATGATTTATGTTTTTTTTTCATTGTGAGGTTGATGAAAAATAGTAACACTCATATATATATATATATATATATATATATATATACACACACTATTCGCCGTGCCGTGTCCTAATTTTTTTAGATTTGCCGTGTCGGTGTCGTGTCGTATCCGTGTCCGTGCTTCTTAGAAAATGACATAGTCAACAGAGGGCAAGCTCTGAAAATCAATAGAAGTGGACAGGTCTAAAATCAGAATAGGAACGAGTAGATTACTACGGAAGCCAAGGGGTGAGAAAGAAGGTTGACACTCGAAGGAATCGCAAGTTGTTCAAGAACTGCATTGTTGAGTTAAGTATATAAATATACACACACACACACACACACACGTGTGTATACGGATATATACATATCAGTATATATGGATATTAAAGTAGAGATCAGTGTGTATGTATATGTCTATATAAGCAAATATATGTACATATATATGTATAGTGCTAATTCTTAGATGGAATGGAATGCACATTCCCATACTGATACAAGAAAATGATTATTCCAGGAGAAAGACATTCAAAGGAAACTATCCTCCAATTAACCAAACTTACTTTTATACTGGGAAAATGGAAAACAAAATTCATCTAACCTGTTGAGAATGGCCATTCCAAGGAAATGAATATTCCAACTATACTTTTAACATAACAAACAATGAAAAAGAATAGAACGATCTATTCCACAATTACCAAACGTGGCAATGTAATTTGCTCTCAGTTTATCAATTATCCTTCAAAACAGAAACTAGCAAGCAAAAAAACTGAACTTACAAGTGGAGTGCCCAAATAAGGCTAAACTAACGACTAAAAAGAAAAAAGAGGCATATGAAAACTAAACCAGAAGAAGCTAATCTCAGTCGTGATGTTTAACACAGAATTAAACCACAATATAGCATGAACAAAATGGATGCCCTTGGCCGCAGTGTAACACAAAAAATACCATTACAAATCAAGAAACACAAGAAAAACCTAGAACTGCATACCTCCATAAGAGAATTACTTTGGGATCAAGATCTTTCTCAATGTCTCTAATTTCTGAGTTAACATTTGACAATTGTTGTAATAAAGAAGCATACAATTGGATATAACGTCGGCGAAGCAGACACATATGCTGAATTTGATCCCACGAGAACCGATAGCTGAACCAGTAAGCATATAAGCAGTTAGTTTGAACAATAGAAAAGCAACATTAATGACAATTTGTTGAACATAAAAAGTTCCATCTTGCGCAGTGAACCTCTATAAGAAAATAAATATATATTTGAAAAGCAAGGGAGGGTGGAAAAGCAGTTCTTCCTAATTTCAGCTTTCGTTAATTCATAACCCAGATGATCATCAAACAACTACCATGTTGGAATGAATTTATATACAATACCAGACTTTCTTCTGCTGCAGGCCACCTTGAGCAGCATATTGCCACCACAAATGTGGAGCCTCTGAAACAGGCAGCACAGGTCTTAAATGAGAAACCTCCACATATGTCTTGTATCTTGAAACTACCTCAATGAGTCTTATCCAATCATGATATTGAGCCTGTGAGAAGAAAACCGAGTGATAAACCAAATATTACAGTTCATTTGGTTGCCAAGGAAGGTAAAGAAATTAAAGGGAAAAACACAATAAATCCTCTCGATAGCTCAGCAATTTTTTTAAAAAGCAAGATTTAGCACCTCTGTAATTGTCAAAGAAACATCACTAAGGGTAAGAGAAGACGTCTCAAACGGAATCTCTGGATTATTTCTTTCCTGTTTTCCCAAACGGTGATATTTAAGGACACCATTGATCGGTGAGACTACATAGTTGCGATCCTGAGCCCATCTAGACACCATTCCTTTATCATTGGTGGGTTCACTGATACCATCCTCAAAAATCTTGAAGATACATAAAAAGTAAAGAAGAATGGAAAATGTAGAATTAGAAGTGTGAAAAGAAGGTTATGAAAAATACCACTTTCTATTAATTCTTAAGTATTTTCCATGAGTAATATCCAGAAAGGTCAAAAATTCCAAAGAATGATAGCATACCTCAATCCAATCCCTAGGACTAAGATCCTCCCATTTCTTATCCAAGCTCCATGGAAGGCGGTTTGAATCATGGTACATAGCAAGCCTCTCAAGTTGCAATGACTACATCAAGAATATATGCAGTTTAGCCCAAATAATGTGGAATAGTAATACGAGTAAAAGCCGATATTTAATTTAGAAAATCAAAATAATAACATAACAAATGCCTATGAGCTTATGAAGTTGTTACGTCAAAAGCAGCAAACCCAAGAATAATGTGGCAACCTTGTGGGCGGGTGTGTGTGAGCGTGTGCAGGCGGCACCGGAGTTAAGCGTGCTTAACCTGGAGTAGTACCAGGATGGGTGACCCCCTGGGAAGTCTCTAGTCCGAGGGAGCCAAAAGCGGACAATATTGTGTCTGGCTAGGGTGAGGGTTGTTACAAATAAATTAAGAAACATAACAAAAAGATCATCACACCACACACAAAGAATAAAGATTTAGCGTGGTTTGGCAAAGCCTACATCCACGGTAGAGATCCGGCAAAAGTTTTCACTATGCAAAAAATAGGAGATTACAAGTTTCAGCCCCTCACTCTCTTCCTCTAAAATTTTCAATTTCTCAATGTTTTCCACTCCAAACCCTAAGTACCCTTATATATCATACTACAAGAGTATTAAATAGGGTCCACGACCATCAAACAAAAACCGGGTTAAAAAAGTGTCGCCGGATCAAAAGCGGGTCACCATGCGCGCCAGCACCAAATTCAGGCACAACATCACAGAAGCCATATTATTTTTAATTGTAAATATGCCACAAGATTTCAAGAGGTGAGCATCTTCCATCAAATGAAAACCTAAATCATAATCAGAAGACTGAAATATTGTTTGTTGAACCCAATTATGGAACGCAGATGCGTACTTTCATACATAGTAGAACAAACATTGAATTTTTTTGGGTAAGGAACAAATATTGAATGTCTAGATAATATTACATGTAAGAGGGATTCCCAATTTTAATCATCCTTGGAAATGTTTATTTGATTGGAATTCTTGTAATTTCACTATATTTTCCATAATATGTTTTCCATGTCACAAAGTATTAGAAAATACAAAATCATATCCTCAACAAAGATGTATGATGTACCAAAACACATCAACAACATGACCATCATTAAGAATTTGGTTAACTGAAAATATTTATATATATAGATATAGATATATATTTAAAAATGTACTACATAAGTTTTACAAATTTGCCCCCACAACTATTGAAATGTTGCAAAGAATGACAATACCCCCTCAACTATTGAAAAGTTGCAAAGAAGGACAAAAGTACAATGACCCTTGGTTGTTAGTTAGACGAGTAATGAAATTACTGAACTGACTCTAGTATAAATTTAATAAATTATACAGAAAACATAAAATGCAAAATGAAATCGTGTCCCTATTTTAAAAGCTTTCATTATGTGATATAATATGTAAATATTCTCATCTCGGCATGTGTGTTGATGGAATTGGAGAAGCCCAATTTCAGAAAATGAAGACAATATCTGAAAAAGCTAAGAAGCCCAGTGCATCAGCTGATCGAAATCAAACCAACCCAAATTCAGAGTATGAGAGAGATGTTGAAGAGCGAGGAAAGCACAAGTTAAGAGACGAGCAAGAGAGGGCAAAGGGTGGTTGGTTGGATGGTTCGACAGAGAGGTGGAAAGTCTTGAAAGGATCGAAGAATGGGCTGCGAGGATTTGGAAGATCACAAGTGGGGTGAGGGTTTCTACCCTACCTGAAGGGCTTCTTTTGTTCAGATTGCCCTCGGACATCGAAGCCCAGAGGGAAAGAATAATTGGGGCGAAACACAGTTGTTTTTGGGCCCTTGGTGCTATCGGGTTGGCTGTTCGGGTCTTAGGATGCGATCCAATGGCAGAAGAATCATCATGTACAGACTTCTTATGCATTATGGTGCCAAAAGCTTTTCCAAAGTGTCGGTGATATTTGTGGTGGATTTAGGGCAGTTGAGGTTTTTGAGATGTGTGATACTGAAAGAATTGTGATCACCATTGACAGAGGAGGGGAGATTCCAGCATGGGAGATAGTCAGAGGGGTTTCAAAATTGCTTTGCACGAAGAGTCAGATTCCTTGATTGTTCCTTTGTCTGCTTCTTTCTCTCAAAGAGACGCTTCTAAACCAATGGGGGAGGAGAAGGGTAGGCAACACAGTGATTGACGTTTTGGGGTCAGATCGGAGGGTCAGGTGAAGGCGGTGGTTGAAAGACAGGGACGATCGCGCTCTCATGCACGTGAAAAACGATGGAAAGGGTACAGAGTAGATAGCCACGCGTTCGCCATCCAGACTCTTCCCGTTGTAGGTGGGAAACAGCTGTCTCCTCACGTGATTGCACACGCGAGGGAGATTCGATGAGACAGATGGGCCAACTACTTGCCATAAGGGTGGTTCTGGGCCTAAGCTGCGTGGTTCTACGGTGGGCTCCCAGTCATCAATCTCTGACTGTGGATTCACCATCCTTGAAATGGGTTTGTCCATGACAACCTGGTATGTCTGTTTTCCCTAAACCTCGGAGCTTTCTGTCTGGTCCCTCTTCTTCTTCTACTCCTTGTGGGGCTTTGAGGAGGGAAATGGGGGTGAAGGTTGACCGGAAATCGGAGAGAAACGGGGTGATGTCGCCTGTGGTGGAAGTGGATTCAGAGGGGATGGGGTTGGATGCAGAGTTAGAGGATGAGGTGGGACAGCTGAGGAATCCTACACTGGATATTATGCTGAGTTGTTCTCCTAAATTAAGAGAGAATGTATCAGTGACGGCAGCGCCAATAGGTCTGGATGGAGTTACGGTGTGTGTGGGACGTGACTCAAAATTTCAGTTGAGTCAGGAGGCTGCGACAGTTTTGGTGAAGGAACTGAGAATGTATAATGGGTTGAAGGGACTGAACCGTGTGCTGGATTTTGGCACAGATATAGTAGAGGAGGATTCTAAAGGGGTTTTTGGCTCACCTTTGGCTTTCAATGGGCCTGATGATTCGAGGGATGATGGTGGTGACAAATTGGGGGGAGGGGGTAGTGACAGGAATGTTATGGAGATGGTTCCGTAGGAGGATTCTACCTACTTGGAGATGCAACCATTATGTGTTCTAAGACCGGACGGGGAGAGGGAGTTCTCTGCAACAGGTTGTGAAGACAGGGGGGTGGAGTGGGTGAAGGATAACATCAATAATGTGAGCAGCATTTTGGGACTATCTTTTCAGCCAGATGAGGAGCAGGCTCGCTTGGTGATGCATTCAATTGTGGAGGGAAAGAATGGGGAGGATGCTGGGAGTTTGTCCAGAACAGGTAGAAAGAAGAAGCGGTTGTCCCCGTGGAGAGGGGGAAGGGAGATTCGAGACCTGATTTCTGATATTAATTATGAGGGGAAGAATGGGATAGGAAGGGAGAGGAGCAGTGAGAAGGGAAGAGGGAGAAGGAGAGGGGAGGGGTCTTAACTGGTTTTTAATGAAGTGTCGCATCATTTCGTGGAATGTCCGAGGGCTGAATGATTCGAACAAAAAAAAGGTGGTCAGATTGGCAGTGAGGAAGTGGGGTGTTCATGTGGTATGCTTGCAGGAGATGAAGATGGCGTCTATATCGGATAAGGTGGTTAGGAGTTTGTGGGGTGGGAGGTGTATTGAATAGGAGGCGTTGGATGCTGGATATCTGGGGGTATTTTGGTGATGTGGGATAAGAGATGGGTGTCAAAAGCGGATGTGTGGTGAGGGAAATTTTCCATATCTTGCAGTTTTAGTATGGAAGAGGATGGGTTTCAGTGGATGTTCTCCAGTGTGTATGGTCCAGTGGATGATGGGGAGAGGTATCTCTTATGGGAGGAATTGGGATCTGTAAGGGATCAGTGGAGTCTTCCATGGTGGGTGGGGGGAGATTTTAATGTGGTTAGATCCCCTATGGAGAGATCAACAGGGAAGAAGATATTGATGGCCAGCATCTTCATGATTTACCTTTGGAGGGTGCTTCTTTCACATGGGTGAATGGCAGAGAGTCTCCTACTCTATCACGCCTAGATAGGTTTCTTATTTCAAGAGATTGGGAGGAGAAGTTTCCGGATGCAACTCAGGCAGCCGTGGCTAGACCGACATCGGATCATATTCCTTTGGTGTTGGATTGTGGTGGGTTAAGGTCTAGAATGACTCCGTTTCGTTTTGAAAATATGTGGCTTAGGGCGGATGATTTCCAGGGGTGTGTGAGGTCTTGGTGAGAAGGGAGTATGGTGTCTAGGAACCCGAGTTTTATTCTTGCTAGAAAGCTTGGGGTGCTGAAAAAGGAGATAAAAATGTGGAATAAGGAGGTATTCGGGAATCTTGAGTGCAGGAAGAGTAGGGCTTTGGCGGAGATTGCAGAGATTGATCGCCGGGAAGGCATGGGTGGTATTGATGATGACCAGAGAAGTAGGAGAGCGGTGTGCCAGGGTGATATTGTTGAGATTGCTATGTCGGAGGAGATTTCATGGCGACAGAATTCTAGAGCATTGTGGCTTAAGGAAGGGGGACAGGAATACTAAGTTTTTCCATAGATTGGCCAATGCTCATAGGAGGGGCAATCACATAGGGAAGCTTACTGTGGATGGGGTGGTTTTGAGTAGGGAGGAAGATGTTTGTAAGGGGATTGCCCAATTCTATCAGAGGTTATTTATAGAGCCTGTGTCTGCGAGACCCCAGCTGGATGGACTGAATTTTGATAGGATTTCTAAGATGAACAGGGAGGGTTTGGGGATTTTGTTCTCTAAAGAGGAAGTGCTGAAGACGTTGAGAAATTGTAATGGGGATAAAGCTCCGGGTCCGAATGGTTTCACTTTGAGGTTTTTGTTGGAGAGTTGGGATGTGGTCAGGGGTGAGGTGATGGGAACCTTTCATGCTTTTCATACTCAAGGGAGACTTGAGAAATCTTTGAATGCATCTTTTATAGCGCTTATTCCGAAGAAGGGTGGACCTGTAGATGTGAAGGACTTTAGACCTATTAGTTTTTTGGGATGCATTTATAAACTAATAGCCAAAGTTCTTTCGTTAAGGCTGTGGGGGGTTTTGGATGAGGTTATTTCGGAATCTCAGAATGCCTTCATAGGGGGGCATCAGATTTTGGATTCTGTTCTTATTGCAAGGGAGTGTGTGGATGATAGATTAAGGAGTGGGGTTCAAGGTTTTGTGTAAGCTGGATGTGGAGAAAGCTTATGATCATGTTAGTTGGAGTTTTTTGTTATACTTACTTTTGTACATGTTCATACACAAGACCATTCAAAACTTGATCCTAGGGCTGAAAAGTGTGTGTTGGTTGGGTACTCTCCTAAACAGAAAGGGTATAACTGTTATAACCTCAACTCTAAAAAATTCTTTGTGAGTATAGATGTGACCTTTTTTGAGACTCAACCCTATTTCACCAAAAATACTCTTCAGGGGGAGAGTAATGAGAGGGAAGACCATTTTTGGGAGTGTATTGGGCTCTTTACCATTGCCGAGTGTTACACCAAACTCTACCTTACCTACTGAACCTACTGAGCCCACTATTTCAACCTCCCCGAAGCCTGTTGAGTCAAACATTATAGACTACACTTCAGGGGGAGAACCACTTCAAATCCAACCTCAATCTGAGCTCCGTGATTACTATCGAAGAAGGAAGGATCAAACTAGAGAGCACCAACCTACTACCTGCCAAGAAAATTCTCCGAATAAAGGCAACTTGAATGAAACAAGTATTTATGTCTCTAATCCATCTTTTATTCCTGAAACTAGCAATGAAGAGAGCCTTTCTCATGACCTTGATATTCCTATAGCACTTAGAAAGGGTACTCGCTCTTGTACCATGCATCCTATTGCTAAATATGTATCCTACCATAGATTGTCTCCAAATTATAGAGCTTTTACCACTAATCTCTCTAGTGTTTCAATTCCTAGAACTATACAGGAGGCCTTGAATCATACTGAGTGGAAGGCAGCAGTTATAAAAGAGATGAGGGCTCTTGATAAGAACAAAACTTGGGAGATTGTTGAGTTGCCAAGGGAGAAGAAGACCGTAGGCTGCAAATGGGTGTTCACAGTCAAATATAAGGTTGATGGTAATATTGAGAGATACAACTCGTAGCTAATGGCTTCACCCAAACATATGGAATAGATTATCAGGAAACCTTTGCCCCAGTGGCAAAGGTAAATTCCATACGGGTGTTGTTGTCTCTTGCTGCAAGCTTGAGTTGGCCATTGCAGCAGTTAGATGTAAAGAATGCATTCTTAAATGGTGAGCTAGAGGAAGAAGTGTTTATGAATCTACCACCAGGATTTGAAAATGATTACGAAATGTGAAAATTGAACAAATCATTATATGGTCTAAATGGTCTAAAACAATCACCCAGAGCATGGTTTGATCGATTCACTAAAGCTATCAAGGGTCATGGATATCGTCAAAGTCAGGCTGATCACACTCTGTTCTACAAACATTCAAGTGATGGTAAGATAGCCATACTTATTGTTTATGTGGATGATATAATCTTGACCGGAGTTAACAAAAGAGAATTGGAGGATTTGAAGTCTGTTCTTGCAAAGGAGTTTGAGATAAAAGATCTTGGAGCTTTGAAATACTTCTTAGGAATGGAATTTGCTAGATCCAAGAGAGGGATATTGTTAGCATATATGATATCCACAATTTATGGAATGACTTACCATAATAGCAGAGATTTGATTATGCTATAGAATATGCCATAGAATATGCTTTAGAATATGTTGTGATTTGATTTAGTTTCCTTTCTTGTAATATGAGCATGTGCTCTTTTTATCTATAAATACTAGAGCTGTGAATGAGTGATTTATCTCATTCAAGCCTTTACACAATTCTCTCATTTTTCTTCTTTTTATATTTCTACTTGGTATCAGAGCCAACACCTTTCCACACCTTTCAGCAGCCTTGTTACTTGTGCGACAGCCACCTTAGGCTGTTTGTGACATCATGTGACGTTGCCTACACATGTTTTTCTGTGTTGCTGTTTTGTGATCAAAAACAGGTATTTTTAAGTTTTACAATTTCTTTTTTACTCTTCTAGGGTTGGGTAAATTGGGATAGTTGGTCTCCAACACCTAAAAAAGCTTAGGTAAAAAAAAAATTAGTCTACGAAAAGGTTCCGGATATTAAGAAGGAGGTTGTTTGGCTATATCTAAGCAGGCAACGCTCCTTAAAAAAAGTATGTATTTGGATTTTTCAGAGATAAAATCTATTGCCGGGAGCATTCTCTTACTAGCACCTTCCCTAGACTCTTTAGGATTGCTTTAGCTAGACATGCCATGATGGTGGATTGTTATCGCCTTGATAGTGGAAGAACAGTGTGGGATGTACGTTTCTTAAGGCTGTTTTAGGATTGGGAGATGGAGGATGCTAGAACTTTTTGGATTTGTTATATCGCCAAGAGATAGTGGAGAGGACTTCCGACATATGCGTTTGGGATCCATCTTCACTTGGGCGTTTTCATGTTCGGTCATTTTATCGTTGTTTTATGGATGCTCCTGGACTGTCATTTCCATGGACAGCAATTTAGCGAACAAAAGCGCTTCTCAAAATAGCATTTTTTTCATGGACCGCCGTTTTAGGAAAGATCTTGACTTAGGACTACCTTCATAGAAGAAGACAGATTGTGGTGAATTGGTGTTGTATGTGCAAAAATGACGAAGAAACGGTTGATCATCTTCTTTTACAGTGTCCAGTGGCCCGAGATTGCTCGCTTTTGTTTTTGGGTTTGTTTGGGATTCATTGGGTTATGTCACAGTCTACCAGAGGCTTGATTGAGGCATGGAGAGGGTGTATAGTGGGGGCCCAAGCTCGCAACTCTTGGATGGTTACTCCTTTGTGCATTTGGTGGTGTCTATGGCTTGAAAGAAATAGGAGATCCTTTGAAGGAAAGGAAAATCATGTTGGATCGTTGAAATTCTCCATTCTTAGCACCTTTTTTGGTTGGGTTCTAGGAAAAAATTGTAAATCATTGGATAAGCTTGTAGAGTTTTTGGATTTGTTAAGGGTTTCGAGGCCCTATTTGGCCTTGTGCTGCTTTAGAGGAACGTGTTCCCCTTTTGAACGCTTTTAATGAATTTTTACTTTTAAAAAAAAAGAGAGAGAGAGAGCGAAGAGGCCCTATTTTTGGGTTTAAATATATATATATATATATATATATATATATCCTTGGGTACTGACAAAAAGGGGAAAATGGGGATTTTAAAGGAACATTACAACAAATGGAGCACACGTGAAAATATTAACAGCTAGTTTCGAACGGCAGATTGGCGAAAGGGATATCTTGGAATAATGTTTGATAATTCAAGGTGGTGACATACTAGATCTTTAGTTCAAGGGCCAAAAACCTTGAACTAGGAAAGGTTTTAGCAATTAAACCTTCAATTTTTGTGTCTTAGTTATTTGCATTTGCTCTACATTATTCTTATTTGCATAAAATCTCCACCACCGCAAAAAAAGAAGAATTTGAATATTGATGTCTTGGTAGTACAGGAACTAGACCAGCGACATCATTAATTTCATTTTAATCTTTCTTGCCTAGTAGATTGGGAAATGTGATCAATAAGAAGTCCAGTTGGGCAGTGATTGTCTTGGATTCACTATTCATTCAACTTAGCACAGTGGAAAAATTCATCAGACATTTCCAACCAACTCATCTTGTGTATTTGTTTTTGTTTCACACATCTTTACATTTGCCACTGAATTTTCTTCTTCATTTATATAAATTAAAATGAAGACTTGAGTAAATAACCAACACAATGGTGAAAAAGATCAATTGGGATATTGGAATTTTTGTTTAACATGCCACAAGACCTTCACTCCATTTTTTTGTGGCTTTCAGACCTAAGATCACCTATTTGAATCATACTTGAACACTTTAACCCCCACCCCCACCCCTCCAAAACAATAATAATAACAACAACAACAACATGCCACAAGTTGATTCAACAACATGCCACAAGTTGATTTTATCATTATTAAAGCTGTAGAGAACTTGCTAAGAGAACAAAGCAATTTTTTGCCTAGAGACTAAAAGAATAATTTATGCAAAGGTTTTGCAGATGTTTGCCATCTGTTGAAGACACAAAAAAAAAAAAAAAAAACAGCACTCTAAAGCATGATATTAGAGAAATAAATAAAAAAAATAAAAGACATTGTCATTCCTCATCAAATATCCTAAAAGACGAAAAGAAAACTGTATTTTTGGGCACGACATACTTGATTCAAATGGAACATTAAAGTTCAAACACACCAGAAATTTCAGTAACTTCTACCAAATTTCAAACCCATACAACTTCTTAATGTCCCATCACATACCTTATTAATTTACTTAACCTCAAAAGAAAATATTATGAAAATTGCTAACATTTTAATAAAATCACCTAGCAGTGAAAGAAGATAAAGCTAACCTTCCGCAATTTATCAAGAGCACCACTGGTATCAAATGTTTCATGCCCCTGCTCATCCATCGTAACAGCAGCAAGCTTTGCCAGAGTAATACCGCAAGAAAATGGATGTCCTGGATTGCTGGTAAACATAAAGCTGTCCTCAGTATTATGCAGAAACAAAACGAGCAAGAAAGATTAACCAGTACAACAAAACAAGATCACTTTGAATTCAGAGCTCAAACATTAATGAGGACAAAATTTCTATTGAACATAAATCAAATATAAAAACATAAAATAAATAAACTTGTGTCTAGAAAACCATAAAGCTCCAATGGCGCCCAACCAACCTGACAGAATCCTCATATCTGACATGAACATTGCTAATTGAGATCTTAAGATTTCCTATAATTGTAGCGATCAGCGAACCCAGCCAAGAACTTCCAGCAGGTGGCTGCCAAAGAATCAACCAACACGAGTGACTATCAAGTCGTTCCATTACAGGTAATGGCAAGATTTCAAATTCAACACAAACAAATTCAGTCAGAATTACAAGAATTGCTTTACAAAGAGGATCCTGAAAGACAAATAATTACAAAACTGAGTACAACACAGGTTAGAAGAAGAACATCAAACAGAAAAGATACATAATAACTTCTACAAAAAAATAATAATAATAATAATAAATAAATAAATAAAATAACTGTTGTAAAGCATAAAACGGAAGCGAAGAGATAAATAAAACAAGTAGAACACACAGATATTACGTGGTTCAGCCACTAGGGCCTACATCACTTTATTATAATATTCTCTCAATTCATATACAATACAATGGTGGAGGCTCCTTTATATAGGAGAAGAAATTATGAGAATGTTAAGAATTATAAAATAGGAAACAAAGGGGATTTTTCTCCACTGATTCATCTAGTAACACCAAATCTTCAATAATAGGAAACAACATCAATTACTGAAAGATTTTCCTACACTGATTCCTCCATTAATCTTCAGTACTCCCCCTCAAGTTGGGGCATGAATACCCAACTTGCCATTGAGATGACAAGTAACAACACTTGTGAATGATGAAGAGAGATGAGGGAAGGCAAAGAACAATGCTACCGAACACACCGGTAGCACAAACAAGTCAAACAAAAATTGCCAGAGACACAGCAAAGGCAAAGACAATGCTACCAAACAAACCGGCAGCCCAAACAAATCAATACAAGCTGCCGGAGACACGGCAAAGGCGAAAAATAGTACTACCGAACACACCGGCAGCAAGCAAGTCACAAATAGCACTGAGAAACCCTTAGCAACATTTCAGATGCTAAGGGAATACCCCAAAATAGAGGTCCGAACCTAGGAAGTCAAATTAGGCTCTGATACCATGTTCAAAAGCATAAAGCGGAAGCGAAGAGATAAATAAAACAAGTAGAACACACAGATATTACGTGGTTCAACCACTAGGGCCTACATCACTTTATTATAATATTCTCTCAATTCATATATAATACAATAGTGGAGGCTCCTTTATATAGGAGAAGAAATTATGAGAATGGAAAGAATTATAAAATAGGAAACAAGTAGGATTTTTCTCCACTGATTCATCTAGTAACACCAAATCTTCAATAATAGGAAACAACATCAATTACTGAAAGATTTTCCTACACTGATTCCTCAATTAAATCTTCAATAATAACACTATGATAAACAAATATGAGAAATCCAATATATTAATTCGAGTCTGCCAATATCTTAAATCACGTCAAATCCGATACACGGGTGAAAATGTTTTTCTTTGCTCAGGAATGGTGTTTGGCAAATTCCAGCTCCGTCTTCATCTATGTTACAACAGTTTTGTAAGTAGTGAATCAGTTATCAAACAATACCATAGTGCTAGATAAATTGAAGTATAGCCACCAATAAATATCTATGAAAAAGTAAATCAATTTATTTGATGAAGTTGTGGTTTTGAAGACTTGAGACAATTTCAGAGCTTTGTCTAAAGAATGCATCTCCTGTAAGTGGTGAAGCCTAAGGGACTCTAGGTAAGATCCAAGAAAATTCTCCCTCAATTTCTTATCCTTGAAATTCAGAATCTCAAAATACCTGCCATAAAGAATTTCGAACAACCAAAGGTGTGAAAATCAACAGCCCACCATTTTGAAAACCAATATAATTCCTCTTTTTTCATACGTAAACCCTAAATCTTTCTTCTGCTTTTTTTTCCAAAAGGTAATAGAAATCAAATAAAATAAAATAAAAACAAATAATAAATAATACATAATAAATAAAAACATAGCTCAATTACTAGTTAGAATTTAAAAATAAAAACTAAAAACAAAAACATAGCTCCAACATACTCCATGGAATTTGAATTACTAGTTAGAATTTGAATCAGACCCCAGAATCCCCATACAAGTATTCTCTTTGCAATTTTTTCCAATCACTTTGCAATTGATACCAGATTCGAAGAAAACACATATAAGTAGGTCAAATGACTCATATGCTTGGTAAAAATACATAAATAAAATGACTCATTTACTTTGAATCACATAAAGCTTCGAATCTTTAAACAGGTAAACGTTTCTCTGGCCACTGAATCTCACTCAATCTCCTCACCACCATTTCAATCGCCTGAGTCCCTAAACACAAGATAATTACAATGGAACACATAACACTTCCTTGAAAAGGCAAGCGTTTGCATTGAATCCCACATTATTCCTCACTCACTAAAGCCATGACTTGCACCATAACTTACAATGATCCCACAATACCAGCGAAATAACCATCAAAACAGAGTCTGAAATACCTTTTAACGTAAAGAATCCCATTCACATCGACCTCATAATAAACAAATTCAAGTTAATAGTAAAATAAGAGTCTTCCTTTTCAAAAAAAAAAAGTCATGCGACAACAACAGTTCATTTTATTAGTTTAGTGACATGCAAATTACTATGGTCAACAAATCAATTCACCTAATGCCTGAGAGGACATTACAGAAATGGGTAAGGCATTATCAAGAGAGAGCAAAATTATATACAATAAACAAAACAAAGACTACAGGCATAAAAGGTGGCTGATAACAAAGAAACATTTATATTTTATGAAGGAAATTAAACATAGATATATAATTATTGAGAAAACTGGACAGAGCATTAGAATTCAAATCCGTACACTTCCCAGCTTTGACCTCGAAATTGCTTCAAGGGTCGCTGATTCTGCTTCCTGCATGTCATTGCCAGTAAAAAGAGATTCATCAAATGTGTGTGTGTGTGCGTGTGTGTGTGTGTGTGTGTTTCTAAACAGAATTAAAGCTGCAACAATCAGCAATCTGCATGCAAAAGAAAGAAAACAAAAATGTGTGGAACTTATGTACCCCCACATTTTTACTTTTTTCTTTTTACGGGAAAAAAAAAATGTGGGGATGCACAAAAGTTCCACAATTCAACATCAACATGGGACATTAAAGACAGCTTTCCCAAATTCAAGGCATAACACATGATGGTTAAGTGTGTGAATTGACACCGAGCAGATAAATACATATGCATCACTTGTGTTAGCATGAGGAAGAAAAGCACAGGGTAAACAATGAAATAAAAACTTTATAACAAGCCAATGATAAAAATAGGTTGTGTATTAGCCCCCCCTGCACATATTTTACATAAATGTAAGCCTGTTGGACTCCTTTGTAAATTGTCCAAACTGGATTGAACACAGGAGGACAACTTGTCATATGAATGAGTATCTAACATGCAAATATTGATCTGACAAATACAAAAAAAAAAAATATATATATATATATATATATATATCAAAGCTTCTGCTGAAATTCAAGTCCGCAAGAATCTTTCTTGTATTACAGTTGGCTTAAGAATACTCTTTATATATGTATGCCACATATACACACATTGCCAATTCTTTTAACTTCCATTCTTCATGCTAAGTAAAGACACGTGAATAAACTATGCACATTATGAAACGAATGTTCCTCACTAGCACAGCATTTGGATTGAAGGAGTTGGAGAGAAAGGAGAGGGAAGAGAAGCAGGGAGAGTTTCTTGTGTTAGTTGTAAAAACAAAGTAAAGAAAAAAATTAGGAATTTCAGAGAGAGAAGGAGACCCTAACTCCGTGAATAGTGTTTCAGTGATCCTCCCTAAAAGTGGGAAGATTTGGAAGCAAAAGTGTTAGCATATATGATACCATGATTTATGGTATAACTTACCATAATAGCAGAGATTTGACTATGCATATGTTAGCATATATGATACCACGAAATCAGACTTGGGACATGGTTTCGCTTCCTATTGGACGAAAGGCTGTGGGTTGTCGTTTGGTGTTTACAGTTAAGCATAATCCAGATGGGTCAGTTGCTCGTTACAAAGCCTGATTGGTTGCCAAGGGTTATGCTCAGACTTATGGCATAGATATCAGGAGACTTTTGCCCCTGTTGCCAAGATTAATACCATCCATGTATTATTTTCCGTTGCTGCAATTCGATCTTGGCCTCTATTTCAGTTAGATATCAAGAATGCCTTTCTCAATGGTGATTTGCAGGAGGAGGTGTACATGGTTCCCCCTCCAGGCTTTCGTTCTCCTGCTCATTCTGGTATGGTATGTCGTCTTCGTCGTTCTCTGTATGGCCTCAAGCAGTCTCCTCGAGCTTAATCTGATCACTTTGGCACTGCTATGCTCAAGTTTGGTTTCCATCAAAATGCAGCTAATCATACCTTGTTTTTACGTCATTCAGGCGACAGTTGCTCTCATAGTGTATGTCGATGATATTGTTCTTACCGGCAATGATACTACCGGAATTGACGAGGTTAAGAGCTATCTTGGCCGTCAATTTGAGATTAAGGATCTTGGTCCCCTACGGTACTTCTTGGGCATTGAGGTGGCTCGCTCCAAGACTGGCATTTTCATCTCTCAACGCAAGTATATTCTTAACTCACTTTCTGCTTCTGGTCAGCTTGGCGCTTGTCCTGCTGATACTCCGATTTAGCAGAATCATCGGTTGGCTGATTCTGAGGGGTAGTTATTGTCAGATGTTGGCCAGTATCAACGACTTGTGGGAAAGCTCATCTATTTATCCATGACTCGACCTGACATTGCTTCTGCCGTGAGTGTCGTGAGTCAATTCATGCACTCTCCTCGTGCCCCTCACCTTGATGCAGCTATTCGGATCCTTCGCTACTTAAAAGGGTGTCTAGGCCGTGGTATTTTGTTTGCCAATAATGGTCACTTACGTGTTGAGGCTTGGACAGATGCTGATTATGCCAGATCAATTTCAGATAGGAGGTCAACTTCGGGTTATTGTACCACTATTGGAGGTAACTTGGTTACTTGGCGCAGTAAGAAGCAGGATGTTGTCTCTCGATCTAGTGCAGAGGCAGAGTATAGGGCTATGGCTCTTGGGGTAGGTGAATTGCTATAGCTGAAAACCTTGATAACAGACTTGTGCCTTCCAATGTTGCTTCCATTCTCACTCTACTGCAACAAGAAGTCTGCCATTAGCATAGCAACAAATCCCATTCAGCATGACAGTACTAAGCATATAAAGGTGGACCGTCACTTCATTCGAGAGAAGATCATCTCTGATCAAATTTGCACTCCATTTGTCACAAGCTCTCAGCAGCTTGCAGACATTCTTACAAAGGGCATCAGCAAGATTGTGTTTGAGAATGCATTGTCCAAGTTGGGCGTTTCAAATATCCATGCACCAACTTGAGGGGGAGTGTTAGCATATATGATACCACGATTTATGGTATGACATACCATAATAGCAGAGATTTGACTATGCATATGTTAGCATATATGATACCACGATTTATGGTATAACTTACCATAATAGCAGAGATTTGACTATGCTATAGAATATGCCATAGAATATGCTTTAGAATAAGTTGTGATTTGATTTAGATTTGATTTAGTTTCCTTTCTTGTACTATGAGCATGTGCTCATTTTATCTATAAATACTAAAGCTGTGAATGAGTAATTCATATCATTCAAGCCTTTACGCAATTCTCTCATTTCTCTTCTTTTTATATTTCTACTGAAAGTTTATACTCACTCATTTTGAACATCAAGCATCCAATCAGACGATATAACCCTTCAAGTGTTGCTAAAGGAGTGCCTAGGCTCAAGGCGCAGGCTAGACCTATTGTCATCCCAGGCTCAATGATGTTTACTAGGCGCATGTCTCGGTTGCACCTCGTCCTATTTGTTAAGCATGCCTCACTGTTTTTTTTTTTTAAAGTTATTATATTTCTTAAGCCAAAAAGAGTACTTTTGGCAACTTAATAAACTAATAAGAAAGCCTAAGCTTATGAGAGAAGGAACCTTTGTTCAAAAGAATAAACAAATAAAAAAAAAAGCCTAAGAGTCTGTCAACCGAACATAGAAAGAGTGAGACTGTGAGACCAACGACAAAGCCCTAGTTGCAGAGACAAACGATGAAACCATGTCAGTTCTTTCTTCTTCTTCTCTCTCTTCTCCTCTACTTCTCTCTCCTCTCGTCTTTGCTTACTTCTCTCTCTTCGTCTAGTTCTCTTCTCTCCGTCTTTTTCTTTTTTTTTGGACTCTATTTTTTCTCCTTTTTCACTTTCGCTCTCTTCTCGTCTACTTCTCTCTCTTCATCTACTTCTTTTGTCTCTGCATTTTTTTTTTTTTTGGGCTCTGTGTTTTTTTCCTTTCATTTTTAACAGTTTTTTTTGTTTTGTTAATAGATTTATTTCTTTTAGTGCTCTGTTTTTCCATTCAAAAAAAAACAAATTCTGTTTTGCCTTCCAAGAAAACTAATTTGTGCACTGTTTTATGGTTCTTGAATGCTTATATAGTTGATGGATTAACTTTTTTATATTTGATATTAATTTTTAGAATATTAATACGACTTATGAGATATGAATGCTTTTATGGTAGTTTAAAATTTCAATTGTGCGCCTCACATCACTCAGGCGCGCACCTTGCTGTGCGCCTCGCGCCTAGGCTCCAAAGGACTTCTAGCGCCTTGAGCCTTTAATAACACCGCCTTCAATATAGGTTTTGAACCATTAGAGGAGAAAAACAACTCAACAAGAAAAAATTTCAATCTGCAAACTCATATATGGGATTTGACCACAACTGAAGGACATTGCAGAATGGTAAAGCATATAGAGCTTCTTTGCTAATAAAAAAGAAAAGAAAAGAAAAGAAAAAAAAAAAAAGTAGTTTTAAGAGATAAAATGTTTCGGCATGAACACATTATTTTCAGAGATAAACAAGTTTCATCTTGTCCAAAAATATTCAAATCCAATTGCCTAACCACAGAACAAGATGATACAGCCCCGATCCTTGTCGATAATCAATTAAGAACCTTTTCCTACAAGGTTGGAACGATCCACCCATAGGTTAAACCGACAAAATTAGGACAATGAGGTCTAATTGGTTAGTTTAAAACCTAAGAGGTGATTTTACTATTTACCCTTGTTGACATCTTAAAATCTATTAGGATATGGCGTCAAATGTTGTATGTGAGTCTGTATGTCTACAACCGAGAAAGGGGAGAAAAATGATGTTGAAGATATGGAAGATGGAGCTACAACAAAGATCATTCTGCAAATTCATCAAGCTCAATCATATATCTAGATTAAGGTAAGATGAGAACTTAGCAAACATACGAATCTAAGTTGTTTATTCGATAGTTTTGCTTCCATGGCATAGGTTTCAACACTAAAATAGGCTACAATTATATTTATCAAAAGATTTAATTAATGTTTTCAACCTATAGTTTTAAAAGGAAAAACAGAAGGCAACCTATCAAACAATGACAGAGAGTGAGCAAAAACAGGTACCTCATCGATCGAACTCTCCAATGGCTGGCTTCTGGAGTAAGCTCGATTAGTCAAACGTCAATCTTAATTAGAACTCAATATTCGTTATAATTATTCGGTTATAGTTACTCTACAATATTCTTGTGGGATTTCATGTATTCTAGAGAACCATAGAGATAGAGCTTTGAATATCAATCTAGTTATAGATCACCATATTCTATGTGATTGGCTGAATCAAAGCAACAAGAAGAATAAAGATCATCACACAATCAACCAACAAGTAACAATTGAAGATGAATGGTGATCAGACAAGAAGGAGAGCAAACTTTGTGGGTAAACAAGTTTGTTGACCAGCAAAAAACAGTGTTGCAGTTGAAAAACCAACTTTAGTATGGATGTAAGGAAATTAGATTATTTTAACAAGTAGAGTTTAATACCTAGTGTTGTAAAGCTTTCTCTAGTGGATTGTCCATGGCAACAATTGACAAAAATCCTGTGGTTTTTCCCTTTTCAGGATTTTCCAAATATGAATTGATGTCTCAATTTTATACTTATTTACTGATTTATGTGCTTAAGGATTGTGATATACGTGGATAAACTAAATTCAATCACAATTGACCAAAAAAAAAAAACTAATATATGAAAAATCAGAACTAACAGTTGATATCCATGAGACCTATTCACCACCCTCTCTTAAATCTGACTTGAATCGTTCGTACTCTAGAGCCTACAGTGCCAGTACGTTCCCTCACAATCAACTTTAGGGAAGCCTTTCAATCAGAAGGTAAATCCTTGGAGGAGAAAGTTGATTTTTTGGACATTCTGAGAGTTTAGGGGCCCTATTTGGCTCTTCTTTTGTTCTGTGAGCCTCGCTCCCCATTGAGTGCTCTTTTTATACAATCTTACTTGTCAAAAAAAAAAGGTAACATCTAGCACTAAATAAACTTAATTTCTAAAAATAAACAGTATAAAACTAAAAATTTACACTTTATTTTGTAACCGAATTTGGACAAAAGTCCTAATCACCTAACATACATAACAGTACAACTAAAATAACATTTTATGTCTACTCAACTCAATAAAGCCTTATCTCAACTATTTGGGATCACCTAAATTAATTATATTTTGCCATTCTAGTCTTTAAAAGCAATAATATAGCCAAGAGCCTCCGGAGAGTATGCCCCTACTCGAAGCCTTGGTAAAGTAATTCCATCATGGAACTAACATTAAGAGCAGCCATAATCCATCCCACCCAACCTGAGAAAAAATAATTTTTCCATATACTATAAGTGAAGGGACGAGTCTTCCATCCCTCCTGCACAGGATGCATATATTCAGGGAAACAACCTTATCAGCAGTCAGGACTCTTCCCAAAATTAGCTCACCCGTATTCAACCTATTCAGAGTGGCAAATCAAGAAAAAGCTTTAACCTGAGGGGCTTCCTTTGTCTCGCTAGTTTGGACACTAGAGTCATTACTTACATTTTCTATAAATAATTCTTTCATCAAAAGTTCATATTTCAGAAACAAAATTCAACACCACAGACAAAGTTTGCTGTTCGTGTATCTAATCATAAAATTTAAACTAACCATAAGGTTTTACAGATGGAAAGTAAAATTATTATTTAAACAAGAGCAAATATCTCAGAATTATTTACAGCACATATTTTAGCATTAATAAAGGAACAAGCACCATAGATTTAAAAAAGAAAAAAATGCACCTCAATCTGTTGAAGTTTGGCTTCAAGAAGTTTTTCACGGTCCTCCTCCTACAAAAAAAGAATAAAAAATAAAAAAGCTAGTCAAGCGATCTATATTGAAAAGTAAATATTATTTACGATTGATGGAAAAGTAATATTTCCCAACAAACCAAGAAATTTACTTCCTACCTTGAGAGACCTTCCATCAGGAACCGGATGCGCTAGAATGAAAACACGATCTATGAGCACAATCACAGGTTCCTTCCCTAGACTTTTCCAAGGAACCTATTGTAAAATGAGTGGGGAAAAAAAAAAAATTTCAGTATGTCAACAAGTTGAAAGCCATTAGGAAACTAGAAACCTGACAAATTATTTGTATCATATTTCCCATATTAAATCAAGTCACAATTGAAAATATTGCCAGATTAAAAATAAGGATTCAAAATTCCAAAACAATCATAAACAAACAAAAAATAAATCAGATTTTATCTTCGCAAAATTTCTTGTGATTTCAAAATTTATAGTTAGGACATGAGAGTATGAGTAACAGAAAAATTTATGTAACCATATGAAGGCCAAGCAAGCTCCACAAACTGTTTAAAGGCCGTTTAGTAAAGTAAGACATGCACTTAATGTGTCATTCCTGAATATTAACCTTGAAAAAATTATCCATCTAGATATTTGTACATTATGTGCTTTTCATCTCAACGTTGTTAGTTGAAGGAAAGACAATTAAATATAGGTATTTTCAACAGGTAGTAGATTATCCTTGGATATGAATTTTTTTGATAAGTATCCTTGGATATGAATTTAACTATTTTCAAAATGGTCTTCAGAATTCTTGATCGGAGACATGACATCACACAGGTTAAATTACTATCTGTTAGAGAATATTTTTGTTTTATTTTTCCTTGAATATTGGCTATTTTCAGCAGATAGTACACTTCCTTTGATTACTTTGATTCCAAATCTTTTTCTGTGGACTTTTTCTCTATGTAGAATTTAAGATTACTTTGATTCCAAATCTTTTTCTGTGGACTTCTATGTAGAATTTAAGTTATATCAATTCTTATTCCAATTTGTTTTCTTTTAATCCCAATTTGTGTTCTTCTAATCTGAGACTATTTTCTCTGTTTCTTATCCTAACAAAATTAATGCTCACGCCAAACATGTTTTGCTTTGTTCTGTTTTGAAATTCTGTGCAATATTTGTACATCACCTAACGTGTTTTCTATTTTTCTCAACAGCAAAGCAACACAATACAACTGCAAGTGCTTTGATTCAAAACACTTTCACGAAAACAATAGCAACGCCAAATGAGCCCTAAAGAATTCTTCCATAACCCAAATAATTCAAAGATTATAAACAATGAACCCAATAACCACCACTTCCCATTAAAAAGGATGGAAAATGAAAGAAGCAACACCGTCTTCAAAAGTTGAATACTCAAAAGTACTTGAAATATGCTTAGAGCTCCCTTTGTAACAAGGTTGTACACTATTCAAAATCTTTTGGTCCAAGAGGATAAGCTCGGCTGCCTGATTTAGCATATGAAAAGGGCATATCCTCCAATGCTTATAATGACCTTCCTCTTACCCTTTAATCCCAACCTGTGGATAATCCAACAAATAATCTTCATTTTGTCAACCTCATAGATTCCCCGCTTAAATAGAATCATTTTCCCGCAGAAGTCCCACCCATTCGATCCTCAACTGAGCATTAATCCCCTCATATGCCTCATAACAACTTCTTAGCATTAAACATCCATAAGAAGGAAGTTAAACTCAATAATTCTCTCATTTACATCTTCAAGTACAATAAAAAATGATACCTTAGCAAGCAATGTCAACAACCAAGCTTAAAGAGGCATCAATTGTCCCTCTTCGGAAGCACATATGAAATTTGAAATGTCACAGCAAAAGGGGACACAGATAACACCGAATATACCTTCCCAAATGGAAAAAGCACAGAAGGTGCCTGATCTCTTCTTCAGTTCACAATGACTAGCCATCTGTCTAATTACTTGTCTTTTAAAAAAGCTAATCAACACATTATCCTCCCCTGATAAAATATCATATTAAACAGGGTGAAATACTCTGACCTCCCATTTTGGTGAAATACTCTGACCTCCCGTTTTAGTGAAATTACACTCGAAATAAAAGTTTGAAAAAAGGTACACCACACCCCCCGGATCTTTGTGCATGGTAACAACGACCACCCTCCATTCTGCTTGCACCATCATATAAATATTTGCTAACCAAAATGGCCTTCAACCCATTTAAAATGACGTTTTTACCCCATAAATGATATAAAATGACGTGAATGTTGGAAAGAGTGTTTTGGTTCCAGTCGGTGTGGTCCCTGACATCGGGATGCTTGTGAGCATTCTTGGATGCCGTACAGGCTCTTTTCCCATTTCTTATTTAGGGTTGCCCCTGGGTGCTCCTTCAAGGTGTGTGGGGGTTTGGGATCCAGTCGTGGATAGGTTTGAGAGGCGGCTGGCGAGGTGGAAGAAGAAGTATCTTTCCAAAGAGGGGCGGGTGACTCTGATCAAGAGTACCCTTTCTTATCTTCCCACTTATTTTATCTCTCTGTTCCAGATTCCCTCCTCGGTGGCGGAGAGGATTGAGCCTTTGCAGCGCAGTTTTTTTTTTTTTTTTTTTTGGGGGGGGGGGGGGGGCGCGCGGAGGGGAGGAATTCAAGTTTCACCTGGTTCGTTGAAGTTTCACCTGGTTCGTTGGGAGCAAGTTTGTAGGCCGATTCGGAATGGAGGGTTGGGCTTAGAAGATTGGTGCCTTTCAATAAAGCTCTCCTTGGGAAATGGTTATGGAGGTTTGGGGTGGAGAGGCATTGGCTATGGAGGAGGGTCGTGGTGAGCAGATTTGGGGAGAGTAGAGGAGGGTGGTGCTCTCTTGAGGTGCGTGGTCCTAGGGGTGTGGGGGTTTGGAAATTTATTCGACAGGGCTAAGTTGATTTCTCTAATCATGTTCGGTTTCGTCTCGGGATGGCAGGCGGATTAGTTTTTGGGAGGATGTCTGGTGTGGGGACCTCCCTCTTGCTCTTGCTTTCCCCCTCAACTGTTCAAGATTGCTTCGGATAGGCAAGCCAGGGTGATCAACTGTTATCATCTTGATAATGGGAGATTGGTTTGGGATGTTTCAGGACTGGGAAGTTGACAGTGCCATTCGTCTTCTGGAGGTGTTGTATCGGCAAGGTGTTATGGTCGGAGATTCTGATGTTTGGATTTGGGCTCCCAATGCTCAAGGTCGTTTTGATGTGCGGTCTTTCTTCAGGTGTCTCACTCAAGAGCCTGAAGGTCCTTTCCCATGGAAGACAATTTGGCGTTCTAAGGCTCCTCTTAAGGTGGCCTTTTTGCTTGGACCTCTGTTTTGGAAAATATTTTGACTCAGGATAATTTGAGAAGAAGGAATAAGGTGGTGGTTAATCGGTGCTACATGTGCCTTCGGGATGAAGAGTCAGTGGACAATCTTCTTTTGTATTGTCCTTTGGCTAAGGAATTGGGATTTGATGCTTGGCCTGTTCAGCTTTTTGTGGGTCATGCCTGGCTCTTCTAGAGGTTTGATTGAGGCTTGGAAAGGCTGTTTTGTGGGGGCTCACATTCGAGAGGCATGGAGGGCTGCGCCTCTTTGTATTTGGTGGTGCATTTGGCTTGAGAGAAACAGGAGATACTTTGAGGGAAAAGAGTCACCTATTTCTGTTCTGAAATTCTCCATTGTTTCCACTCTTTTTTGTTAGGTTATGGGTAGAGATTATAGATCTATAGATAACATTGTTGATTTTTTGGCCTCTTTAAAGGCTTAGTGGTTTTTGTTTTCTGTTGTTCCTTTGGGATGCGCTCCCCTCTTGAGCGTTTTTTATACAATTCTTACTTATCAAAAATATATATATATATCTTTGATGGACAATATACCCTCTCTCTCTCTCTCTCCACCGTCCACTCCTCTCTAACTCTCTCTCCGTCCTACTTCATCCTCCACCATCACACGCTTTTTTTTTTTTTGTGCTCTCTCTCTTACCACCGTCCACTCCTCTCTACCTCTCTCTCTGTCCTACTTCATCCTCCACCATCACACGCTTTTTTTTTTGTGCTCTCTCTCTCTTCTCCCACCACCGTACACTCCTCTCTACCTCTCTCTCTGTCCTACTTCATCCTCCACCATCACACTCGCTTTTTGTTTGTGTGTTTGTGTATTATGTATGTACGTATATATCATCTATATATAGAATGGAGTTTTTTTCCGAATTGCTGCATATTTCATATTAATTAGGTATTTACAATTATATTGCCAAGTTTTTAGAGATGAATTTGATAGCTCTTTGTTCCACTCTCGAAGTCTGAGAACTGTCAAGAAGGAAGCGATTCAAAAGTGTAGATTTGAGGGTATGTATTCCCTAAAGTTAAATTAAAAATCTTTAGAGTTTTGTTTGGTCAATTTCATCTCTGAAATTGTGGATGGAGTAGAAAATGGCGTCTTCAGGATCATCGTATTGGTGTTCCAGACCCGTGAAAGAATTTTTTGTCCCCATTGCAGTCGTGGATTCACGATGGAAATTGGTTCCCACCATCAATCTCATCATCACTGTCCTCCATCTCTGGCTGCTTCCGAAATGTATTTAGGTGATTCGCTGAATTTGAATCGTTGTTCGGCTCAGAGGCTCATTGACATTCCGATGGGAAACATGCCTAATTAGTGAACTAACTAATCCATGAAGGGTCAATGAATTTTGGAGTTGCAGTGGGTGTAAAGGAGGGAGAGAGAGATTACAAGTGGGGGTGGTGGAGGTGGAGGGATGAAGGCGGGGATAGAAAGAGAGGGACTAGTGGGGCAACAAGAGCAGTCTACAGAGGGGGAAGTGAAGGTGGAAAGAGAGAGATAGAGGAGTGGGGGCAGTGGCGATGGTAGTTGAAAAGATTTAGAGACACAATAGAGGTGGTAGTGGCAATGGTGGTGGAATTGATAGGAGGAGGTGGCAATGGTTGGTTGCATCAGCGATGGGTGGAAGGAGAGAGAAAGAAGAACAAAGAGAGGAGAGAAGGGAATAAAATGAAGTGCGCAAATATGTTATTTTACATTACCAAATTTTTCATCTTTTTTATCATTCAAATAATCATATGGTATAAAAGTAATTTCACATGTTTCTTTGACATCCATAAGTGGTAAATCGTTAATGAAGGTGGGTAAGTTCAATTTTTTTCGAAAATTTCTCCTAATGTAATTTCACTAAGGCTATGTTTGGTACAACAAGAAAGGATAACATAATTACAAGAGAAAAGAAAAGAGAGGAAAGAATAGTGTTAACCTCTCTTCATGCTTGGTTGATTAATGAAGGAAAAGAAAGGAAATGATAGTCTTAACACTTTAATTATGTCTAGGGAAAGAAAGAAAAGGAAACTATTTTAATGAATTTACTACTATATCCCTTCACATTTAGAAGACATATAGGTAATGAGTGGCAAGACAAATATAAAGACTGTGCTAAATATCATTCGAGCCAAAGTGACCATCTAAATACTAAAAAGGGGTTAAAGAGAATAGAAACATGCCCTGGGACTCATATGGTATTTTGATCTTGTCCTTTATAAATATAAGGGCAACATTGGTGTTAGAAAATTTTCATTAAACTTTGTAGCCCTTTCCTTCCATTTCCGACCATTTTTGGGAGGAGAGCAAATTTACTCATCATGCCTAATTTTTATCCCTCCAAATGGCCATTTCCTTTCTTTTCCATCCAAAAATTTAGACCCACCACAATATACCATTTCCCTACATTACCCTTCTTTTCTTTTCATTCCATTTCTCCCAAACCAAAAATGGGCCTAAACCTCATAGGAGGTCGGGGTGTGTGTGTGTGTGTGTGTGTCTCTGTGTGTGCGCGAGCATGTGTGTGTGTTTGGGTTATGTAAGTACCGACACACACATTTCACAAATTGCCCACTACGGAGCTCGAACCCCTCACCTCCCCTTTAAGGAAGGAGGAGTTATACCATTGAGCTAATGACCTACTGGTGAGGTCAGTGTATTTTACCCTATTAATAATTCAACATAAAAAGACGAAGAATGTTAATAGAGAGAGATAAAATTTAACCACTCTGATAACAGTATAAGTTCAAGTAGGTGTGAGAAAATAAGTGAGTGAAGATCCAACAACAGCCATCAGCAATTGAAAAGGACAGTACCTTTAATGTTATGGTACCAACAAAACCAGCTTTGACAGTGACAGGAAGTTTTAGTGAATTTAGAGCCTCTGCCTTCAACTTCAAGTCTTTAAGAACCACATCACCTATAGACAACTACCAGTTACAAAAGAATTTATAGATAAAAACAAGCAAATAAAAACTTTCCCAACTACTTGGGGTCCGCTGAGGAAAGCATTTACAAATATTTGACAACAAAAAACAGCCATTACAAGTGTCATACTCAAGTCATGAAGCTAAATCATCACAAAAATAAATAAATAAACCCACCCACATCATAACAGTAAGGGAATGACAACCATGTTGTGTGTTGAGAATGTTGATGTACATGAAGAATATGTATACGTGGCTTGTATGGACAAGTGCACGGAATTACGGGTAACACCGGATTTGAGAGTGTGAACCTGGTTGTGTGTTGAGAATGTTAATGTACATGATGATTTCCTGGAATAAGTGAAAATTATTATTATTTTTTTTTTTATTTTTTATTGCTGCCATTACTTGATGTTTCTTGCTTGGGACATGATATGAATTATTAGTAATTTTTATTAGAATATCATCTCCTGGGCTTTTGGTCACCCCAATATTTTTAAAGATGAAGGAGATGGCACCAGACCCAAATAATTTCCTTGAAGTTTTGTTGCTTGCATTTTGAGTACCTGGAAGTCTTTATTTTTTGCTAGCTGTCATTGGCTATTTTCATGTCGTGAAATAAAGGGGATGAACCTTCATATGAAATATTTGATTTGAGAACATGTAATGGTTTATTTATTTTTTATTAGAATTTGAAAAATATTGAATTTTATTATTTTGATTTAGAATGAGTTAGACTGTTATTCGCGATTTCATTTGTAAATGGATATATTGGCATGGGTGGAAATCCAATGGGTTCACATATCTTAATTGGTGATGCCAGACTCTTGAATGAATATTTAGAGGATAGTTTAACATAAGTAGATTGTATATATGAGGATTGGGTGTCTCTGCGTTTGTGCACCTATCTTATGCCCCCATTATTTCTTAAGTCAGATCACTATACATAAGTTTAGTGATGATGTCCAAGGAAGCAGAATGTGACCTTAGTGTTCGTGCTTGGACATGGACATTGTGCTATTTTTATTATTATTATTTAATTGGTTGGTGGTCGACTTCAGGTCCCTTATATTTTTATGTATAGTGTGTGTGTGTATAAGAATGACCAGGTGCATACTTTAATACTTACATAACTAGTAGTTAATGTTCAATTGACAGGAAAATTGATATTATTATTATTATTAATTATTATTATTTTAAGCCTCGGAAACTGGGAACTATATGTGAACTTTTGCACAGGCAACTGAGAAAGAGGAACTGGGTACCATGGGTCTCAGCTTGTGTGCCTTCTCATCCTAACTTCATATCTGATTGTATAACTATTTATTTGCCATATGGGTAACCGTGGATCATTGGAGGAAATTTTCCTTTAGGCATTCAGGTGCCTTGGCAGTTCGTGTGTGTGCAAACAATAGATCTTAATTTTAGAAGAAACAAAAAATGGTAATAATGGAGTGAAATATTAGAAGTTGCTCATGGTCAAGGGGGTTACATTAAGTTGTATATTTTAATTTCTCCTTCTTTTATCACAATCCGGGTTTTGGAATTCGGGGTGTGACATCTCACATGGCTTACACCTTCCAAATCACAGTTCTAACAGAGATTTGTCTCAAAATTTGAGTTTGAAGTTTGAACAGATCCTTCTTCTCAGATAAGAAACCAAAAATTGGACAAAGTGCCTCTAATCCTGCCCTCAAGCTAAAAGTTTTGAATGGCACAACTGCCGTTAAGATTTATTTAACATCACCAAATCAAATGACAAAATATTTTTGGCCGATACATTCCACTTTATCAAGAGATAGATTGCCTCCACAGGAAATAATTCTTCTGAATGTATTACAATCATAGAGATAAAGAAAAACAGATTACTTGCAGAAAACCAAGGTAAACTCATCAAATAAACTCACCTTTCCAGACGCTGATTCTTAAAGCCTCTGCTGAAAGTCCATGGACATATTCACCCAAATATCTTCGAAGCAAATGCAAAACCTATAATCAATTAAAGGTCTTAGCTACTTTTATGCATGTAATTTTAGGGCCATTAATTGAAACAAACTTCTCACATACTATTCAACCAAAAAAAAACACAAAAGGCAGCACATATATGTAACTTTTTATGGTATGTTAATTGATGAGTATCTTTAAAAAGGTTAAAAGAACAGAACTGGATATAATCAAAGAAAAGGAGATGTCAAAGATGGTTTCAACAATGTCAACTACTAAAAGATCAAATAGTACTAACTTAATATGGGCATTTAATATAACAAGCATGGCCCCTGCGCAAGGATGACACGCACAAATCCAGAAATGGTCCAAATTTTTCAGGCATGTGTGTGTGAGTACCAGAAATTTCTCTCTTTTTCCAGAAATTGTTGTTTCATATCATTTTTACAATTTTCATTCCTATCCAAACTAGATATAACTGGTTTGATTGTCAGCACCCCCCAAATCAAGCATAAATTATAGTCTTCAGCAACTCTAAACTTCCATCTGATGCTCCTCATTATGCCCTGGTCACTTGCAAATGCACGGAATATTAGTAATTGACAAGAGAACAAACTTCCATTTGATGCTTCACTGTTTCTTTAATTTTCTCACCGTCCACAACAACCAATAACAACTCTAACCTCTAATGCAATACTCATACTTCTCCTTGTTTGTTAGTTGAGCAACATGAAAAATGGACTAACAGAACTATAGCTTCTGATCCTGAAAACCAATCTGACTTTGATCAGAAATCAAGCCATGCTTCAGCGGCCTTCTAATTCAAGTATTCAATAACATTTAGCCATCCAAACTATATCAAAACAATTTCACTTTAACACAACAACAAATTCGCAAATGTCACTACATATATAATACTAAACTCAACAACAAATTCGAAAATTTGAAAGAAACATAATATAACTACTAAAAAAAATTCAAGTAATCAAAAGAGATTAGGCCAAAACAAAAATGGTATAATTTTTACTGAAATTAATTTTCTTCATAAACCTACCAATTCAAATTGAACCGATACATTATAAAATGAATTCAAAATGTAGGAATCAAAGCCCTTACGTGTGCTTCGAACATGATGATGAACCGAACCTAATCGATCCTTATGTGTTGAGATTAGGAACTCCTTGACGTCCGATCATTGTGTAGCTAAAATGATCGACTTTCAACAACAGCGATCGAAGAGCACTAAGAGAGAAAGAGAACTGATTCAGATTCGGTCGTTTTAGGTTTTGCAAGAAATGACAAGATGAAAGAAAACAGAGGACGATTTATACGGGAAGCGATTCAAAGACGGTGTTGTTCTAAGCTCTGTCCCGGTCATTTGCTGATGTTTACTGGATTACTGGGCTACTCGGGTATAACGGGTCGGGTTGTGTGAGCCCAATTTTTTTAAAAGGAGTCCGCATTAAAATGGGTTTGGTCTCTTTCAAAGTGTGACAGTAGGCAAGTTTTGGTAACTGCTTACCCGTTACATCGGTCTATTGCTCAAGATAGAATTGCTAGCAAATGAGATTCGTTAGCCGGCAGTATTCGTAAATAAGGAGACGTACCGGATAGAGCGCCTGGCCCCGGGGGTTTCCCTGCTAGTGCACTTGTTTGGCCTGAAAAATGCTGGTGCCGGTTCCGACCAGATGGGCGTGCCAGGAACTGCAGTAATTCCAAAGAGAGATCCAAACAATACTCTAGAAGGAAGACTGCGGGACCAAGCGATTGTGTTGAGGTCTGAAATGAATACTTCTGGAGTTTTTTTTGCCTTTGATAAAGGACTTCGGGAAAGTTAATTGGTTAGGAATAACTGTAAAATTACTTATGAAAGTAAAGGAATTATCTAAAGAAAAGTAAAGTGCAGGACTGAAACTAATTATATTAAAAGTGCATTGCATTGAAAATTAAAGTTGTATTGAAATATTTTGTTTGGCGTTGAGCAGACCTTCTAAGTTACAATATCATGCCCTATTTATAGAATTTAGTAATGGTAGCTTGCATGTAACCGCTTACTTCCTAAGCTTCCATCTGTCCCATGACTTTGCATGTAACCATTTGTAACCGCTTGCTTCCTTGGCTGTTATATGTCCCAAGACTTTCCACTGGAACGCCGTAATACCTTTCCATTGGACCGACCAGCTTCTTAGGCTGCCATGTGTCCCATGACTTTGTATGTAACCGCTTGTAACCGTCCACTTCCTAGGATGTGTCCCATGACTTTGCATGTAACCACTTACTTCCTAAGTTGCCATGTGTCCCATGACTTTGCATGTAACCACTTGTAACCGCTTGCTTCCTTGACTACCATGTGTCCCAAGATTTTCCACTGGAATGTCGTAGTAACTTTCCATTGGAATCGACCAGCTTCCTAGGCTGCCATGTGTCCCATGACTTTGCATGTAACCACTTGTAACCGCTTGCTTCCTAAGCTGCCATGTGTCCCATGACTTTACATGTAACCACTTGTAACCGCTTGCTTCCTTGACTGCCATGTGTCCCAAGACTTTCCACTAGAATGTGGTAGTACATTTCTATTGAAATCGATCAGGGTAATCTCCTACTGGAATGTGGAAAATAAGGGTGTAAACATTGCCCCCTAAATTTGATGTGCTTGATATTCTTTGAAGAATTGTAAGGCATATCAAATTTTAAATGTGAGTGAGAATTTGCCATGTGAGATTCCTATTGTTAAGGAATTGAACAAGTAAAACTTTTCAGCCGGAATGTACTATTGGGCTGAAAACTTTTAAGCAGCTTACTTATTTAACGAAGATGAAGATTTGAAGCCTCACGTCCAATTTCGTTGCCCCCCGAGGTCTAAAGGTTTACGAGGAGGACGAATTTGTACATCTTTTGGCCAAATACATAGTTGATTGGCCAAGTTTTGCCCCCCCAAAAGATGTGAATTTGGGACAAATAAAATAGTAGCATTTTTTTCCAAAATTGGAAGAAAAATACTATGACTGTTATATTCTTCAAGTGGAAGAATATACAACGATTGAGAAGCATGTGTCATTTCTGAAGGAAAATCTGGCTGTGGAAAATCTTTTTCCAATGGAAGAAGTGATAACGGCTTCCTATGGAAATGTTCGTCGACCTTCCTTATAGCCAAGCCACAGTCTTGCTGGGAGAAGTCAACAAGTTGGCTTGTATTTTCTGGCCAACCTTTGGGTAGGTTGGCCATTGGATGCCCCCCAAACACCACTGGAATTGGGTTTGCCAAAGGAATACTCCTCCTCCGGCGAATTGGATTTATTCCTTGATCGGGAGGTTTCCTTGGAGGGCGTTCAATTTCAAATGCCATTGGAAAGGCCATAAGTGGCCTTGGTGGTGTGCTTGTAGGCTGCTGAATGTTTGAAAGTGGAACATTCTGTTAGACCTAAAATTGAACTTTCTGGATTGTTGCTGGTGGAGGGTTCTGCACCTCAAGTGGAACCTGCACCTGTGATGGAAGTGGTTGAGCTACTGCCAGTGGAATTGACTTCATTGCTGGCGGAATCGACTTCACTACTGGTGGAATCGACTTCATTGCTAGTGGAATTGAAACCACGGGGGGTGGTTGTTGAGCTCATGGAAGGGTTTTTACGCGTTGTTGGCACCTTTGCCATTCTCGGAATCTTTCTTTACATTCTCGAGCAAATTGTTTACATTTTTCTTCCACCCTTAGGTAACTTTGGTAGCGCTCTTCACGTTCTTTGGATATCTCTCGGTGGAGCCATGCCTGAAACGTATTAGCTTCTAGTTGAATTTCTTCTGAAACGACACATGAACTTTCATCAGGAAGTCCAATAGCCTGTAATACCCCTAGTTTTCAAAAGGATAAAAGGGGAATTTAATTTTGCTTTTTATTGCATTTTTATTTAATTATGTGACTTATGTGTTTTGTTGCTTAATTGATTAAGTGTTTAATTGAAATTGTTTGTTTGGTTTGCTTTAATTGTTTATTTATTTTGCTGTAATTATTTAATTGTGATTTAAATCTTATTTAACTTAATTGTTTATTTGTTTTAATTTAATTGGTTGATTAATTGATTGTCTAAATAAATTAGTTTTATTTGCTTCAATTGTTATTTAGGGTTTTGTTTCTAAGTAGTCACGTTTTTAGCTGACTTAGTGTAGAATTAAATATTTTGTCAGTTGCATTCTTGTATTACAATTAGAACTAGGGTTGAGTTTTATAAGCCTATATATATACATGTATAATCTGTTAAGGGTCTTAGAACCCTATACACGTACTAGAGGTAGGGCAAAACAGAGAGAGGTTTAAGAGGAAAACATAGAGGAAACCTAGGGTTCGGCAAAGGAGTGTTGGTTCATGTGTTGAACCAAAGAGGAAACAGAGGAGTTGAGGACAGTAGGAGTCACCGAAGAATTTAGGAAGATGACCGGAGAATTTAGGAAGACGACACAGAGGTTTTGAACCCAAACCTCAAAGGCAAGTTCTAATCCTATCTCTTTCCCTTTGACTTGTATTCTTTGCATCTCTAGTATAATTCCGGGAGTAAATAAAGATTTAAAATCAATCTGGTTCGCATGCTTGCACTGTTTAATTAACATGTGTTCATGAACTGTAAATTGTTTGTTTTGCATTCTTTTTACATAATTTGGGAGTTAAATGATGTAAATTGATGGATAAAGAATCTCATTAGTTCTAAAACACATTGGGAACCCTTATAATTAATCTAGTTCACGTGGTTGTCTACTTGAAACAATATGTGTTTATGAATGGTTAAGTGATCCGGTTTAATTCTTTCTTGCATACTTCTTGTGTTGATTGATGTTGGTCATTGATTAATGAATTTAATTAACTTTGGAACACACTAGGTCTTAATTTTAATCAGTAGAAATCATGGGAGTTAAGGACGGATCAAACTAGACGTCACTGGAGAAGACGTAGTTGAAGAGAAGAAACAGAGAGGAAATGAGGAAGTTGGAGGCGTCTCCAAAATATTTTGGAGCCGGCTCAAAGAGACTTGGGGGCGGCTCCAAGTGGTTTGGAGCCGGCTCCAAGTGGGTTGTAGGTGGCTCCAACTTGGTTGGAGGCGGCTCCCTTCATGCTCCTTCCAGTTTTTTGGTTTTCTGCGTGTGTCTGGGCTATTGTGGTTGGATTTTAATGATTCTAGATTTATTTAGGGGTTGTTCTGGGGTTGTTCTGTAGTGATTAAACTCATTTTAACATCTCAAAAGTTACAGTAACACAGAATAAATCCTAGGAAGCAAAGGTAGACCGGAGTAGGAGACTCTTCAGAAAGTTGCTATTTTGGTTGGGATGTGAATGATACAAGTTACTCATATTTAATTTGCAATTGATTTATGGGATTTGAGGTTTAAATCATGTCACAGTGTTATAAAAAAAATAAGTATGTCAGTTATGATAACTCTCCATTATGCATAGGTAGGAACGGCTGAGAACACTTAAGGAAGTTTGTGTGACGACTTTGTTACAGACAATTCAAGTTGCTTGTTCTTAAACTTAGTAATTGAATTAAGAAGCTTATGTTTAAATCATGAAACAGTGGTATGGGATTAAGCATATCAACTAACATAAGTTCAGTTAATGCTTAATGCAAAACTAGTTGATGTTTACAACGAATTATTTGTATCAACTTGTGGGATGTTGTGAGGTAATTACAGTAAGCATGTTAATTCTGTTACTACTGTTATTATGCTTATTATGGGGTACAGAAAGGTATTATTGTTTCTCTGCATTTTAAGTTGTTAGAGAATCAAGTACTGGATGTATTGAACAAGCATGCTAAGTATAGATTCTTGTTATGCCTATGATTGGATATGTTGATATTGATATGCTTTACTGTCATTTATATTAAATTTGGATGGATGGTATTGTACTTGTTATTGATGGGTTGATATTGAAATGTTTACTGTCATTTATATTATCAACACTGGATGGATGGATGGATGTATGCACCGGTATGGGACGGTGTCATACTAGGGGGATTAGCTTGTAAACGCTAAATCCTACCTACTCTGGATTAAGGAATGGAGTAACTAAAAGTTTAATCCTATTTTATTTGTAGTGTCAAGGTAACATATAGTTGAGCGGCACTACTATGGATTTTGGAATGAGATTTAATTATATATTTTATGGTGCCATGTTATGAGCCTGAGTCTCATAGTCGTTGGCTAGGAAGCGTATATGCATTGGGATGCATAGCTGGCTATGATGGTTAGATGTGTACCCTGCTAGGTCTGGGTAGTCATGCCCACCACAGGTGCGTTTTGCATGATACCTATTAGTCAGGTTGAGACAGGCCTGTAGTCCAGTAAGAGTCCTGTAGTGTG